TTATTTATTTATTGAAAATGCAACAAGACATTACACTGACTCTCAAGGCAGCAAAGCTGATGTTAGAGAGTCAACACATAAGGACAAAACATATAGGGCACATAATATCAACAGTGTGAAATTACAAAAAAAAAATGATCATAAGAACCTATATCATTCCAATTAGCGGAGTAAATATATATACACATCTAAAATAACACATTTGGAGGTCAGAGGTCGATAAAATAAGTCATAGTCAGACTACCTTATATGAGAAAAAAAAGGATACTAAATAACAAGGTTAGAAAGGAACAGCTGGAAGTGCCTAGAAACGGTTTGTTGAAGTGATGTAAGTGTGGAAGGAGTGTGAGAGGCTTTCGTTTAATGTGATGTCATTGCCCGGGGACCCGTTGAGTAGAACGCTGGTGGAGAGGGGCCGTCTCACGAGGCGGTACACAGCAGTGGCAAGGTCTTGTCGTGCCGCTGCGTGCAGTGGGCAGTGCAGGAGGAAATGTGTGACTGTCTCCGAGGTTGCACCACAGGCACATCCCCGGCCGGTAAGGTTAAACTTGGCCAGCGTGGAGTTAAGCTGGCACCAGCCGATGCGGAGTCTCGTGGCAAGTATGTTGCTGCGGCGGTCACCGAGCCTACGGTACCCCTGGTGGTGACGGGATGACAACATGTGGGCTCTACACCTCTGTTTGAACTGGAGGAGAGATGTGGCTTCCTTCACTTCCTTCGGAAGATTGTTCCATAGACGTGTGGTGTATGGAACGAAGCTGCTTCCGTAGGTGTTTGTTCTACAGTAAGGAACGTGCAGATGTGTATCGTTCCGTAGGCGGAGATTCAGTTGTCTTCGGCTGTCTCTGGTGGTGGGAATTAAGAGCTGGAGGTGGGATGGGACAGAACCTGATACCAGTTTGTACATGATCAGGAGTCGGTTGAAGTCTCTCCTGGTTGCGAGACTATCCCACTCCAGTTCTATTTATTATTATATTATACATTACTCAAGAGTACAGGTTTCCCACAAGGGCAATACACCAGAGTCTACATTTTTAATTGGTTTTCAAGTTCAGTGGGTTTTTTTCAACAAATGAATGTGGTTTGGCCTATTAAGAGCTGATTAATACTTCACAATGAGAGAATGGGTAATGTACTGTTGACTGTGATGTCAGTTTCTTGTATACACAGCTTGTACTTCTAAGTATAGTTACTGTACTAACTTATTTTGCCACCGAGGTGGCTTTAGTGGTTTATGCATTATGGATGCAGTTGAGTTGAGCATGGGTGGGCTCCATGCATGGAAAAATGCCAAATGTAGTGCCTTTCACAATGAAGGACACCACATCGGTGCCTGCCAGGGATTCGAACCCAGAACCTTCATAGTCTAGGTCAACTACCCTTAAACCACAAGATCACCAGTTGCCACCCCTAAAGGCTAGTTTATATCTACTGTGATATTCAATGGGAGGTAGTAACTGTCAATTCAAGAGATTGTAAAGTACCATGATGTCACCCGGGGTAGCACTATAGCTAGCAGATTGAAGAATTATTTTCTTTTGGGTATAAGTAAGAGTTTACGAGCTCTTTTTTTATGACTCACAGTCCTAAAATTAGATGTATACCCAGGGCACTGTGGATCAAATAGTACTTTGGAACTTCAAAGTTTCTGACTAAACAGGAAGTGAGGATAAAAAAACTGAGCTTTAACAAGTGTCTGCAATGATGGTTCAGAATAAAACAAATGTGCAGATAAGTGAATAAGAGACCACTGGTCACAAAAAGTACTTGTCTTTTTTATTTGGATTTTCATTGTATCTTACATGTAAGTTTGAAAAAAACAATTAGGTGAAAGTCTTTAAACAATTCAAGATTTGATATCCATCATAATATTCATACTCGAATAGTTGCAAACTTTTCTTATGAGCAAAAATTACAGCATAAAATATGACTGCATACAGCTTTGCTATTTAAAGAAAAATCCATTTCACCAGCCAGCCAATGAGTCTCCAGTATGACCTACAATGTCAAAGTTCATTGTATTCTCCCTGGTTTGGGCTATATGAAGGCTCTATCTTCTCCCTCCCACTCAATACAGATATTGTTTTCTGCCTGAGCATGGGTGAGTGAAGATGAATCCAAAGATAATGGCATTCCTCCTTACATATTCCGAGATAACAAAACCAAGATACCGGTACTCAGATTATGAGACAGTGCGACTGCTATGGTCTAGTTCATAAGCAATTCCGCTTCCAGACAGCAAGGCTGTGGATTGAAACCCTGCTCTGTTGCTGGCAATGATGTAAATTAAAGTTGATTCATGCTCTAGCTTAAGTTACACTTCACCACTGACAGTAAGCTTAGCTAACATAGAAGCATGTACCATGACATTGAACAATGTCAGGAAACTCCCTTGGTATTTTAGTCTGTCTGCAAATGTTGAGGAAACACGTATCTCAGTATAGAAGAAACATGGTGGTTCTGACAGTCTTTTCTGGGCAGAAAGCCAGGGGTTCAATCTAGCAGTCACTTTGTGGATCGACCATAAAACATTTCATCAAGGTGTGTAAAAGCAAACATTAGAGAACAAGTATATATCCATACTTGTATAAGTACGTACTTGCACATTTTGAAATGAGCAAGCAAAATGTCTTATAGTACATGTATAATTGTAAATGTACATGTAAACCATACAGTGTCAGTGGCCCATATGTGTACATACCATATTACTCAGGGCAGAGATATTGTACGTGCCCAGTATTATTTTAACCTGGGCACGTACTGTTTTTATTTTAAGCCACAGATGTTTACATTTTGGGTTCTGAGTCAACGGCCTCTTGGGATGGATATAATGTGTATTTTTTGTTTGCATGGTTTACTACATGTTTGCCCACAGAAATGAGTGTATTGGTGCTAATGAGGCAAACTATTCTTAATTAGAGTGTCAAGTCCAGATGTTATTTGACAGTTACACTGGCCACAACACTACATGCGACATGCAGCACTTGCAGCATTTTTGTTTTTCTTGGCCTGGAAAAAAAGGAGTTTGTTTTGGAGCATATCATCTACCAAATATTTAAACTGACCTTAAAATTAATTCAAAAGTGTTATTTATTCAAAGTGCATGTCACAAAATTGAGTGGAATCTTTAGATTAAGAACATCTATTAAAATTCCTACCATTTTGACAACGCACTGAGGGTACTAGCTACCAATCTCATTATATAGACTGAGGTTTTATCTAAATAATAATAGAATGGGTTGCGCACAGGTTGGTCGCTAAGCCACGAGGTAATAGAAAACCTTGGTTTATGGTGTGAGGTTTGTTTGCTGTAAACAAAGTGCATTGATCAATGGGCTGGGCCAGTGGCATGTATGTCAAACACAAACATACTATATTTACTTACCAAGGTTCAAGCTTCTGCTTTATCTTTTACATGTTTTCACTACAGGTGTTTTTATCAGGCTTTCATTTTTGTACTGTATCTTTTTTTATTCAACAGCCATTAACGGATGCTCCCACTCTTGCCAACTTAATACTGACTTGCAGCTATCAAAAGATCTGCTTGGAGATTACCCACAGTCTGTTTAAATGAGATATTCTAACTATTCTTTTTCAATTAGACAAATTTTTATTATCAATCCTGATATCCTAGAGCTCTAAACCTCCCGATGAAAATTAGGGAACACAAAAACAGAGAGTGAGTGGGTTAAGGTGAGTGGGTGTGCGGGTGAAGACCCTGTAGTTTTTTAAATACCAGATACATGCAATCCACTGAGGATTTCAATTATTCATAATTCACCATCAAGGTGCTAGATATCATAATTAGGTGGGAGGAGACCATACATCCCACTTTATTACCACTGCATAGTATGGAAACCCATATAGTCAAGAGGATCTTCATTAACATGAAAGAAATATTACTTTTTCCTTCCCACACGTTTCGTATTGATGCATGTAACCAAAAACAATTTCACAGACAGGCAAAATGTAACAAATGCGGGCATAAACAATTATGCTGTTATGATAGTCACAAATATCATAATTGCCTCAGTGTTAAACATATAACCCCAATTTACATATCAAAGTCAAACCTTTTCTCAGGCTATATCATCTGGCCTGGGTACCATCCGGATTTTTGCTCCGCCACGCTCGAAAAAATCACATTTTCTTTTAGCGTTGCCCAGCGAAAATCCAGATGGTACCCAGGCTAATATCATCTGCATAAGGACAACCTGGACATTGAATTATTTTTTCCACTGACTAAGGAACATTAATTATACAGTAACCAGTGACCAGTTTCCCTTAATTGTCACTAGTTGTAAGATTGCATCTGTATAAAACTATTATAACACTATCTTCACATCCCTATGTAGCATCCATTCACACTTAAGCTACATGTACAACAGGTGAACAGAATATATATAAATTTTCATATTTAGGTCAGTTGCGATGTATGTGAAACATGGAAAATTTTCAATCAGTTATAACTAAAAATACATCCACAGGCAGATAAATAAACAGGAGAATCTTCAGGTAAACATGGGGTTTACCTGTGAATTCACCTGTTCTAATTATCAGTTTATTTTGTTATGGCTCGCTGGATACATGGTGTGTCAAATATGCTATGTCGTCTGCCATAACACAACAGCAAGGGACTCACTTTCACTGCTCCCTCAACGACTATAAACCGTAGGATACGATTCGTCAAACGGGCAGTTACAGGAAGAGAAATACAGCGTGTACCATGGGACTACAATTTTACATTCGCTTGATCGCTCTGAAGGCTAGAAACGTGGGTTCAAAGCACCACCCCGAAATGTCCAATATCACCCCATATTGTAGCCTCCCTGCCCCGCCCCCTCACACCCAACACAGACGACACACTTGAAAAAAACAGCCGTGATTTCTCAATACATATTGAAGGCTATAATATCGACCACTTCGCCTCTGCGATCATTCCATACGCTACCGGATCATCAAACACAGTACGCGAAAAATATAAGGAACCGTCCCCTTACCTCCTTTTTGACGGTCCGTATTAGCTTTTCTCTGTACTCCGCGTCCGACATTTTGTCTGAAACGAGAGGGAAGACCTTACGTGCTGAGCCTAAAAAGAATATGATGAAATCGGACGAGAATTACGGAAATTACGTCGCGAAATTGACGAGCTGACGGCACCAACCTCCTATAACTGTCGCCATCTTGCTGTCCGGCTCTGGCTCCAAGGTGCACGAATTTAGATGAGCGGGCGCGTCACACCCGGTATTTCCGGTTTTCCCCCGCTGAAAGAGCCGGCGCATTCCCGCTAGACCTCCGCACGAAAATCCAGAAACGTGCCGAGAATGTCGTCGTTAATATCTTGGCGCGGATTCGGGCGAGTGCTGGGGGGATTTGGAGCCGGCGCGGATGCTGCTGAGAGCCATTGCGGCCCACCGTGAGGCATCAATATTTTATGACGGTGCTCACGCTCCAAATGAGGGTCAGTTGACCGGGACCCAGTGTATAACAGGTGGTTGCGGCTATCCCGCTACCGCCCGCCCCCGACCGTTTCTTGGCTTTTACCAGCTTTTATATATCTTTACTTCTATCCAGTTTATTGGAAAGCTGATTACATTTGCAAAGTATCAACTTGAAATGGTAGAAAAAGGTTTGACAATGTTGGAAAAGATTCTTTTGCACGCTAATTACAAAAACAAGCTTTATAATGTGAATTCCCGTCACAGATGAAGTTCATTCAAATTACAATCTTATGGAGCTAAAGAAATGTTTAAAAAGCCTGACTTTTATTGATATATGAGTAACCATGATAGAAAACCGTGTCTGTAAAATTGTCGTCCTTCCCAAAGTCTTTCTAATCGTTGGGCTAATGTCGCAGTTATTACATAAACCATTAAATTCAGTGAATATATGTAGTACAGGTCAGATCATCCTACGCTTTACTGCTATGGACCCTCGTCTTAAGTTGCTGAAGAGGAGACATCTGGCGACTTCAGATAGTAGTCACTTAATTAAAGGAAAAGAAAGCAGTTAATAGAATTCAATCAGAAAGAAATAGCACTAGTGAAGGAAGGCTAAAGAGAGTAAGTTTGACAGGGATGAAGAGAAAAGAAGAAAGCATGGAGAGAGGAAATAGGGGATAAAAAATGAAGGAAAGGAAGAGGAATCAACGCTAGCGCTTGGGAAAACACAAAGTTTTTCATCCTTCTAAATAAGTTCTTGGCTAGTAGAAATTACCAGTTACATGTAGGTTGGACCTGAGCAGTATACATTGTTGTTAATTTTTGTTGATTGTTTTCATAAACCCTGTTCTTCATAAACCCTGTGGCAAAACATAGTCATTTTACGAACTAGAAAATGCAAGCAAATAAATATATTTATACCTGCAGTTTAATAAGTGAGCTATTTGGAATAATATTTGCTTTACCTGGGCCACGCCCCTTTGGGAACCTTAACGGGTCGTGTCAAGGGTCATGAGGGACAATCCGTTAACATCCAATAAACGATGCTACTGTTAAACCAACAGAAGGGTACACTTTCAATATATAACCACGATATTAACATGTATCTTTCCGAAAACAAATGATTCGAATGAACATGAAAGCTGGTCGCTCACAAACACAAGCTATTTATAAAATCGGAACACCCTCCCCCATAATTTATTGGATCGTCCCGTGTGTGTCACATGAACCAAGATGGCGGCTTCCCATCTGAGTGGAGGCCGAGTCAACCTCGCGATTTTAAGAGAAGCTGCACGAAAAGAGCTGCTGGAATGTCTGGACAAATGCGATGGAACAAAGGTAGGCTTCTTGTGTAACCCATGTGTGTTTTTCATTGTCAATATCTTATCGCTGTGTCGACGAATGTGGGTTTAAAATTATGTGGGGAGGGGGGTTATAATTACTGTTTTTACACGGAAGCGTTTTAATTTTTGAACACAAAATGTAGTTACATGTAGTGAAAATTATTTCCTTGAAAAGTGTACCCAACTCAAGTGAGCTAGATTGTCTGTCAAAAAGTACACATGTTGTCGTCTTTTGATATCTGTTCCCGATCCAAAAATAAATATGTATTAACCATTATAATATAACTTATATTATGATGTAATTAGATGTCTCACTTCATATCAGAGAAAATTATTACTTTCCAACTAGGCCGTGGTGTGGGACGAGCAACTGACTGGACCATTCGGGCTGATTGCTGAGTACTCACTGCTGAAGGTATGATATGTTTGCCGGCAGTACATAACGTTACATGTGTACGCATTTAATGAAGGAATGAATGAAGACCTTATTAATGGTGTTTCAAATGATTTATAATTTATCATGTAGGCAAAAAATTACACTCTTTTCTTAACTGATCTGAGCTAAGAGAACTAGATAAATGTGAGCTGCAGTGAACGAGTTAACATCCAGGGTAGATTAATAATCATTATGAATGAATATATCATTTCATATAAGATTTATTGTACATTTTTGGGCTAAGCACAGGTCACATTGTACATATACATATACATATAACGTTACATGGAAAAACATGAAGTACAACACTTAAAGCTGTAGTGAAGATCAGGATACTAGTCATGGGTGCATCCTTTCATAAAGATGATGTCAACTTCAAGGTCTTCTCTAGTCATGACTAGTGGACTAGTGAGGTAAACTGGTTGGAGCAAGGAGCAGTTCAACAAGAGGAGATAACTTTCACTAACCCGAGTTTCACTTCCCCATCTCCCAGGAGCATGAGGTAGATAAGATGTTCCAGCTTCGGCCTGGCCGCCTGCCTGCCGCTAACGTCAACAACATCATCTTCCTGTGTCGGCCCAAACTGGCTCTCATGGAGATCGTGGCACAGAACATACTCAAGTAAGTGTAACAGTGGGGGGTTTTATAGGCGATAGCAACTAACCCGGCTGATGGGTCTACACCTTTTAGCAGAGTGGTTAGAGTGTTGGCATGTGGACTGGCATGCCGCATGCCCGGGTTTGGTCGTGACTCGTGAGTTCGAACCCAGGACCAGAGGTTTTTATCTGTTTCTACTAGCTCCTCCTGTTTCTTACATTAAGTACTAGCCAGAACATCCTTATGAAGCTGAAGAATTCTGACTTGATAAAATCTTAAATTATCAATCAAATCAATTCCTGGCAATGAAGAGTTCTCAAGATAGTGTATTTGTCAACCTGATCTGAGATCTTTGAGCTGAATGAAGCAAGAATAATAGCCTTAAAGGAAAATAAACCTGCACATGACTATACATTTGTACATGTATTTACTCCTCCTTTCAAAAAGATTTTCCCTCAGACCCCAATTGTTTCCAAATATTACTTAGCAGTAAGGTAACAATCTTTTTTTCATTATATCTACTCTCCCAGAGAGGAAGAAACTGGAGGGTCTCGCAAGGAGTTCCACATCTTCTTTGTCCCCAGAAAGAGCCTGCTTTGTGAGCAGAAACTTAAGGTACATAGAGAGCATGTGGTAACATGTGTTACTACTACAACTACAATACATTGTAAGGTTACATGTTTACATATACAGATACGTAACAAAATTCAATATACAATATTTTTCAAGCAACCAGTGGTAGAGTTGAATATTTACAGGTTCAACTTCTTGCTTCTTACAAAAGCTCTCATTGTATGACCCACAATGAACATTGTACAATGTTGTTCCAATTGTCTTGAGTCTTGTTAAGTTTTACGATCTAAAAGGGTTTGACCTCTTGTGATATGAGGTTTTTCAGCTATACTAATGGTATATGATGTTTTTCCTATTCCAACAGGAACTGGGTGTGTATGGGACCTTCAGTAATGTGGATGAGTACACCCTGGATCTCATCCCGTTTGACAGTGACTTACTCTCCATGGAAATAGATTCTACCTTCAGGGTGAGTCTGTCATTAACATCATACAAAATTGAAAATGAATCAAGATCCTCAGAGAATTTATCCAGTTGCTTGATTTATTTTGTTTTAACCAGCTACTGCCATGTCACATGCCTGCAAAGCTTGTCTGCTACAACACCATATCTGGTTACACCAAATGGTGATAATAAAGGTTATACAGAAGCTGGCATGTTTCACAGAAGAGTAGTTTTCTAGCTATACAGATACAGAATCTGGTTTGTTATGCCATAGGGCAGCTCTGCAGATGCAAATACAGAATCAGTTACTACTAATATACTGTAACAAGTTACTACTGTGAAAAGAATATATTGTCTGATGATCTTTCCCCCTTCCCCAGGACTGTTACCTGGAGGATGACATGACGTCCATGTATTACGCTGCCAAGTCCCTGATGTCTGTCCAGGCTCTGTACGGCATCATCCCCACCATCTGTGGGAAGGGGGACTGCGCTCGGGTAAGGGCTTATGAAACTCTGTATGTTATGTAATTAAGCCCATCTCAATGTACATGTATATCTCCAACATTACCAAAAGAAGACAGAAGAAGCCGAACCTACATGTATGTACAATGTATTAAAGTATAATGTAGTCTTGGAACCCATGTTTTTGATGATTATTAGGTCTTTGTGCATTACATGTACTTCTGCATTTTTATGACCTTTACTTTGCCGGACAGACCACGAATATACAATGAAGACTATCTATGTATGTAAGGCTACCTGTTTATTTTATTTAATACTTATTTCCTTGAGAAGATGAATGTTACAGCTTGGTTATAGCCTTAGGCCTATGAGCATTGCATCTACTTTGTACCTGTATATCATATATTTTTGTTTCAAGAAATCCAAATCCAAGAAATGACAAATAATGAAAGTGATTTTTCTTTCAGCACGTGGCAGACATGATGTTGAGAATGCGGCGAGAGTTGGCGGGAACTGAACCCCAGATCACCCCTCAGATCGACTGTCTGCTGCTGCTGGACAGGACTGTGGACCTCATGACTCCCCTCCCCACACAGCTCACATACGAGGGGCTCATCGACGAGATCTTTGGCATTAACAACAGTACGTGAAATGTTCAGCTTGTCGTTTTGTAGGCCTTAGGGGAAATGGGTTGTTAGTCCATAGGCCACGGAATTGGAAAGCAGAGCATATACATGTACATCTCCTTCCACTGCCTTTTACTTCCCCAGTCGAAGTCAGGGACCCATTTTACACCTGGGTGGAGTAGTCGTGTAAAGTGCAAAACTGTAAGCTTGTAAAGGAGATGTATGGTTTTGAATCTTTGACACCAAATCTTTTTACTGCAAAGAGAACTTTGCTGGTGTTTTTTCTATAGGATTGGAATGTTGACTAAGCCGTATGGGTAAGGTGGTGTCTGTCATACTATAAATCACAATTTTTCGCGGTACTTTTATATTTGTGGTTTTCGCAGTCACTTCTGTACCCCGAACTTATCATTACTGTAAACAAATAATTCACCGACTTCCCTTTTGCTGCACCTGCCTCTAATGGGAAGGTTTAGTTCCACACACATGTGAACTTTTGCTACCGCAGACATTACATGTTTTTGTAAGTGATTTGCAGTTTCTGATCTTTCTTGCAGCGTCAGTAAAACTGCCTCCAGAGAAGTTTGCGTCCGCGAAGCAGCAGACAGGCGGGCCCCAGGAGATGCCCACAGAACCGAAGAAGCTGGTGCTGAACTCAGCGGAGGAGCTGTACGCCGAGGCTCGAGACAGGAACTTCCATGCCATCGGACCCTTACTCAGCAGGAAGGCCAAACTCATATCTGCTCAGTTTGAGGTTAGTTCACATCAAAACTTGTAGGGTTCTATTTGTTAATACAGTCAAAACCAACAAAATCTGGTCAAAGTGAACAAGTGGTCATTACAAATAGGATTCTTAAAAAATAGGAATGTAATTCTGTTTACTTTCGGGGAAAGGAAACTATTATCTTTTTCCAGATGTATGTCACTGTGACTGTGGCAACTGGTGCTGTAACAGACACCTGGTGGTTTTGGATTACATTATGTAGCAAAGTGGCAAGACAGATTTGGAGGGGTTGGTCACCATATACACATACATGTATATGAATATGTTTGGGTTATAAACAGAGCAGTAGTGAAGGTAAGCAATATGAATTTACTTTGCAAATGTTACCATTCTAACCATGACATTGTGTTTGACTTACGCTGCAGGAAAGACATGGAGCCAAGACGGTTGGTGAAATCAAGCAGTTTGTGTCCAGACTTCCCCACATGCAAGCAGCAAAAATCTCCCTCGCTAATCGTAAGTCTGTATTTTTGTTCGATGTACCAACCTGATGAAAATAAATTGAGCACCACTACAAGGACTCAGTGTATGCTTTTTGCATTGTATGCTAGCTCCACATGCTAGCCAGACTTATATGTACTTACATGTACCATGATAATTACATAATATGTGTATGGTGTTACATGTAACAAATATATATCATGCTGTCTTACCCAGACACAACAATAGCAGAGATGATCAAGGAAGTGACAGATTCAGACCATTTTATGGAATCCCTCACTGTGCAACAAGGTGAGCACCATACAAATGTATCTGACAGTAATGTGTGTAGTCTAGCTTTTAGTGACCATGTTGCTGGACCCAAGGAGTCATGAGTTTGAGTCCCAGTTGTGGTCACTCAACCAACTTGGATGCTTTACTGGAAAGGCTTAGAATACAATTGGTCCACTGTTCATCTTAATTATCATTCTATTGGATCTTCTATTTGTTTTTTTTTTGCTTTAAACATGTCATCTTGCTTTATTCTCTGCAGAGTTTTTGAACGGCATTGACACTGACAAGGTGAATCCTTATATTGAAGACTGCATAGCAAGAAAGGAACCAATCATCAAGGTAAATGACTCAGTAATATGAGTTTTGAAACTGGAATTCGGTCAGTTTAAAAAACAATATTGCCCTGTATGAATGTACATTGTGATACTTGTTATATATGTTGTATTTATTGATTAATAATCCTAGAAAAGCAAAACTAGGAGCAGAGCCATTGTTCCAGAAGCAATGTGTTGGTTATAGCTCAGTGATAAAGGACTGCAAGTTTTATCTCTAGTTCATTCATGGCTCCTATATGTCTGTGTGTAACAATGTTATAATAATGGATGTGTATTTATTACAGATTCTGCGGTTAGTGTGTATCCAGTCTGTAGCTAACAATGGACTGAAACAGAAAGCTCTAGACTATTACAAGAGGGAAATCTTACAGGTAAGATTAGTTAATTAGTTATGTGACTGGATATGAAGTTATTTTCTTGTGTCATTCGCTAGATTACTTAAGTTAGTTATATCAGTTAATCTACAAAAAACACTACAATTTTTCCTTTCCTCAGGGTTATATGATTGTATACATAGACTAGATTTAAACTGTGATATATGAATATAGAGAAAATCACTAGAATACTTTGTATGCTAGACTGTATGTTGTCCTGTTGCAGACCTATGGATATGAGCACCTCATCACCCTGAATAACCTGGAGAGAGCCGGTCTGCTGACACTACAGAAACAGAGGACTTACCCAACCACACGGAAAACACTCCGACTAATGGTGGACGATGTCAGTGAACAGGTGGGTTTCTCTTTATACAAGTAGAACTTCGTACTACACCTAAAATGATGGTTGTGGTTAAAGTTAACAGCTTTTATGCCATTTAACTTTCTTGAATCTGACTCCCTGTCACTTTGTGTAGGTGGACAGGGTTCCCAATTTCCCCCCAGAGTATTTTCTCATTATGATCTTAAATGAAGGAAATCTAACAAGTCAGACTGGTACAGCCTTACAATTACAGTTGACAGGTAAGGGTAGAAGATTGATACAAGAGAATGGTCTGAGGAGCCAGATGACATGGGAGAATTGAGAGAGTCAAGGATTAGAGTCTGGAATCTCTGATTTCTTGTTTTACATTTTGTTCCAGAACCCGAATGACATCTCCTATGTGTTCAGTGGATACGCTCCCCTGAGTGTACGTCTGGCGCAGTTCTTGGCCCGTCCGGGTTGGAGAAGTATAGAAGAGGTGCTGAGAATCCTGCCTGGACCAACGTTCGAGGAGGCACAGCGGATACCCGTTGGACTGAGAAAGAAACGTAGGTCTTATAATATACAAGAAGGGTCTTTATGCTATGATTGGGCTTTTCATCCCTGATTTCAGTGACTGTCTGTTATCTACTTGAGGGTCACAATGACTGGTTCTGATTCATACTGCTGCTAGCTGTTGCCATCAACATAACAGATGGTCATTACATCACTGTGAAAGGTTCAATTCTAGCACACCAAAGTAGCTGATCATGATTGGCTTAATTCCCAATTGGTTTTTTAGAGGGTTAAGCACCAGGGAGAAGTTTACATTTTTGCATCAGCATGCATGCTGAAAAGTTGGTCTATGCATTTCTTTCTTTCCATGTCTGACACTGTTTAACCTTCATGCTTAGATGCTAGCCAAATTTGTATCAGTGATGGGGTTAGGCAGCAGGGACAAGGTTAAAGATTATTGATTGATTGATTGATTGATTGATTGATTGATTGATTGATTGATTGATTGATTGTTTTTCCCATCAGGCACCTCAGTAGGAGGAGGGAGTGAGAGTCCTAAGGTGACTCTGGTGTACTTCCTGGGAGGAGTGACATACGCAGAGATCGCAGCCCTCAGATTTCTGTCCCAGCAGGAGGACAGTAAGTATTCACTGATAGATAACTTCAAAACACAAGTGTTGGAAGTCATCCTAGAATTAAGTTTGATAGAAAAAAAAAACACAGTTTGATAAAAGTTAGTAGAGTATTCCTTGATCAGTGACATTAAGAAATATTCTACTAACTGTTAATCTTACTTGACTGATGAACCTCTTCAACGAGTTTGATAAAATGTTAAAACATCAAATCAAATCATCAACCTGTTAAAGCATCAAATTCAGTTTAGAATTTGATGTTTTAACATTTTGCATGGTTCCATTGTGTATGTTGACAATGTTTTTTAGCCAGAAATTTTTCTTTTGATCTGTACATGTACATTTTTGTACATTAAATGTACAGTACAGTACAGCACCATCTTTGATAGATTCATCAACACTCAACCATATCAACTCTTCCTGACAGGCGCGTCAGATTATATCATTGCGACAACAAAGATCATCAACGGACACACCTGGTTAGAGGGACTGATGGACACCCTCTGTCCTGCTCCGTTCCCAGACACCTCAACAACTTCCAAATCTAAGGGCAGGGGATAGTTCTGCCAAGTTTCCAACATTCTACTAGTCCACCAGAACTCTAAATCTAATGGAAAAATATAATTCTGTCACCACCTGTGCAGTGTTCTAGCAGAGAAGGAAGAGGACTTCAAACTATTTGGTTAATTTTGCAAGTCTTCAGGACTTGAGACTATAAAGAATGAGTAAAAATGGCTACAACTAGTACAAGTTAGTAGTAGAACTAACATGTCATGTATCTGCTGAGATTGGTTGGCCAAAATGATTGTCTAGGAAGATATTAAGTACATTCAAAAATGTGAAAAAATTATTAATATGTTATTACAAATTTGGCAACTTGAACCAGCAGCCTTTTTTTGTCTGTAAGCAGGACCAACATCTTGCATAACACCAGGCTAGTTGGGCATAACTGCCTTGACATGTATGTCATTATATTTAATGCTTCAAGCAAAATAACCAGAATTATAGTCAAATAGTGAGCACATTTCATAAATATCATGAAGATCTCCATGATTCCTTTTTCTTCAAGGATCACCTAAGTTTATTTGTGCTTCAAACCACTTGTGACAGGTGAAAGCTAAGCTCCAAGAGAATATTCCAAAATGTGTACAACAGGTCTGAAATGTAAATAAATTGCTGCCAATACCCTACAACGTATTGAACCTCATGATGTGTTACATTAGATACTAGTATAGAAAGATAGGGGATAAGCACAAGGTATAATCTTGCTGCTGTAAATGCAGAATATCATTAGTTGAAGTCCCTTCCCTTTTCAAATATGAAGTACAAGAAAATTCTTGCATCCAAATCTGTATTAAGCAAAATTGCAGCTGCAGAGAAGTGCATGTCCACTATTTTCAAGTAGTCCCTCAATTGGTCTTGAAACATTTGATTCATTACCTTCGCCAAGAAGGTTATGTTTTCAGGGGCGTTCGTGTATGTGTGTGTTTGTGTGTGTGTGTGTCTGTCTGTAAACACGATAACTTGAGAAGGCCTTGATGGATTGTCTTGATACTTGGTAGGTGGGTAGGTCTTGATGAGACCTCAAAATGATTAGATTTTGGACCCCCTAGCGGCTTATTATGGTACTGCAGCTGAACTTCCGGTTTTGATATCTCATGATCTAGACATGCTATGGTGATGAAATTTGGATGGTAGGTAGCTCTTGTGCTGGGAAAGAAGTGGCGTGAGTTTAGGCCCCCTAGAGGCTTGCTCTGGAACTGCAGGGATAAATTCTTGAAAATATTCAAAAGGGGATAACTCAAGAACCGGTTGACGGATCGTCGTGATTTTTGGTATGTAGGTAGCTTACGTGATGCTTAATATGATTATGTGACAATTATGCAAATATGGATGTAATTTGCATAATTTATGGGGAAATTCTATAAATCAGCTGCATTCCATGATAGGACAATTGAAGCTTGTGACATTGGTAATTGACAACGAGAGAAACACAGGAAGATATTGATTATGTTAAAAAGAACTTAATTTGCATAATTAATGAGAAAATTTTATAATTATGTAATGATAACTGCCTGGAATTTCATACTTGTGGTATTTGAAAGTTAAATTGAGGTGAACATCATTAAACATAATTTATTGAAATCAGGACCTCATTTGCATAATTTATTAGGAATGCATTCTTTGTTAATATAAGACTTTTTGTCTTTCGGTTGAGATTATGATAAAACAATATAATTCATGAAAATTAGGTTCCTATTTCTTAAATCAGGGGGGGATAATCTAATCTAAACTTTGTCAGTCATAAAGATTAACATCATTTGGCGAAGGTATGAGATCGGGGAACTCTAGTTAATCGTGGTTTCGTACTCAATAAATCTGTGGCAATGTAAACCATCCATAATTCTAATACCATCATACTAGTAATTATCACATAATATCACCAGTCATAAATGTCTTGAAGGAAGTTACTGTATTTACTGTTACTGTATTAAATGCACACAAGCTGTTGTGAAATTCCAGTTTAGGGCACCAAGTATTGGGGGAAGCCAATATGAACACTGGCAAATTCCCTGAGTGGTAATTGGACGTGTGCCATCGTAACCATAAGTACATGTATTTTCAATACAGTGGTGACTCAGCTGGGACAGTGTTTGGTAAGGCATTAGACTTTCAGCCCTTTGCTAATGAGGAAGGCTTCTTGCTGTGGCTCACGACCCAGGAAGTTCCGCAGCATGTCAGCAGCATCCTAAACATTAAAAACAACAAAACATTCTATCACTATGACTATGTCAAGAAAGCTTTACCATGAGTTTATTTTGAGTAGGTGGGAAAGGGAGGTTTCTACTGTGTTTTGAACTTGTGGATAAAACCATGCTGCAGTACAAGGAAGGCAAATATTTGCAGTGTCATAAATTCCAATTATGAAAGCAAGGGGCACACAGATCCAATTTTGTCCACAACGGTTACTCATCAGTGAAGGCCATCTGTTTTAAAAGGGGGCTAGACAAGGAAGGACCCAAAGGATACCAAAACAACGGCTCAAACAAAGAAACAAAGTGTGAGACTTACGATGGATCCTCCAGGCTTGAGGATCATGTCCCTGTAGTCCTTCCCTACAGCAGGGTTCATGATGCCTTCCTTCCTAAAGCGACTGTAGAACATGTCCATACAGTACACCTCACTCCACTGGGGACACAACAACACAGTGTTAGGTTTCTCTATCAACAATAACCTGATTGACTGATTGATTGTTTGATTTATTGACTGACTAGTAGCTGGCCAATTGATAAAGCGGATGTAAAACTTCTGCATACACCTCCAAATATTTACTAGTTTTGCTGTCATACATACATCCAAGAAGGTAACTATCCTTAAGAATAATAATACTGGAAACAGAAAACGGTTACTCAATCGTATGTACAAGTACAAGTACAAAAATGTATTAAGTATCTCCCAATCATAATAGTATACACTTTGTGCAAGTAGCCTCACCAGGTAGCCGTAGTACTGAGCATCATAGCCGCCAGCAAGATGTCCGAACGTGGCGGGCATGTTGGTCCCTGGTGTCGGTGTCACGCCCAAGATTTTAGTAGACAGCTCACTGAAGGTGGCAGCAGTGTCAGCCTGGAAAAAATTCAGACCAAAAATGAGTCGCATTTCGTAGGGCAGATATTTTGATATAAAATCTGAGAACCATCAAATTTAAATTGGTGTGGTCTTAATTACATGCACAAGGCCTACCTTTTCCCTTGTGTGGATGTTCTGGTCAAATGTTCCCAGCAGGATCTGCCGCAGGTTGAACACCCCGGCGTTGGCGTTCCTCGCCTTCACCAACGTCTCCACCATCTCGTCAGGCAGGTCTGAGCCGTCCTTGTAGTGTTTGGACATGCGGCGGAGAGGCTCCTTCTCCCAACACCAGTTCTCCAGCATCTGCGACGGGGCTTCAACAAAGTCACGCTCTACATTCGTGCCACTGGGGAAAAGACAGTACACCACAATTGGTATGAATACAGCATGAAAAAGAATGAACAAGACATTGAGACTTTAAACTACCAGGAAGTATCTGGTTGAAGGAAACATGGAAGAAATTTTGAAAAAAAACAAAGAAAAAGGAGTTACAATGATTGTAATATTAGTGCCTTCATTAGCTGTATCTGTCCTTGGTGCTGATTTAACAACAGTTACACAGGTACACTTATACTCCAGACATAACAACATCCTTTGATAACCAATGACACAGTGATTGCAGTTCCAGTTACATGTTATATCCTATTGCTAATCTGACTTTCTGGTACAGTATTCTAACTGTAACTGGCTCTAGCAGCAGCATTAACAGAAAAAAAACAAACCTGAAGTGAGCCAGGTCAGTTTGAGCACAGATCTGATGCATCACATGACCAAACTCATGGAAGAAAGTCTCCACCTGCAAAAAAAGGCAATATAGGTGATTGTACAGTGATAAAGGTTAGACATCCAGGTAATGAGATACACAAGAAACTTACTCAAGAAACTGGACAGAATCTGACATTTCAATTATCATCCATTACTTTTCATCAGTGCTGAGTGCTAAGCAATGAAAGCAGTATGTGCTAAGTCTTTGGTATGACTCGGCCGGGGATCAAACGCACAACCTACTGAATGCAAGGTGAACACTCTTGGCCATTGCACCAGCATTACAAAAGTTGATGTTAAATGTTCCACCCACCTCTTCATGCAGCAGTAGTGATGGTCGGTCTGCTGTGGGCTTGGTGAAGTTGGCAACCATTGCTGCAATGGATTTCTGTTGGGAAGATACACCATCATAAATGGTATCTTCATCAAGGAAAGATGTAGTAAATGTAAGAGAAATACCAGAGTTATACACTAACTACAGAACATGAATCACAAGAGCAATGTGCTTACCTGTCTGCTTCCATCTGGTAGCAAGCAGCCAGGCTGTGAAATTGAAACGGACAGGATTTAGAAAACAATGACAATTTCATTCAATAATTCACAGGAGACAAACAACAAGAAGTCTTCAAGAACATTGTGAAAATTCTCCAAATGGCTACAAAAAAGCAGGCAATCTTGTGAGTAGGTGTTGCTCTTTTTTGTATTACAGTAGAACTAGAACAAGAGAAATTCTTACTTGCAAGCCAAAGCAGGCGGCATGCGAGAACTTGCCCTCTCGAGGATACAGGTCTAAGTAGAACTGGCCAAGCAACTCTCCTGACTTTACATCAACCACGTCATACTGGTTAGGGCAGAACAACAGCAGAAGACAGGTTACTACGCAGAAATGTACAGCAACAACATGCCAGCTACTGTAGATCTAGCATCAGCAAACCTTAGTGCAGCAAACACCCAGCATGTCTGCGACTGTTGATCTATTTAGCATCTTTAGAGTGTAACATGACTACCTGTAGACCCCACACAGCTGCATGGAAATATTTCCCTGGTCTCGGGTACAGATCCAGGTAGAACTGCCCCACAAATTCTCCTGATGCAGAGTCCACTACATCATACTAAATGTATGTTATAAGTCATAGGAACTCACATACATAAATATACAGTGTCACTGAACTGTAAAATAGTCAAATTACTAGTATGTGTGCTAATGGTATATGCCAAAGCAATAATAAAATGTTTGAAGAAGTCAATCGTTCAAAATTAATAATAAATGACGATTGATCATGCACAACAAACCAGGGGAGCTGAACTGCACTGATTTTTCACAAAAGTTACAGCTACTTACCCACTAAAATCACAAACCACATAAAATTGTGATGACCTAATATGTAGTCAATACAAACTTGATGCCAAAGGGTTTATCTATCAGCCAGACATGCATGTACAGTTAGCTACTGAAGACAGACTTACCAGAGTCACATCATCATTCCACACCTGGGGATTCTCTATCTGCTCAAACTTCAGACCCAACAGCTCCTGACAGAAGGAATTCAAGAAACGTTACCAACAGAATCATCAAAACAACAGTACTGTACAATGCATAGCTTGCTTAGTCTTAGAATCTAAAGGTTCTGTGTTTTGAAACTTTGCAGACCCCATTGTTCTGTCCTCGGGAAAGGCACTTGACACCTATTTCCTCACTTGACTGAGGTGAAAATGAGTACGTGTACATAGCCTCAGTTTGTGACATCATTGGTGACAACCCAACACCAGTTACCATGGTGAGAAATGTCTGGTTCAGGTCATTGACCTTAATTGTTTCAAGAAGAAGAGGAAGAAGAGAAAGAAACTGAGGTTCTTCAGTAAACATAAAATTGGTACCTGATAGATGTCCAGCAGACCCTTGGTGACCACCTCCATGGGGAAGTACTCCTTGAGCTTCTGGTGGTCGACGGCGTACTGTTTCTCCTCCACCATGTTCATGTAGTACCGGAAGTCTGGACCACTGATCTTATTGTCAAACTCATAGTTGAACTTTTCACACTGTATGAAGAAGCAAATAAAACACATGTGCTGATGATTTTTCTGCTGTTATAATAGACTGGTCCTCACTGTTCATCACATTAGAAGTTCAACTAATGGCAATCAACAGTTCAACTGATGAGAGAGTGGCATGTCTGTCAAATATTTGGATGTTTTTATTTTGTGTTTCTACATTTCAACAAGGCAATTTGAGATGGCAGACTTCACCCCCTTACCCAAAGTGCTTTGTAACATAGACAACACAGCAGCACGATGTATGCCAATGCTGCATAATGTATACATTGTTATGCAGAAACACGTACGTATTCACCTTTATAGTGGGCAATGAGATTTCAGAGCACCAGTTGCTGGGCTGGGATTCAAACCTATAACCCTGAGATCCACACCAAACTCACCTCTTCCTTCTTGTACTTGAGGAAGATTTCCATCTCCTCCTTGCCCAGAGGCTTCATCTTCTCCCCGAGTTCGCTCAGGAAGGAGGCGACAGCCTCGGCTGTCTTAGACATGCGCATCTCTGTGATGAAGGCAGCGTGAGTGGGGTAACCAAGGAGGGACGCTTTCTGCAACAAAAACATGGTTCATGTCAGTGGGAATTTCTGCAGAAACAAGACCATTAAACCTTCAAACATTTGACAGACCTTTCAACAGCCTTTTAGTCAGCACTCCTGGGTTTTTCACTGATCTCATGATCTATAATTTCCATCATTGAGCCTTAATATACTTTAATTTTGAAAAGACAATGTCAGAATAATAACATGTACCAGGTACATAGTTTTACAATCTAATATTTCTACATATAAAAAAAATATAGTCACCTTCTGCCTTAGTTCTACCAGCTCTTCCAAGATAGGCGTGTTCTCTTTAAGGCACCTGGTACAAAAAAAATTAGATCATTATCAAAATGTACAAACAAATCTCTGCATATAATAGTATATCCTAAATTCAAGAGACTTTTGTTCAAAACCACTGCCAACACAGTGCATTATTGTACAGAAATTATCATAAACTTTGTGAACTTTGGGGAAACATCTAGCCAAGAATGCCAGGAATCGAACCCATGGCCTCTCAATCCCATGTCTGCCTACATGTACTTCCCAGGCCACATAGTGCCTTGAAAGTTACCATACCTGGACTGGAAGGCTTTCTCCATCCGCTGCCGAGTGGAGGGAACCCTGGCCTTCTTCATACAGGGGAAGTAGTGTGGGTACTGTAGGGTCATCTTGTACAGTCCGGCATCAGTCTTCTCCAGGCTGTCCACAAAGTCATCTGGCAAACCAGCTGGATAGGAAAGAATGTAAAACAGATAAACAACAAAGTCAGAGGTGCAGGGAGGTACATGTAGTGACGCTATCTTGTACATCCGGGGCAAATCTACGTTCTTGGCTACGTGAAGACTATCCAGAACCGTGCCTGATCGAAACCCGTTCAGGCATAGGACTAGAGGCAAGGCTCTAGGTGCAATACAATGCTTAACTCCTTTAGTAGGTAACTACGTACACATTCTCATACCTAAGTCTTCCTTTTTAAACTCCAAGACAGTTTTCTCTTCATTCAGGTTCTTGTTGAAGTCGATACACAAGTCACTCTGTCGCTTCTTGATCTTCTTGATCTCCTCCTGGGTTTCCTTGGGAAGGTGGAGACCTAAGACACAAACAACAGAAAAAATGTATCTTTATGTTAATGATATATGTTAATGATAATAATAATAATAACTGTTCTTGATTGTAAAACAACAGAACTATACGGATGAACTACAATTGACAACAAAATCAGTGTTTGTGTTTGTACAGTCCACTAATTGTTGCTTGTCTGTTGCTTTGTTTCTGAGATACTTTAACACATGCATGGTTCTTTATGTGTTACCATCCAGTAAATACAACTATGTATGGGTTACTTCTTGAGGTCTAGACTTTAGCTGTTGCGTAAATAAACTTTACATTACTTACATGTACAAATTGTGCTGTTGCAACTCAAATACATGTGTACAATGTAATCAAAACAAAAACAAATTTCTCTTGTTGGTCCATTGTTTTAAAGTTGATTGTAAGTGCTCTGATCAAACCTCAACTTGTGTCACTTAGTCTAGGTCATATCATCAACACTGTATAAGAGAAGGGAGGCATTGAACACTTTGCTTGCAAATATTGCCTTCATTTCAAGTCGCCCTACCGTTCCTCCTGCCATACTTGATGAGCTTCTCCAGGTAGCGCTTGAACTCCGGCGAGAGGTTTGCTGACTTGTCACTCTTCTGTAGGGTCACCAGCACATCGTACACATCCTGACGCATACTGGGGACGAAAGGCAGACAGTCTTTAAGTAAGCCATGGAATTTTATTTTGTTTCATCTTGATTATGGGTCCTTAACCAAAGAATTGAAGACCTAAGTGCAGAAACTAGTGCAAAATTTGCTTTTCCCTAATTTTATTACCTGCTGGGCCTTGGTGTCCAGGAGCCATATAGCTGGGAGTCAGAATGTGAGCAAACTAAATATGACTTCAAATTGAAGTCGTACAATACCCGAAAAACAGGTACCGGTTGGGACAGTTCATCCTCACTTCGGGACAACTGAAATTTGTTTTCGGGACAGTGCTGGGACAATAATAAGAAAAATCAATTTCGAGGCCTGACCTGATCTCCACGTCGAACTCTGACAGCTTCTTGTCGGCCTCGGTGCTGGTGTCCCGGATGACCTTGTCAGGAGACACGTTCTGCGGGAAGTCCAGCATGTTGCGGAATGTCGAGTACTCCACATCGCTGTCAGCTATGGCCTGGGGACAACAAACAGAAGAACTTAACTGTAAGGTAATTTTACAATTTGGATGGCAACAACAACTGAACATAGTACAAAAAAGAGGTAAGGAATAAAATTTAACATCCTAATTACTGAAACAAAAGCAAACATAAGTATTTAATGTAGTGTTACAAACGAGTAGGACTAATCATGAGTTTTCGTGAGCTTTTTCTAATACAAAAGCAGTCTTTTATACAAATATCAGCATTATCCATAGTAGGCTCAAATGCAATGCCATTCCTGTGCTTCAAATCCTTTTGTTTGCACTTGTGCAGGGAATATTAAAAATTACTAGGACCATTCAAATATCATATATATGATACTACATGTAGATTTAATTCTAGTGACTTGTATTTCTTGACAATTACATTTTGTATATACATGTACTTGAGTAACTAGACTAAGTATATACGTAGTTTTGATCTAGACCCGCAGCCAAAGAAAATGAAAGCTTTTTTATTTCTTTACTCCTTTTTTTCTCTGTGTGACTGTTTCGTCTGAATGTTTAACAGGAGGTATGACCTTGCATGCCTAAGAACCTATTCAGAAGGTCGTTTGGTGTTCACTGAAGCAAAGCAGAGAGACCTTTTGTGTCCTTTTCACCTCTGACCTACATGTCTTAAAATCTGCAATGCAGTAATTTTCCACTGGTGCTCAAAGGGTATGTTAAAGCTCTATTGTACACAAAATCGAAAATGCAGGGCTCAAAATACCTTTTTCTGCATTTTTTGCATTTTTATCTGCACCAGACAAGTTTTACCTGCACCACTCAGAATATGAGAAGAATGGATCATACTACTATTACTAGAAACTGTTTAGATTTTAGAAACCATTGCAATTGGTTACACCAAGTGATGATTTTAGGGTTTGTCAACTGGTATTGTTTTACTTTATCTCTGGGGGATAATATTAGATCTTCTCTGAATTATTTATTCTTTGGTCGTCTTGACAACCAGGTACACAATGATGACCTAAATTTACCAGCAAATGAGAAAAATGTTTGCTATTGTATATTGCGTCTATAGTACAATTGGCTTGTTTTTGCTTGCAATGTAAACGAGGGAGTAGGCATGCATGTATGTCTCATTCGATGATTTGGACATGTTTAATAACGTCTATTAGAAAGTGCTTCAAGGGCAAAATGATTTAATATAGCCTAGCGGCTGAGTAAGTGAATTGCATGGCACACAGCCACATAATGAATGAGTCGGCAAATATTTGTACAATACCTAATCAGAAAATCGGAAGCTCTTAACACTTCATCAATCAAAGCTGCATGCAATACTTTGCAATTTTCCGAAAGGCAGGTAAAATATATGTCAACATATGGATGACTGTGCAATGTACATAGTGGGGAGGGGGGCCTTACTTCCGTGGCCATGTTACACTTAAATTGCCGAGTTTACCACATCCTACCTTAAGAGAGTTCTCAAAAGTGACTTCCTCCGGTTTGAGAGCGCCCACGGCGTCGTATACGGCCTTGGTCTCGGCTATGAGACTGTCGGTACGAGAGAGAATGTCTTCTGCAGTCAGGTCCCATCGCATGCGGTTCACTCCGGCCGGCGCCATGTTGGACTGATAGAGTTCGCAATGACAGGTGGGCGGATAGCCTCTACCAGGCTTCTGAGGAGGTTGGAAAGAGTGGCCAAATAGACAGATAACATGCCTGTGGAGCTCAGAGTGGCAAGCGGTGCTCCAAACGCCCTACTTATTCCCCTGGCATGTTATCTGTCAATTTAGCCAACTTCTCTCTCTTTCTAACACCTTTTTTCTATTAATATATTATTAAACCACCTCTGAAGCCTGGTAGAGGCCAGAGGGCGGGCCATGTACGGTAGTTTTATTTTTGCGGCGACATCTCCACCGTGAAACTGTGACACCCCGGATATTGCTTTTCACCGAAGAAATAACTAAACATGTTGTCAAGAAAACATGTAAAAGAGACAAAAGTTGCGGTCGGTTTAACTTTTATTCTTATGATAACTAGTGTCCATCCAGCAAGTTACTGATCCGATCGTGGTTGCTATAGTCGCACGGCTCTGCGTCGGGTGGTCAGTAGACGTCCGAACGGTCGAGATTTTTCAAGAGAACAGCGACTCTGGAACACATAAAGTTATATTTGACGGAAACATGGTTATAAAGCGAAGAAAATACAGGACGCATTTGACTCAAATTTAACTCAAATTCAAATTCGATGTGAATCGTTCTACAGAAAGGTAAATTTGGTAAAACTGCTACCAAAGTTGATTGGTGGTCGGGGAAAGGGACGTGTGTGAGAAACAACTAGGGGCTTTACCTTTCCTCGCGGACGTTCATGTTGTCAGACAGGAACTTCTTCAAGGCTTCCCCGTGGCATTTCTTGTGCTCCTCCTTGGCGAAGGAGCCGACGGCTGACACCTCGCACAGGACGAAGGGCCGGGCCGTGCTGCCCATCGTGGCCCTCTGCCCCGCACGGACAAACACCATCACACGCTGCAGAGAGGGGGTGCGGGTGTTATTTTTCTATTTATTTTTTTTTTTTTATGGCTCCTGCTAGCTATTGATGGGCGGTGACCCAAAAATAAAAGGACTAGCTACTCCTCACGTAGCTTCTTTTTTCTGGGAGATTTTAAAAGCTTCAAGTGTGAGATGTTGACAAAAATGTGCCAAGAAATTGCAGTAAATGTCAAGTATACGTAAGCTTAAGACTCTAACGACTTGTAAGGATAAGATATACTCTATTAACTAGAATTCCGAGATCTCATACCTCCATGAAATATGATCTTGATATGTAACACGGTGTTAAATGTAAATTTCTTCTTTAATTGTTCAAATGACCTCTGCATTAACATGATATATGCATCGTGATGTATGTTAACTTTTGATTAACTTACAGATGTCCCAAGTATGACATTCTCATCATTCACCATTACGAAATCATAGAATTTTCACATTAATTATGCACCTCTGGTGGTTTCTGAAGTTGCTCCGCCAGGAAAGACGCCACTTTTCCCTCCACGTCTGGCACCACGGCGTCTCCAGCGAGGTTGGTATTCAGAACACACAGCGGCATTTTCAGAATGCCCAAGAAATCGGGTCGACCAGAGCTATTGAAGTTTTGGTACTTTTCTTAGACTAGTGCAATCTCTGTGGAATAGAGTTGTCTTTTGATGACGTTGTGTCGGAATTTTGAAGCAAGATATTGCAAAACAAATGTCGATTTTAACGAAAAAGCCAAGTTTTGGGGGAATGAAACAACTACGTGTAGTCTCTCCCGCCGGTCTTGCGTCCTGAAGATGTCCGTTCGAAAACCTGTTTTTATTCCGCACAATTACGCATGCTCTAATCGCCTACGATTTCTTTTCTGACAGACTGGCTATTCAGTAGAAAGTAGGCTAATTATGATTACTTTGAATTGTCACAATTAGAACGGTCGGATGCGTCAGCTAATAGTATAACTCATTATTTATACTTGAAGCGTTTGAAATAGGGATGGTTCTGGATTAAAATACAATACTTGCACTTTAGTCAACTATCGCTAGGTGTCATTTGTCAGGGGTCACTCAACCCTGAACAGCATCATGGCGTCTGTTGGCGGGATAATTGCAACCGTTCTCTCGGTGCTTGTGGGTCTTGTTTTCGCCTTTTCCGGCTCCGTCAAGCTTTTCCCGGCAGTGAATCCAGAATTTCATCAGGAAATGGTGAGTTATAAAACTCGTCACTAAGTTCTAAACTGTCCAAATTCCTGCCATAGACTTTTGAATTGTCTGCATTTTGGAACGCCCCTCCCACCCATAATAAACCTGTTGGTCAAGTTTTTGCTAATACTATTGGGAATACATGTATTACATGTATATGTAACGTTACGTACACTTATGTGGAGTTTTGTATACAAGAAATACTTGAAGTAAAGATATTGTTCAGTGTACTATTATTATGAATAGAAGAATGACTTCAGGTATTTTGAAAATGTAATAAAGACTAGAAATTGATTATTTATGAACATTCTATATTACATAATGCAATTAGAGACATATTTTTCAGTGATCTGCAATATTGCAGAATGTCAAAATTTTGTTCTGCTGCATTTGGGAAATACTTTTTGCAAATCTGGATCTAAACCCATATGATAAACACAGGAATGCATGTCGGCAAACATTTTACATGCAATTTGGAAAATACATGTACATGCAAAATTAGCAAGTACAGTATGTAGTAAACACCAAAATTCTAAACACTTTTGGACCCCTAGCCTGATTTCTTTAGTCTGCAAAATTGCAGGTTGTTTAATTTTTCTAATACAATAATATTCAAGTTTTATTTTAATGATTATATTTGTTTATTCCCAACAGGTCAGCAAATTTGCTACATATTCTCCAATCTTCCCGCTGGCCGACATCACAGGATTCCGCCCTCCTCCCGTGCTCTACCGCCAGGTTGTTGGGAGCCTGGAGCTCATTTCTGGCCCCGGAATCATCCTCTTTCCCTCCGAGCTGAAAACCGTCTGCAACGGAATCCTGTTTGTCATCATGTGTGGAGCAACCTACACTCACTTTGTCCTGGGAGAGCCCTTTGTTGTGCCGCTGGTGCTTGGAGCGATCCTGGGGTGCATTTACTTCCTCAGGCGCCAGGGGGAGCTTCCCAAGGAGAAGGCCCAGTAAATCAACCAAAGTAGTCTAAGGAAAGCACTTCGGCAGAACTTATACATACTGCCCCTGTACCAAACCCGTAATGTGTTGTGCATAGCACTTTGGCAGAACATTGGTTTAAGATTGTATGTTGTGACAGAAAAGATATCAATGGGCAAAATTATGATTCCATGTGGACCAACTATCCAAGGAAAACCATGAAAAATCTGGGTTTTGTGCAGGCACAATGCGTCTGCAGGCATGCTCCAATTTGAGTCCAAAGGACTCAACCACATCTGTCAGACTGTGTCAAGTACAATGCATCTGTGGGATTCCGACTGCCAAGCTAGCCACTATTTGTATAATCTAAAAGTTTTCTGCTGGCAAGTCATAGTCATTTTCAAACCATGTATACTGCCAAAGGATGGAACGGTACACAGTACTGTAAAATTTTGAGTCCCACATTAGCAACACTGCGAAATCTGCATGCTGTCTAATAACCCACTGTTTAAAGAGTTCTCTATAGCTTAATTGTTGACAATCAATGCATTATCACGTATGATACCTCATGATCATGAAAAGCAATAATATTAAATACCGTAGTATGATGTGCAGCATTCATATGTAACATTACTTGTAGTTGCAGTTGTAGTTTATAGAGGTTTTGTGTATATTTGCTTATGTATCTATGGTTATTTGAATACAGTAGCATGACGGAGAGTGAAGGGGGAACGGTGTAACCACAGACTGACAAGAAAGTTGAATTGAGGGTCAAAATGGTATAACCATATAGAAGGGAGGAAGTAGATAGTACCACAGGTTATCTCATATTCTGTCTTCAGTATCAATGCTATATTGATCATGGGAAAATGCATAATATAATTATAGAATATGCATATAAAATAACATCAGTGAATTCTTTGTGAATGTTTCTTATTTCAGTGTTAAACTGTGTAAGACATGAAGAAACATGGCATTCATGACATGTACAGACTATTAAGATTCTTCAAAGCCACTTGTATTGTAATCAAAACTGAAGTACGTCACTTTCTGCTTGATTGTGCACAAGTTTGCCACATTTTGTTCTTCCATAATGATCAGATAAACTTCACAGTTGTACAGTACAATTTCACATTTAACAGTATCCATCAATTTCTCACTTTGTAAACCCTCATTCCACCACTTCATTACTACATATCTAAAATATCTTTTTCTCTTCTTCTTCCCATGACTATACAGATACCGTGTAGCTAGTTTGTAATTTGTCATGTTTAGTCTTCTCAAGTATCATTGACAAAATTACCTCTCAACATATACAAACATTAGCACATGACTTTTATATACATAATATCACAGTCACAACTGTATTTTTCCTGGTTCTTCTTATATTACACATTTTGACATTTCATAAGTTATCATATTTTTCTTTAGAATAGGTACATCATTTCAGATAGTCTATTCAATGGCTTAACAACAAAATCAAGAGGTAGAATGGCCTAAAATATACATTTTAAGCCTTACATTACAAGTAAACATTGAGTAACCCTATTGAACTGTGTTTTTCTCTGCACGATACATTTAGTTACACCACGAAATATAGATGGGTTTGTACGTATACATGTGCAATGGACTTTCAGAAATTCCCTGTCCCCTCACCCCAATGTTTAAATACGTGGGTATGAGTAAAATACCAAGTACTTTCCCTATGATTTGGTAAGCCAAGCCAAGATAAGCTTAGCACAACATTTTTTTGATGATAAACCAATTCATCCATTTGTACACGGTTATCCATGTGCAACAAATCAAGTATATATTATAAGAATGTCATGTCAAGAGTAAATTTAGTGTTTGCACAAAGGTCATGATTCTTTGTCTATGTGTCAGAGTTAACAGCATTTGACAATGTGTGCTAACAGTGCACTAGGGCTGCATACCTGTGCCAGAACAATTTAATGAAGAAGTAACATACATAATCTTTAACAGAATAGTAATCCTAAATAATCCTAGTACCCTACATAGAGAACCCACGATTTCAACTTGAGAGGATCTCAATTCAAAGACGGTGCTGATTTCAATACAAATACTACAATGCTCTCCTCTTTTTTTTTCGTGCTAAATTAATCTTTTTGGTAGTAATATCACATATCTAGACAAGTAACAAAACAAGTCAGATAAGGCCACACCATTTTAATTTCTTGGTTAACGGATTCGCCGCTTCATTTTTTTCTGATTTGCAAATAAAAATAAAAATTCAGAATCAACTGCAAAATGCTCATATTTTGCCCTGAACAGTTGAAAACAGTCCTTTTCATCCTAGTAGTTAAAGTTATTCTATCTTTCAATGCAGTGGTATCATTCGAAGTTCAAAATTCATTGCTTAAATTTTGAACCAGCCTGGTATGTTGACTTCATGGCTCCTATCGTACCATTTTGGGCCATAATAGGATGCCTAGGGCTGTTTTTATTTTTATTATTTTTTCGCCCGCTCGCTCCATTATTTTTCTTTAAAAATCCGTTAACCAAGAAATTAAATTGGTGTGGCCTAAGCCAGTGTACATGTAAGCCTATTCAGGTACAGTACCTGTACATTAATGTTCAGGTATTTTGGACGCAGCCCTACTGTGCACCTAACATGATCCTAAACGTTGAGTTCATGATGATGCCAACTTGTGAGTTCGAACGCTAAGGATCCAAAATACACAGCTCCCGAGCAATAAATAAGCAACAACAAAAAAAAACAGCTCCAGAATATATACACTTCATCTGTAGGTCTATCCTCTGGCATGCAGTTTCACCGAGGTTGTGGTTGTGTGGTCTGTCCAGTCTCTTGCATGCTCCGTCCCTTGGTCTCTATGGGGAGCAGCATGGAGGCAACAGCAGCCAGTAGACAGATGGTCCCGTACACTGATACAGTCACGTATATGGAGGATTTCAGCATCACCTGTGGTTTGTTGGAGGAGAATTGTTAAATTCTTTTTACAAACAATGCTGAATGCAATTGAACTGGAATTATCATCGAACTGGAATTAAAATTCAGTCTTTTTGTCTCTGCAGTTACACCACTTTCACTCCTTACTTCCTGTATTCAAATAACTATGGAAACACACGCAAGCAGACAGACAAAACCTCCAAAACAGCTACAGTATACATTTACTTAGACGGTGGAATTTCTTTGCAGACAAGGAGGCAAAAAGGAGGATGTTTAAGTCCACCGATGAAACAAGTCTGGTACAGTACAATTGACAAAACAGATGTTCATTGTCTTTTCAACTTGTGATTTCCTGGTAACAGATCATGGCAAAAAGTGCCGCAAAAGATTCTGCATTTGCAGTAATTTTGAGACAGAAACAAAGCAGTAATTTCCAGTAATTCTGAGACAGACACAAACCTGTGCGACAAACGGTGTGATGAGTGCTCCCAGTCGAGCCACTCCACTGCAGGTTCCCAGCCCCAGGGCTCTTGTTGTTGTCGGGTAGATCTGGAAACAAGCAGCAACATTTTAGAAACATAGATGCATCATTTTAGCCAGTGTCAATCTTGCCATCGTTTGACAGAATCTTAACCATCAAAATCTTGCCCAATCCGTCATCTTTGAAGGACAAAAATTGGTGTGTAACGATATGGAAAGAGATTTCATTGAACTAGGCTTAGTCTATCATTAAAGTTTGCCCCTCAAAATGCAGAAAATATATTAGGAAATAGCAGTTTAAAGACACCGAAGGACAGTAACTGTTATTCAAGCTAATTTAATATACTTTCACTTACCTCTGGTGTGTAGACATAAGAAGCCTGGAATGCTCCAGAAATAAAGGCTCTCGCAATGAAGATGAAGATGGTCAACCAAGTTCTGGGTAAGGAAAAAAATCATGAAAAACATTAATATTACCGTACATTATATCCAGGCTTCAGAAGCAGCTGGAAAGAGGACGAATCAGCCAAATACATGTAGACAGATAATATGCCAGTGGATAAAGGAGTACAGTTTGCCCAAAGTGACAAACTGTACTCCAAAGTGGCAAACTGTAGTCCACAGTGGCAAACTGTAGTCCTCTAGTAGACCAACTGCCCTGCATGCCTATCTGTCTATCTGGCCAATTTATACTCTTTTCAGCCGCTTCTGAAGGCCTGGTACTGAGGTAACTGTAATTGTCTTGCTTTTCCTGATGTCCGCTTGCTAACTTTTCACCTCGAAATGTCAGAAGGCTAAGGACTTAAAATATTGGTGTGGCCTTATACTTACCTTCCTCCACAGGTCAGGAGAAGAAATGTGAAGAAGGCAAACATCACAAACTGCAAAGCCATGGTGCGCTTCCTTCCTAACCACTCTATAATCAGCATGGTCACTAAAAGTCCTGCAAAAGGAAAGAAAAATAAACGTCAATTGTTGCTTGTGTCAGTGGGAAAAACTCACTGAATATCTAAGGGACCACTAAAAAGTTAGGTCACATTGGCCAGGTAGTCCCTATAAATTACATCGCAAACCACAGTCTCTTACCTGGAAACTCAGCTACTGTTGTCCACAGCAGGTCTGTGTAGTCTTTTGTATTTAGATACTTGCAGCCTGCGTAACACTTAAACACTTCGTGGCCTTCTTGGCTCGCACCTGAAGAAATTGATTGAAAAAAGTTGAGCAAATGGCACAAACGACCAAAACAAATGAATGGGATTGTAAAAAAAACTTAAAATCCAATTGTCAGTTCAGAAACTCTTTTTTTTTTAAATGTATATAGATTGCTTTATGTGTAGTTAACTGTCAATGTTCCTTGTCGTATGTACATGTACATGTTGTACACTATAATCCTGAAATAAGAGATTCATTCATTCAAACATTGTGCTACCGGTAAAGGGGTTCCGTTGACAAAATTCAAAGTTAAGAATCTGCTACAGGATGATCTGATACAAAAGAAACAGGCAGACATGGTGTCTAGGTGGTCTAAGACCTGTTGACTTCGAATCTAAAGGTTCTGGGTTTAAATCTCTCTATATAGCCTAGGCCACAGATAGGCATTTACACCTATTTCCTTCCTCAACTCAAAGTGGAGGACAGCCACACCTTAAGCACGTTAAAGATCCTGCCACTTAGCAAACAAAGTAGTGGGGTCGTGTGGCATAGCGGCAGCGTTCTCGACTCGGAACCAGAGGCCCCGGGTTCAAGTCCTGACATGCCACCGATCTTGTGCCCTTGGGAAAGGCACTTTACACGACTTTCCTCACTTCGCTCAGGTGTAAATGTCCCTGTGTTGGTGGCGGCATTACTATAAGTTGAAAAAACTTGAGTGTGCCGTCACCACGTCTTGTGATTGCATGTTTCGAAAACAAAAACAAAAAAAAGTAGTGGATTAAACCTTACAGTCCGGTTTAACACTGCTCTTACTTGACCTGTTAAGGGCTGACTGGTTATGAGAGACAAAGAAAAATAGCTTACTGCAGAAGCTTTCATCTCCCGAGTCTTGAGCCTGGAACAACTCTGTCGTCATCAAAACTATCCCATAGTAGGAGAAGGCATTGGAGAACCTGTCAAGTTAGCACATCATGCAATGACTGAAAAATGTTTTGAAATTCTCAACTTAAAATCAGGTAATTTACGATAAATGAACAGCTGTTTATTTACTAATAGACTACCAACATTATATAATGGTACATGACAAAACATAGGCTGTACAATTATGTACAATTGATACTCAATATGAAGTATCCTCTTTTATAACTTCCTCGTCAATAAATATTTCAACCTACTATATTCAAAAAGGTAAAAGAGCATAATTTACCATATAAACCACAGCAGGACAGTTGTTAGTCTAAGCTGAGGAGTGAACAAATCCTTAAACTGCCCTCTTTTCTCCTGGAACAAAAAGGACAGTCACAATATTTAGAAACTAAGTTATTTTGTGTGTCTGAATATAAGGGTGTCAGAACATAGGGGTGTCAGAACATAGGGATGTTGGAACATAGTGGTATCAGAACATAGGGAATTGAACTGTTAACTGTGTTAAAGGTCTCACCGTAGCCTCTGGTAGCACCAGTCTCCCCAGCGGCATGGGAGAGTTGTTCTCCAGTGCGATCTTCTTCAGAGTGTTCTGTGCCTTCTCTGATTCTCCACACGCCACGTGGTAACGAGCACTTTCTGGCAACCACTGCAGGAGGACACAGACACAAGCATTGCATTGAGTCTATAATAGTTTACTTGATTGAACATTTCTATATTCCTGAGAAGCGTAGACTACGGCAACTGGCCATGAGGCATGAGGCCAGAGGTCATGTGTCGACCTACCTTGCAGCTCACAGCAAATATGGCACAGGGTATTGCAGAGAAGATGAGGAGCCACCTCCAGCCGAGGGTGGGCATGACTACCAGAGCCAGAACAACCTCTATACACGTCCCGATGGCCCAGAAGATCTGGTAACAGACACATTGATGAAGGTTAGACATAAAGGTACTAATGAGATAGACTAGAAAACAGTTTCTCAAGCAACTGGATGGATTTTGAATATACCGGTAATTGTCATACAATGTAAGCAAATTTTCATAGTTCTCCAGGTACAAAAAAAAACAGTGAATTCAAAGACTGCTAATGCAGTATTGTTATTCTGTTATTCTGTTATAACAATGTTATTCTTTTACACTTATGCTTATAGAGATTGTATTAAGATAAGACTATATTAAGATAAATTTTCACCTCGAGGAAGACCACACATTGTGCTCTCTGTTTCCGTGGTAAGAATTCAGCATACAGTGTGACTCTGTAAAAAAATTGTGAATTTCTTCAATGACATACATTCATTATTATCACAAATTTTATGCATATTCCACTTCCCCACAGCATACGTGACCTCAAAGTCCTTTTAGTCTGTAGTTAAGCATTGTTTACATGAACAAGGCATCTCTAATTCTGTGTCTCTCTTTGATTGCCTTGTTATGATACTTTTCATCATTTTTTTTCTTTCATACCATCATGTCCCTATAAGGACACAACAATGTCTTTCAACTGGTGTCTTTCCACCGAGTTTTTCAGCAAAATCCTTAAAACATTGTGTCCAGAACATCTCATGATGAATAATTGATGTTCCATGCCTACAGACGTGTACAGCTGGATGGGCCCTGGTGATTATGTTATTAGTGTAATGCCTGCTGGCTCATGATGACCTATAATGTCATCTCTATAGCAACCAATAGGGCACTGTGGCATCAGTGGAGGGACAACCCATTATTGCCTAATGTGGGAGGAGATGAAAATGGGGACTGTGGACAACAACTGCACAGTCACAACTGTTCTTAGTGACTGTATTTAGTTGTGACTGTATTTCAGCACCAAGGACAGACATTGCCAATGAAATACAATTTGAACAGCCATTTGATAGTGTGGTAGAAAAGCAATTGTATCCCAACTAAACCAAATGAGTGAAGCACTATAATGACTGTTAGATATTTTTGTGTGCTACAACAACTATGTTAGTGACCATATTTCAGCACCAGGGACAGACATTACTAAAGAAGTACAATTTAAAAATTCATTTGATAGTGTGGTAGAAAAGCAATATTGTAGCCAAACTGAGCCAACTAAATGAAGCACTATGACTGTTAGATATTTTTTGCATGCTAAAATGAGTTCTTAAAATGTTAATGTGGAAAAAACAGAAATAAAGGAACAGTAAAAACTTACGACTGTGGCACGCCTCCGATGCCGAACCCTACAATCCCACGTAGCAGCACTATCCAGATGTAGGTGGGTGAGAAAGCACTCAGGATACCGTAGTACAATATCCACACTGCCGAAAAGAACAAACCCTGGGGGAGGGGGGGGGGACATCAGAAATACATTTATACCTGCACAGCTCCAATTTTTCCTGCATTAACCTTTTTATGCTTTCTAGCTAGCCCTATCTTAGTTTGATCATCACAGTCTTAATTTGATAAGAATACAATGTAGACAGGCCTGGATCTAATTACAGATCATATTCTATGTTGGGAAGATAGAGTTATGTTATTAACTTACAGGTCTCTTGACTTTTAGTATTGTTTCTTGACTAACAATTGTACAATGCTTTCAAAGCATCCGGCTTTATTCCACTCGGAATTACAACAGCATTTAGCTAATGAAATTATATCATACAATTTTACAATTCATCTAAAATATCTATAGTTGTCAAAAGCCAACTGTGGAAAAGCTTGCAATGCAAAATGGTGTAAAAAAATGTTTAGTAGTAACTTACCAGTCTGCGGCCATATCTGTCACAGATGTTTCCCCACATGGATGAACTCACCATCATGCCAACAAATACGATCTGGGTGTAGAAAAGAAGGGCAAGGATTCAGCAATAATTCTGATGTGTCTTACAATGTTTATAAACTTGTCCTGCATGTTACGATTTCATCAATGGCTGATGGTATTCCAAAGAAGACAAAGGGTCCAGATCATCTAAAATATCAAGTAAAAGATTGTGATCGATGAGGAACCAAAATAGATTAATGCTTAATGAATTTTATCCAGTTTTAAGAACCGTGCTTTATCCAGAACCTTGCTCAGGCACAGTTCTGCATAGTCCATGTGAATCCAGAACTGACTGCCTCAAACAAATTTACATCCTTGGATATGCATTTAGACTATCCAGAACCATGCCTGATCCTAACCATGGCCCATTAAGGCATGGAACTAGATATGCACAGTTCTGGATATAATAGCCAACCAGTGGAGAGGGAGGTTGTTCAGACAAGGGGCGTGGCGTTACCGTGGTGATAAAAGCCTCCTCCCAGCTGCTGAGCTGCCACTCACAGAGGAGCTGGGGAGACAGGATGCTGAGGATCATCATCTCCATCGCATCCGCCATCTAAACACAAACAACAAGTCTATTGTAACACAATCAGAAAGGGATGACTCAGAGACAAAAATCTTCAAATTTTCCATCACAACAAGGTTGGAATTGATTAGATAACGACAATAATGATAAAAAATTGATATGAAAAATCTGGGTTTCAAGCAGGTTCAGTACATTCTGTTGATGTGTTGAGTTACATAAAAAAAAAAAACTTTTCAAAAATCTTTGCATACCCAAGCCAATCCAGAGAGGACAGACAGCTTGATCTGGAACCTCCCGAAGCCGATCGCTTCCACAGCATCCTCCACAGTAAAGGTGTCTGCAGCAGGAAGACAAATAGAAACAAGACTGAACAACTTGAAAAGTATTGACCATTATTGTGCACTTAAACCATCACATATACCGGTAGTAGTCTTCTTATCAACATCACTCTAAACTCCTGAAATAAAATAATTGAGACCATGATATTGCACCTGTTCATCCTTACCTACGTAAGAGTTTCACAGCTTGCAATTGAGTATAATGCAATATAAAACAGGTACACAAAGGTAAGCAACAACTGTATAGGCCTACACTGGCTATTGGACATGTGAAATGCAACAGTTGTTCAGCATAACATCAGTATTAAGTAGTATTAAGAGTCAAGCATGTTATGGCAAGATTCTTAAAAGCATAAAATCTGAAACTCTGTCTACCTGATACAAGGTAGGGCTTATTGTTGGGACCGGTGAGGGGGGTTCTCTCTGAATCACTCCTTCCTGGGAGACACAGCGGTTCAAAAATGTCTTCATTGTCATCCTCGATGTCTACTTGTTCTAAAGGACTTAGAGCCATAGCTGGTACAATCTTTCCATTCAAAAGGAAGAATACGGTAGCTGACTTCTTGTCGTTTATCAATGGATAAAGGTATGCATATGGTATTGGTAAGGATACACCAAGATGGCTGCCACGGGTATGAATCCAGTCTTGTGAATTAACACAATATTAGCCTAGGGGACCTCGTTTTAGGGGAGTGTTACACTTAATATCATTGAAAGGGGTGCGATGCGTGAGTTGGTGTATGGACTCATAAGTGCAATAAGTGCTTTTTTTCTTACCTATATGGCAAACGATTTTCAGGAAGTTTAATGTTTATGTTTAATTACCAATACAGACAAGTACAATCTAATAAGAAAAATTTCATCTGGCTTATCAAATGTTTACCTATTGACTATTCAGACATGGTTTATTCTAACTAGATGCTATTAGACAGTAGAAAAACAGGTTGAACAACAAGCTTTGGGGGTTTCACCCGGCAGAACCTAGCTATAGACAGTAAGGCAAAGTTGATCACATAATGATTATTATAATAGCCTGAGTGTGTTGTATGAAATGTCTTATTGCCAAAAAGTTTGGGGGTTGGTTAGTCAGACACTATGCAAATTTTCATCCTCAATTGTCTTAACGTCCTTGTCCTGCAATGATCAGGACAGGTAATTGAGGAACTAGGTATACGTACAAGGGTTCAGTCATGAATAGCCTGCTCAGAAATCTGATAACATCATTAAAGGGCCTACAAAAAAATGTGACGCTGCTGTAAGGCCAAATTGTAAGAAAAATTGTAAAAAGACTAATTGTAAAAGGCCAAATTTGAAGGTTAAATTTATCTTTTACAATGCCGCGACATAACAGCATCAAAATATCATATTGTTCAAAGTGTAACAGCATAATTTTGGACTCAGAACAGAGCAGTTGACATTGGTGCTTGTACCGTCTTACACTATCTTCCATAATCCTTAACTGGCAATACAAATCTAGTTGTTTGAGTTCACAGTCAGTGCTACCATGTACCTGCAGACAACTGGACGTGTGTCTTGTCCCCAGTCAGTGGTGTTTTCTCAGAAGGCTGGGCTGAGTCTTCTCCCTTACCTTCGCTGTCTTTCTGCTCACGTGGCATCATCACAACAAGCTAATGATTGTACAATGTAGTTGACACTGCAGAACTTTCTGGCTTGATAATACTAGGCATCCACATGACACAGTCATGTTCCAAGGACTTCGCACTGCTCTAACTCAATGTCTATAGTGTTGTACATACCGGTAGGGTGAAGAGGTTATAGTGTCCTGAGGCTACGATGAGCAACATTTAGCTCAAATAGCATCCAAGGTCATACCACTATTGACAGGGTTCATGAAACTATATTATGGCTATGTGCACTTAGTATTTATTAAGTGGATAAGCTTGGCTGTATAGGTTTTAACTTGTACTGTGATAATAACTGACTCAGAGACAGGATTCTCAATGGTAATGGGCTAGTGGGAAAATGATGAAAGGGACTACAGGCCCTAATAGCCAGATGGTCCGTATGCAGGTCATGGTCGCTGTAATACAGGGCTCAAAATCCTTTTTTCTGCATACCCAGACTGTTGCAGGTTAGCACTTTAGTACAGTAGAAGGTAGACATCAGGAATACTTTATTCTACTGGTTTAACGTAAGTATGCAGGTGATATTTCAAGACCTGAAGTACCTGTAGTATTACACAGGCTTAACTTAACGTGTATTTCGATAAGGGCGTTGTAATTTTGTTGTTAAGTTTCTGGGGAGCCCTAAATGTCAAATGTAATATACGTTCTTTTGTAATGTGGAAAGATAAATTTAGACCTGACAAGTTAAGATATGGCTGTTATTGTATTTGTGTCAGGCCCAAGGTAGCTTTACAGACAGCAGTGGCTTAACTGTATATACTTAGTAGTGCTAAATTGTGTACACTCTATAACGTGATTAAATTGGCCGTGACATCATGGGCCCTGCTAGGCACGTACATTTGTACATATGAATGCATGTTAAGTGTACCATGTTTAATGAGGTCTTGCCTTATAATGGTGCTAGGGAGCAAAGGCAAACGCTTAAACGCTGTAGTAAATATTACATCAATATCCAAGTCAGGCCTCAGAGTACATTATACTGGGGGGATGTTGTATTCGAGATCTCTTTAGATAATTTTTCCAGGATGGCAGATACGATATGTGATCTGGCAAAATAACGTTTAACGTTTAACTTAGTGTAAGAGCACCTAATTGTCCATCAATGCTGAACTAACAGTGCCATGGAGACATTAGCTGGCGGTCAGATAAAAAGAAGGACGACCCAATCATTAAGACATGCAGGGGGCATAAAAAGGAATTGAATCTCGAGGGCCCTTGTTAAGTTGTGTGATATGGACTAACGTACCTCGCCAGATTAAACCAGAGGCATGATGATGATGATGATGGACTAGGATCTGAAGTACTGATGGCATGTCTCTTTGAATTTCCTCAGGAACTGTACCCAATACTACAGACTCACCAAAATGCTTCCCAAGCATATTTTGTTGCCGTATCATTACTATCAATAAAGTTTACTACTAATATCTTAAAATTTATCTTGAAGAAAAATTAGGAGCTCAATCTGTCTGAATCAGGTCTGGTCCATTTTGTTTGTTTGTTTTTTTCTTCAAAACACCTTTCAGGTTCACAAGTAGGTTCAATAGGGGCCTTTACAGAAGAGGGCAAAGCCATTGTGTTCTCAGCATTTGAATGGGACAGCTGGTTCAATAATATTGTCCCTGTTCCAACTGCTACAAACCTTGCCTTCATATATTTAGCATCCAGGAAATACCTTTTTCAGGTTTACTAAAGTACATATTATATACTAGTATCCACACTCAACCAGGCCTTAAGGAAGACTGACCCAGGGGCACATTGGTCCCTGTTCTTTATAATCACACCACACATCCTACTGGTTACCAGACCCTGTAATCATATATTCAAATCAATGGAATGATAACATACTTAAGTACATTGTACAAACACCTGAGTAAAAACCTGAGTATTTATGGAGTAACATTTACTTACAAGCAATTGGAATACAGAGAATGAAGTCCATATCACCCTAAGCATGCATACTCTACATACCGTCCCCCTAGTAGGTATCAAATTAAGGGCCCCTGCCCATTTCTTAAGAAATCCACCTGTGTAAGTTGTAACATTATCCCCAAAGGTCATATCTTTTTTCCCAGCACTGCCCCCCCCCCAAAAAAAAAAGACTACCTATAGTATTCTCCCTTACCCTAGTACCATTTGTAGTCTGTACAGTTCACAAATCACTTAATTGCCATAATTAAGGTAGATAATTTACATGTACCGCAAGGCACCGATTATGACGTCATCACTCATGAAACACCTGTTGTACTGGAGGTAAATAGGTAGCACTACTCTCTAACGTTCTGAGCCAAATAGAATGAAGGTTTTCTTGCGATCTGTCATAACAATAGAGAGATCAATATTCACGCAAGGTAAACTATGTGGCACTTTTTTGTATGCCAACATTGATATTGGGGAGGGGAGGGGCGTTGCCGGCTTAACAGAGGTACTAGTCCTACCACACCATGCCAAGTTAACTACGAGACCCTTTCTCAAGTATAGTTCCTTTAAGAAACGACGACTCACCTTCCGAAGTGTCCTTCTCGAGCTGTTGAAGACGCAGGTCTCCGTTCCTTGTGTCTATGGTGACTTCCCCGTGCGTCGACACCTCGTCCAAGTTTTCGTACTCCCCCTTCCCCGGCATATTCTCCTCATCATCCTTCCTTCTCCGGAATTTCACGATCCTTTTGATAGAATCCATGACATGTTAGGGTCAATTTTGACATGTATGTGCTACAGTTTGACGTGCTTTTTCCACGCTAATGTTTCCATGACGTGTAATTGTGTGCCGTTGTTTGGAGAAGGTCTGACGTCCGTGACGGTAGAGCCGCGTTGAGTAAGGGAAGTACTGCGGGACGGTACGTTGTGCATCATGAAGGGCTGGTCGCGCTGGGGGAGATCCGTTATTACGCCAGGGAGGTCGTTTTAGTTGTGTATGAGTAGGCGAAAATATGATTTGGTGCACCTCTAATATTGACGTTTAGCTTCAAAAGTTCTTTCCTTGGCGTTTCTTTTCAAGGTCTTTTTATGGTCCATAAACTTGAAATATAACATGACGTTGTTTGGGAGGGGTGGGGCGTCTTTACTCACAGGAATTTAAACAGGGCAGTGCAACGTTTAAAAAAAAGATTTTATGCGTGAAAAATGATATTCCTTCTAACGCTTACATTCTATTTTTGGAAACAAACGGATATGCGGGTCTACGGTACCTATCTACCAACAAATGCAAAAATACCCGGAACCTGCAGTTTTGCACGGTAATTAATCAAAATCTGAAACTTTAAGCGGAATTTTTGCAGGTGTAACATATGTAGATTCCGCGCAAGGAATGCATTTTTTTTGTCATCGCCCGCCAATTGTAATCTGCGTCTGGCTCAAATTCCATTATTTTCTTAGCATTACCGGCGCTAATGTCCCCAAAGCCGGATAGAAGGTCTCCCGAGCCATGGCATGGCGACGACAGCGGTGATTGTTTCTTTAGCCTCATTCTTTCCACGCTTGCTTACAGCTCAATAATGTTACAGAAATGCATTGTCGGGGATAGGGAGTCTGTCTTTCCCAGTATTTGTACAGCCAGCTGCAGGTGTTCAAAAGCACCGCAATGCCGGTAGCCACGGCGACTGTTGCAGGGCTTCTCTTGCTTGCAGTCTTTTACATTAGCCCTAATGTAAAAGACTGCAAGCAAGAGAAGCCCTGCAACAGTCGCCGCGGCTACAATGCCGGATACTATAATTGCATTCTGTGTCATTTCTAACCGTTCTAAAGGTATAATTGCGCACCACGCCCATCACATACAGTTCCATATGTTGGCCAATTTCTAGTACTAGTATGTGTTAGTCCACCTAGAAGCCTAAAGGCTGAGTGGAGACCAATGAAAATCACATAGTATAAAGGTGCCATAGTATAATTGCATATAAATACATGTGAGTCCCATATTTTGGTAAATCCCGCTGTATTTTGTACACGTCATCAAAGACGGGAGCGGCGTAATAACCTAGGAGTTTGATACGCGAGGATCACACCACAGAATCGAGATTTACGAAAGCCGATAAATAAAGTCGGAACATCCGGCACAATGTTTGCCTAAGCTTTTGCAATGGATGCGTCGATGTCATTAATTGCCAGGTAAGTCTAATGCCCTAAACTAAAGCAAACATTTACCATCATTCACCACTGTAATATAAGACCCAACAATTCGTGCAGTGTATACGTAGTGCTTTCTGATTGTATATACCAGATCTCTGATTGCGATAGCCACCTGTAAACCAGTGTCAATCACTGAAAACCGCAGGATAAGGCCCTGCCAAAAGCCCAGCCACGGAGCGTGTAATGGAAAACTACATCACACCTAAACATATAAACAGGACAGGGCAGAAGTAACACAAGCAAAGCCGGAATCAAACCAAGCATGCCGAGCGTAAACATAGAAATTTATTCTCGTTATAGGTGGCCAATTTCTAAAGGCTGCAGTTGGCTCTCTGTTCGCAAGACGTCGTTTCTGCACGGCACCTGTTACGGGAAATGTGTTCGTGAAAAAGTCGAAGGAATCCTGTTTTAAATGCGTATTTGAGCTTCATACGGACTTGGACTGTCCAATGAGGAACATTTGAAGGTCAGATGAACTTTCATGCTATGATATCTATATTACGTTAGTTTCCGACTTGGATAAGCAGTACTTAGATTAGGTAAGTACAAAAGAAAACTTACGGAAGTCGAAAACCGTCTCTCCTTTTGGCCTGGTTGGCTTCCATATCGGCGGCATAGCCCCCTTCTGTCAGCGGATTCATGCTGGCGCCCGAGGATGCTTGGCTGACGGGGGAATCCACGGCGATGCGGTCACTGCGTCACGACACTTAGCGGCGAATGGCAGTACTACACCCTGGCCGAGTGAAGCCTACGGAGCACGACTTAGGGAAAGAAAGATGGTATCTATTCAGATATTTCATCCCGAAGTCGTTGTTGCAGAATTTTTCAGAATAATTTCAAAGTGCATAACACTTCTATATTAAGAGATAGAGAAAATAAGAATTCTTCGAGCACGTTAGAGAACCCACCTCACGTGGGCTCTGGTCAGAATTTGGACGCTATGCTATAGGATCATCATCATCATGCTATAGGATAAATGATAATAATAAAGGGATATGCTGAATTGAATAACTAAATGTCTTTAAAATTTTGTTTAATCTGGTATAATTGCTTCCGAAAAAAAAGAGCTCACCGACTAGTGCATCAAACAAGGAGGGCCCGAAATCCGTAGATTTTTAAACCTCCTCTGCTGGTATACAGACCAAACCGCGTAGCTACATTGTACATGTACACCGGGAAATTCGCCAGCTGGTATGGCGTCTAGCTGGCAGCAAAACTAATATTCCCGATGACGCTCATTCAATTTTTCCACCTTTGCGGCCCCACCTTAATCATACATGCGGTTTCTCAAATATTTTGCCTGAGTCGCTTTGATAAAAGTCTGCTCGCAGCTGAACGACTGGGGTTTACTTATAAATAATTCAAACCCGTCTGTAGTGTAATTATGGGGAGGAAGACAGAGTGCTCGATGTCTATTCATCAGCTGACTTTATTAAGATGTCTAGATATGTGCTGGTTACCGCAAGTGTTAAATGTGGCGCTAAAAATACAAAAACCTGTTTGTTGTCGTTGCTGAATTCTGTTTCCATCAAAATACAGTGTGCGGAGATTTGCAGTACCTTGATACACAATAAAAAGCTATTGAAAAGGTCTTGTGCTTGTGTGCCTCACCTCTTTTCAATATAATATATACCAGTGTTTTCATGTTAGACTTAGATGCAGTTCCTATATTGTCAATTATAAACCTCTGATAATAATATTTCCTGACAATGTTTTCCATGATAATTGTAATATAGCTTCTAGTTATTAGTTAGCTTTGTTTATTGTTTATTTTATATCATTAATTACTTTCACATTATCTTCCTAAATTATGTCATTAATATCTTCCTAAATCATTTATTTTTGTATTTACAGCACACAAAGTGCGTACTTCAGTTCCACATGATTTGGCGCTGTCATGGGCCTGAAGAAATATTCGAAAACATAAAAAACTGGTAAACATTTAACTGTTCTTCAAACCAAAATATTGAAATACAAGATGGCCACGAAATTCAATTATCACAATGCGTTTATCAAGGTTACTCATCCAGGAATATAATTCTTGTAAATATATGTTTAATCAATACACCGGAATAAAACAGAGTTACGGATAATTCGGTCGTTATCCAGTTATTCACATCATTGAAAAGAAAGAGTATACTTAACAGAACCCTCATCCTTTCTTTTAGATCAACGGATATCGATGGAAACGCCTTATAAAACTGTACAGTTTTATTCCAGTGTATTGGTTATGATAAGAATCATCACTATGATTTCTTTTTTCCATTCGGGCATTCCACTGACTACAGAACGGCTTCGGCTAAGAGCTTCTTTTATCGATTTTATAGCATGAAAAATTTGTAGGATGATCAGATATGTCCGCCTCGGGGAAATTTGACTTCACCCCGTGAGGTCAGCGCTGCAAAACGGAATTTCCGTGCAATGCATCACATAATACGCTGAATTCTTTCATTGTTTCTTTTTTTTTCAATTCAAATTTCATGCCTCAAGTGCTGCAAAATGGAATTTTCGTGCAATGCATCACGTCACATAAATACGGTAAATTCTTTCTTTTTTTCAATTCAAATTCATGCTGTAAGTTACATCAACAGAGAAAATATGATAAATTAAATCTGATCTAGTCTACAGTACAATTTTGCGTCCATTATTGTATGTAGGGTTTGACCTCTTTTTTAAACGCAGTGGCTAATAAAATTTTCTAATGTAATAAGCAGGTTGTGTGATTTTAGCAGAATTTTAGTTGTACCTTATGTTTTTTAGTTTATTATATCTTCCGAAATCATCCATTTAGAAAATGCTATTGAGAGGAAATTCACTGATTTTTAACTACAAAATGCACCACCAAACGTTATGTTATTTCGTAATTTGTATGCTGATTTGTCTGATGACATTTTGAAATTGAAACGACTACTAGGAATAACGAACGAGATCAAATCAGGCGAAGTAATGAATCAAATTTACAGCCAAATAAAACATACGCAGATTTTGTTTTATTGCTGGAGATATCCTGGAGAGCCCATATTTGATGAAAGAGCGCGATGGAGCAAAATCCGTGTCTGAAAGCAAGATATCTGAATTTGGAAAATAGAGACGTGACCAACATGGTAACAAGTAATTGAACAGTGTATAGGGTTTTAGGTGTACACTAATGCATGGGTTCAATTTATTCTCGGGGTGATTTGACAAACTTTCCTACACTGAGGCTGCGACAACTGAGCAGCAAAATTTTGACACATCGCTCAACAAATCTTTGTGGACCAAGAACGCCTTTTTAATGTTTTTTTTTTTTGGTCGTTTAAAACATACTTTTACATCGTGAACCATATTTCAGTTATAAAATCAAGGATCACATTAATCCAATTTAGTCGATTAAAGGTCACTCAGCGATTATTGCCGTTTAGTGGAAAGGGAACCTTAGAAAATTTTGTAGTTTTATCGTTCAGACTGCACCAACTTTGACAAAATGCACTTTTGTAAAAATGAAATCATGTGTTCTTTCCGCCATGTTTTTCATCACTTCACTGTTATTGGCGTGGCCGAAAGCGCTCAAGGGCACCCAACGTGAATGAACATCGTGACGTCATAGCGACGCCATCTTGGATATTCTAAATTCATTATCTAGGACATCATTTGACACCGCTTGTTCTTGTGTGGCGACGTAAAACCTAGATACAAAATAAACAGTGGCGAAATGCGGCCAGTTCAGACTAGACATCAACACAAACCGCCACTGAACAGCCATCTTTAATTCCCCACCTGTCTGCAATTGCCTCAGACGCAATACCCATCATTTTGTGGCGTAGGTGGGAAGGCGATTTTCACATCCACGGAGCCCGGCAATGACATAAAATGGCCGAAATAGAATCAAAACATGCATATTGAATAACGTACAATCATAACCAGCCATTCTGTTCGGCGGATGCTATAATAATCCAAAACGGTTTACAAAATGAAACGTTGCGATGAAGGTGAATTTACCGTCGTTGCGAGGTATTTCAGACGGCAAATCCATACATGTACTTACCTTTCTGTAAAACTGAACGCCTGTGTGATTTCACACCCACGTACTGCAGTGTTTAGGCTTACTGAACCCACCAGACGATGGAATATTCTCTCACGGTCTCTCTCTCCTTTTGCAACCAGACTGACTATTTGCATGCGCGATGGCTCGCCTCCTATCTCACCCCAACACTAATCAGCGAGAGAGCCCGAAATCCCAGCCGAAGATCGATATTGGCACGGACGGGCGGGGGGGAAACCTTAAGGGAATTACGACAGGCGAGGGTAAACCACTTACCTGTGTGCAATTACTTTCTCCTCCAATATTTGCTGCGCGACGAGTAATCCTGTTACAGTCTGGTGTATAGAGTCTGCTCGGTTTGGCCTCCAGCCCGTAAAATGAAGCGTGCAGCACTTCACGTCATGAGGTCGGAGTATATCGGGGGTAGATGAATAATTGAATACGTTTGTATTATAGCCCTTTTGTCATGGGTTTGCGGAAAACAATGATGGGAATTTAGATGATCCATAACGAAGTACGCTGCAGCCATTGGACTGTGTGGATTGTAAACGGCAGATGGTATAATAATGTCATTCGCTTGATTAGAAAAAAAATCTGATAAGAGTCAATAGAATTAGATTTGTCATGATAGAAAACCAAAATATTGCGACATAGAGATTTTCACGAACTAAAATAAAAGGAATATTCAAACATCTTTTCGATGCACACATTTACATTATTTTAACGATAGTCCCTCGGAAGGGACGTTAAGCCGTCCATGCATGGAGGACCCTCAAGCGTCAAACCTGTGGACGCTGAAGAAGCCAACACGATAAGAGTGATAAAACTTTACCCTACAAGCTACACCTGTTTTCGGACGTTTTTTTCTTTAGTTTATTATATTACTGGTTACTTGGACTTTTGTCGGCTTTTCCATTTTGTTCGACTTGCGTTTTTCCTGGATTTTACACCTGAGATGACAGTAAATTTAACTGAGGAGCATCCCAAACAGGAACTGGAGTTCCTACCTAGTACCTGCCGAACAACTCTACTCTACTCACTTCCTCTCGGACCTCTGCTTGGAGCGGAAGAAGACTAGCGGTGACCCAGTGTGTTGGAAACGCGAGCCCTAAGTAAACACTGTACTGCTGTCTTCTCGTTAATTGGTAGCTGATTTGCTTACCTTTTACCTTCGATAGACAGCATAGTTGATAATTGACCAGTGGACTAAACCACGTAACACGCGCGACGGTAGTCGTACATGTATATATGGACGTTTTAACTGTAGCTGCAGCTCAATATAAATTCGCTAGGGCTTTGCTACACTGCGTGGACATAGTCTAGAAACACCACATGCATGCCCACAACTAGACGCCGTTTTCTTAAATCATTGCTTTAGCAACTACAATAAAAGAGCTCCACAAAACGCGCCGATCTGTCAGTTGGAAAAACGGGTAGGTGAATAATGGTACGGTCCGTTCTGTTTCTTTGACCTTTGATCTACTTTCGCCAGTTCTCCTCTGGCACTTCCGGGTCCCGTTATTCTACTGAACTTAAAAACAGTCCGTCAAAGATCTGCTCTTTCGGCGTGACCTAGGTATCTATCTATTTCCCGGACGTTAGTTAGACCATAGAGTACCCGATGGAAAGGCGTATATAACAGTTGTGAACTGCTATTCGCCGATATCATCTGATTTACAGTGGATACTCTGGTGCTCCTGCTTTGTAAGTACATTTTACTATACAGCTCGTCATATTATACTAATAATATTGTCAAGTATAGAAACTATGGAACATATCAGTTATTGTCAGTGCCTGTTAGTAAAGATTTTTGATTCCATTGACCATGCCTTGTCGTGACATCCAGTGCAGTAACCTGGCTTGAGCGACCCTGCGTCTGGTCCATAAGGTCAAGGGTTCAAATCCCGGCTGTTGTTGTTCCGATTTGCATAGACACTACTGAAAGGACCATCACACGGCGGACCATTACTTACATGCATGCTGTGGTCATTTAGAATAGGCTGGATGCCATCCGATTTGCTACGGGCTCCTTACATGTACACGCTCGCCCAAAAAAAGCAACATTTCCTCCAGCAAGTCATGATGGATGATGCTGGGACTCCCACTCCGGTACACAAAATTAGGATAGAACCTAGACTGGTGTCTATCCTCATGCCTCGTATTTCTATTTACATGCAACATAAATTTGTCTGTAGCCTGGATGCCAGACTTTTCCCAGGGTCAGGTAAAATTTCTGGCAACCCAGGATAGCCCTGGAGCCGTGTAGCTACATGTATTCTGTATATAATTGGCCCTGGCGGTCTAGCACCCAGGTCAGCCCTGGCCTGAGCGGATGAACTAGCCTGTATACTGCCACCGATCCTAACATTTCTGCGTCCCCTGCAGCTGTCCCGGCATGGCGTGCTGCTTCCTGAGCTCCCTCCAGGCTCCCGTCCAGGCCGCCATCCGTCCGGCCATGTGGCTGCCCGGAATCCGGAATCTACACTCCCACAAGGAAACGTGAGTTCAACAACAAGCGGATGAACTAGCCTGTATACTGCCACCGAAGGCATGGGTACCAATTCATTTAAATACTGGGGCCCCTACATTCGTTCCGTATGGGAGCCCCGCCCCCGGTATACAAATAAAATGGCACCCATTTTGTAAACACGGGAGCGACGCAATGGAAGCCTTTTTTTTTCTTTAATAAATATCATCATAATCCATCCAGACTTTCTTAAGTTATGCTGACCACAAATATGCAAATATGTGAGAAAAAAGGAAAACGTTCGAAGTGCATAGTTTTGAACATAATTTGGTCAAATAATTTAGATAGAATATTTATCGTGTTGACAAATCTTGCACTCGTACTACGAGTGCAAGATTTGTCAACACTACGTTTGATAAAATTATTACACTTCCAGCTGGAAGTCTGACGCCACGGCTCCGGATTGTCTGAAAAGTTTGCTGAACGCGCTGGAGAAGGCCAAGGTCGACAGTCCTTACTGGAGGAAACACAAGGTCAACAAGGTGAAGTCAGAATCTTTTTTTTTTATTCGAATTGGTCAACCGGAATCGGTGTGACTTACCACGATTCTTTAGCATGTCGGTAGAACGTACTGCACCAGCGCGAAACTGTTGTTTCTGTTGGATGTATCGTCAACGTTGCATCGAAATATCGTCCGTTAAATGCGATGTCTTTTCCAACACAATATTTGAAAACTACAGACGGAATGTCATCCATATATACACGAATACGACCTTATACTCTTTATTCTCTTTATTCCGATACCCTTTAGCCAAAAGGCTAATCTTCCAGGGTTCATTGAAAAAAAAGACAAACAACAAATAGCATACACACGTTCCACGTTGCTTTGTATGTACGTTACCCTGCGTTCCAGATTTCGCGCAGGCGCACGCGCACTACGTTCTTCGGACGCGATCGTTTAACCCATTAACATGGCGGACACTTCGTGACGTCACAGTCACGTGAGTGGAAACACCATCCCTTTATGTTGCCAGGTGGATGAAGAACGTTACCGTGTACAGATCTTCACGTACACCCGGGCGGAGTGGCTGGACGTGGTGGAGATAGAGTTCCGGCCGGGACAGGCCGAGGGCGCAGAGGCAGAGGTAAAATAACTAAATCGTTGCGGGAAAATGGTCTAGACTACTTCAAAATGACGTTAAAAAATTCAGGGCAACACCTTTAGAAAATATCTAATATATGTTTATATATAGGGAAGTAAATATTCTGCATTTACAAGCAAATGACCGGCTTGAAATTGTCTCTTGTCACTTTATCCAGGCTGCGTCTTTCTCCAGTGGCCTGTTCCCGACCCTGGTCCCGCTCTGCTTTCTCATCAATACGGTAAGGCCTAGGAAAAAATGTTGCGTTTCCTGTTCTAGTCCTGAAAAAATTAGGGTCCTCTGCAGTGTAGTATAAGCCTTGCGTATTTACTCGTATGTGCTTGTTACCTGAATGCGTATGTATGACCCCTAAAAAGGTCGAAAAACGTCTTCTGGTTATATGATGATATTGCATACCAATGGAAAACGTATTCATCATCCTTTACAATGCAATGGTTTTCATGATCATATATTGACAGTTTTATCCTTCCCCAGGTGCTTTTCTTCGTTCCCTTCCTCGACAATGGCTACAACAAGAAGCGTTTGGATGCGCTCCGAGAAGCCATGGATGTCCCCGTAGCAGTTTTTGACCAGTAGTAAAATGTGCCACGATAACATGAGACTTGATTATTTGTCACATTTATTTTGTTGTGATGGGTATTTTAGGTACTCCTTTTAGTGAATTAATAAGATAGTGACCATCTATCCCATTATTTCACGAAAAGGATTTAATTCTTGTACGTAGTGAAATAATGCGATACGTTTGAGACAACCCTTACAACAGGAAAGTAGTTATCACGGGTTTCGACTTAAATTGTTTTTTGAATTTAAAGAAAAATGAGATAAATAGATGTAGCTATACATGTACTTTTCTATCTCGTGATTATTATAGGTAGAAATGTTTATAGCAGGAACAAGCGGGAGTCTCACGCTATCATTTTATTAGGTTGCCAGTTTCCAGAACTTTGTTTTCGTGATGAGAGCTAGGACCGGGAATGATTGGAATTTGAATGTAGTAGTTTGACATTACTAAAAACTTGTAGTTTCCGTACATTAACGACACGACACTTGTCAAATTACTGAGCGTCGATAAATGCTATAAATAAAGTAGCAACAATAAAACTGAGCTTCCTTTTACAACAACATAACGTTGCTTGCTCTATAATTTTTGTAAAACCAAAATTATCAATAAATGACAAGTCTATTTTAAACACTGTGACTCTTACAAGCCTCTTATTACATGTAACGTTTCTTAAATTAGTCAATACATTGTCACAATGAAGTAGTATTACATAAAATATTCTTAACACAACTACTAGTATTTTCTTGGTCCATACGGACTATCCTTATATATCTGATCAAGTCTCTTAGTATAAGAGTGTAAAGTTATATCTCAATAATTTTGTTTGCACAGCAAAATAACCATCATCATTCTCCAAGCATAATAATGTTTGAATTACAAGGCAGGAAATATAGTCTCTACCAAACTTTGTGGGTTGCTGATGAAATAGAAACGGGCCAAACAGATTGAATGATTTTCTAAAGGATTTAGAGGCCCACAGCGTAACCATTTACTCCAATGACTAGCCTAGCCTGGGTGCCATCCTCCGTAGCTTCCGCCGGTGGTAGCCAGCGACATTAGGGAGCCGGCGGAAACTACGGAGGATGGTACCCAGGCTATAACTGGCAAGGCAAAGATAAGTTAGTCGATTTTTTCCATTGTCAGCCCACACGAGGTCTGGTAGAGACTACAGCAAACATCGAAGTTTATATAATCAAATTAGCGATTTCTGGTGACGGCTCCTCTATCAGTATGTTCGTCATGTTAGTCAGTTCGCCTGTACTGTTCACCGGTCGGTATCCAAGCTTCGCCATGATGGGGCGACATCTGCATGGAGGAAAAATTGACTACATGAAGAAAGGTTGGATAAGGATGTATCCCCAGCATCTGAGTCTATATACTATGTAGTACATGACCAAAATGAAAATGAAGAAAAATAAACACAATGATCTACTATTTATAGACCACGCATGTCACAAAAGCAATAACAAACAGGGAGTCCGGAAAGAAATAAAAAACTCAAGCGTTTCATGCTAATGTATGAAAAAGTGGTAGATGTGTCAACATTTTGAGATTTTTTTTCAACGCCTTAATCCTTGGTTCATAGCTCTGGCACTTGAAGGCAGGACCATTTCTTTTCTGAGCTGGTTTAGACAGTATGAGATTGTATTTAGATAGTCTGTACCTGTCCTGTATCCTGGAGACGGAAGAAAAGACCAGTTTGTGTCGCCAGGTGTCCAGGGAGGCCCGAGAGTTCCTGTTGGTCTGGTACTTGTTGACGATGTGATGACTTCCCTTCGTGTTCTTGTCGATCCACTGCATGACCTACATGTACAATAGGAAGGTATCTGTATCGGTATAGCCGGTATAACCGCCATTCGGCGTAACACACCAGCTTCGACACCAGTACAGTACCAGTGGTGGTACTGTACATGTAAATTTGTCAGCAAGTATTCACACACTAAAATGTGATAAAATATGAGAGTAGGTATTGACCTCATCTGGCAAAGGGATCCCCAGAAAGTTGTAGATTTTCTCCGCCATCGCTGAGGGGTTGGCTGCCACGTCCTCGTATCTTACTAAAGCGTACCTGTCGTGGGATGATATGGTACTTTTTAAAATGTGTGAATCATCAAAGTCAGTATTGTGAATGCCAGGGCAATTCAGGGCCCAATATACAGAACCCTGTACCTAGAAACATCTTCGAACACAATATTACGGATGGCAGTATTGGTTCCATTACCGTGGCAGCAAACAACACAAAAATGGGACTCGGTTCGTTTCTAAGCAAACATTCAGAAGAACACGGACCAACTCGTTGAAAAAGTCTTTTATGTATAGTGCGAAAGCAGTCTATCATTGTCACTGAAGACTATACTTTGCGCAATCTGTGCGTTTATTCAAATCTGGGCTATGTGACCGAAAACTACCGCCTTACCTGCCCTGTAGGTGCTGAGGTATGTGGTCCCTGTACTGCACGTTACTTTCCATCCACCCGCAGATGTCGTCGAATTCGACGGACCGTACAAGCAGCTCCTGCAGTCCCGATAGGTTCCGCACGGCGCCGGGGTGTAACACGTCCAGCCTGGAAGCTACTATTGCCCGAGGGTCCCTGTCAAAGCATAACGTTAACCACTTTATTCTTATAAAATCCCGTTTATCCAGTGATAACATATGATGTATACACTGACCGAATCTTATGATTTGAGTCTTTGGAACAAACTATGACAGGCATCAAAATGAATTTTGCTTGAAAAATTAAACTTACAAGTACTAATTTTACTTCTAGACTTCTTTTTATGTCATCTACTTTTTATCATATATAATGTATGCAGATTTTGAACAGGACTATTGCCTACAATGTTGACTATTACTCAGACTTCGTCAGACTGCTTCCAACCTAAGACCTAACGACAACGACAACGAATACAGGTATTCTGAATGTCTGACACGGGCTTAAGACTGATGTTCACCTTATCAAGTGAAGAATCTTCATATCCAGCGACGGATCCTGTATAAGTGGTACGAGTTCCTCCACGCTGGCTACTCGGATGGTTTTCACCGCCGAGTGCTTGTGGTTCGTGCAAAGGTCCGCCAGAACTCTCGGAACGTTCCAGGAATACATAGGGCAGACGGGTCTGCTTCTGCTGCCTAACAGGCGGCCTGTTCTCTTCCCCCCGATGAAGCGGCCGTTCCGGCAAGCGTCATTCACCGTCCGACTGGCGTTCCTGCCGATGAAAGCCCCCGTGAGATACGAGGTGTAAAACGGCGCCATCGCCGTGAAGTTGCAGTGAAAAACGTCGCTCAACATCTGCAGCTTGGCGCGCTCGTGTAAGCTCGTGTACTCCCGGTCGAACTGGTTCACCCGAACTCCTTTCGTGTCAGCAACTACGCCTTTCCCTTTTGGTCTGAAGAAGTATTTACCGTTGTGTTTGAGGGTCCACATGGGTTCAAAGAGGTAAAAGAAATCCAAATTGTTGTTCACCAACTCGCTAACAAATGAGGAGCCTGTACGCATGAGCGCTAAGATGACAACTCCAAGTCTTTTGGTCTGCCCTTGAACTCTCGCGAGATCTGAACGTGACGGGGCGAGATTGTCATCCTGATGAGGGACAGACGACATTGTTCTGATGTTGTCCATCACATGATGATAAGGGGTGGACTCGGATATTCTTGGTGGCATTTCACTTCTTTGCAGTGAAGGAACATGTTTCCTTTTTTCGTCGCTGTCGTCCATTTCTGTGTTTACCAGGTTTGCGCCATCACTAGACAGGTGGACGTTCTTTGTCGTTTTTCTCCGGTCGGTGTTATGACTCGTACCAGTTACGGCGGGAAATATCTTAGTCCATGGCTTGACAGAGACATGTCTTGGCGAAGATGCTATGACGTTATGATGTTCCCTAGGAGTTCCTCTTCCCGTGATGTTCGGTACCTCCCGCTGCCTCGTTGCATTCTGGTTTGCAAGAGTAGGCTTCGGCCTGAGAAGGCCGACGTCATAGAACAGGGGAGCCAGTGCGAACAGAGCGACGAAGAGGACGCTGTAGAACACGTAGCGTTTGCGCTGAAGTAACCGCCATGGAGAGACTGGGCAGGCCATCATCTGCAGAACGACACAGTGTACATTGTATCAATGTATGTCAGCGTCACAACAAATAGTATCCAGCTTACTGAGTTAAGTTAACGATCAACTGACAGGCCGATGATTTATGAATGAACCTTTATTTTTATTGAAGATTTTTGCCACAATGCATGGGCTTAGTACAGGTACAAGAAAGCATTGTAAACAGATGTATCAGACTAATGACAGATGATTTTGTATCTGTTAACTTAATTCAACTTCTCACTTTTCAGTTGCTTTTTGGTCCATTGATAAACGGCAAGTACCTAGCCGTCAAAATATTGTATTTTCCCTTTGTGTTTTCGAGATCCGTAAGTGTAGCTCTCCTTCTAATCGGGACAAAGGTGCACAACATCTCTGCTTCTGAGGCCTGAAAGCCCTACGGGAAACGGTCAGACTGCCATCCCCCGGCTCACAATCTCACATAAACTGTACTTTAAAAATAAACGTAAGAAAAAACACGAGACGTTGAACTTTGCTCCCTGGCGACATTTATCTTTGGTGTACTTAGTCTCCTGGTAGCATGCGAGGGTTTGAAAATGTGCCAATGTGAACATTTCGTAAGAAGATAGAGGATTGAGATTGTGCCAAGAGACACAGCGGTTCCTCATTTTGTGGTTGCAGGTATAGGTTAAATACACAGCCGAGGCTTCGGTTAGATCATAGAAAGAGGTTCAAGATTCAAGGCTGGCGTATCTCAACATTAACATTCTGTAACCAAAGATTACAGTGATTTGTTGAAATGAACAGACGGACCAGGGGAGATTAAAGAGAAAGTTGTAAGATTCTGGCATGGAACCCTCTAACTACGCAAACAGAGTCGGACTTGTTGAATTGAGTACAGAGATGACTGCCTACAGCTGTTGGTTCATGTCCAACACGGCAAGTTCTCAATTCCTGAAGAGTTGTCGAGGGAGCAAATTGTAGAGGAAAGCGTCCAAATACGATAACAAAATGTGCAAACTGAAAGCATCAGCACAATCAATTGTGCTGATGCTTTCAGTTTCTACATGTTGTTTCGTTAAACTTTGCTCCTTGGCGATGTACATAGAGTCATAGGATCCTGGTAGCATAGGAGGGTTTGAAAATATGCCAATATGAACATTTTGTAAGACGATAGAGGATTGAGACTGTGCCAAGAGACACAGCGGTTTCTCATTTTGTGGTTGCAGGTATAGCTCAAATACACAACCGAGGCTTTAGTTGGACAGAGGTTCAAGATTCAAGGCGGGCGAATCTGAAGATGAACTTCATGTAACCAAAGATTATAGCGATTTGTAGAAATGAACAGATGGACCAGGGGGGGTCACAGAGAGTGTTGTGAAGTTCTGGAACCATTGAACTACGCAAACAGAGTCGGACTTGTTGAATTGAGTACAGAGATGACTGTGTTCTACGACGGACCACTGCTGACAGCTGTTGGTTCACGTCCAACACGGCAAGTTCTCACTTCCTGAAAAGTTGTCGAGGAAGCAGATTGTAGAGGAATGGGTCAAAACACGATTGCGCTGATGCTTTCAATTTGTACATGTCGTTTCCGGGAAATCGACCGGAAAGGACAGGGCCAAAAACTTGAAGGTAGCTTCATGTTTTATGATGCTAAAAGACGCATGGATAACCGAACGTTTAGTGACATATATTGCTAATGAAGCTGATATATTTCGACAGGTGTTTTGATCGACTATCATTCGTTAAGGTTTAGCTTGAGAGGGTCGATTTCGACGAGCACGAAAAATGTACACTGTCCAAATAAAAGTGGTAGAATCGGACTACTAGTATATAAAACACTTGTTACTTCTTTCCTCCCCGATTTCATATCTGTTTGCCACAGTTAGGTACCAGGTAGCTAACTGTATTCGTGAAGATGGCGCAAATAGATCTGAAGGTGGTTTTTATTGATTGCGATGTGCATTTGCTCGATTTTGTGTGCCGACACGCGCGCACAAGAGTCGGAGGTGACAACAGCGGGGGAGGAAGCCGGGAACGGCCGCGCGCCTGGCGTCCACTGCTCCTGCAGCTGCGCCCTGCCCGCGCCGGCCGATCGACAAACCTGCGACAGCGTCGGCCGCATGCAGTCGGACCTGGACGCGCTGCTGGCATGGAAGGGCACCGCTACCAACCTCCTGCATCACCTCAAGAACTCCTTACAGAGAGTCAGCGAGCGTCTAGAAGGCGTCTCCGGGACGGGGAGCTCAACAGATACCACAGAGCTCAAAGTCCTCGCGTACAACTTGACCACTGGTCTTTCCAACAAGTTGAGCCGACAGTTGGAAGAGGCGACGGAGAGGATAATTTGGGAAGTTAAAGGTGGGTCCATACATGTTCGGCCTTTGCGTGGTTGGCCGAAGGGCTAGCAACACCTCATTGTATGCTACCGAAACCCTGCTATGGAAACAGGAAGGAAATATGCTGTTTTAGGCACAAAATAACGAACAAAGGTAGGATTTGAGTAGTACTCAGCGTCGGCTGAAGGTGATGATGCTGGTGGGTTAGAAGAGTCTCTAACGTTAGTCAATCTTTGCTGACAAAAGAGGAGAGAGCGTAGCGTTTCAATGATGGGGTGAGAGACAATAACAAACAGCATCTAAAAATATTGTACCTGTTTCAGATGGTTAATATTCTCAGGACAAAGAAATTGGTGAGTTTAGGAAAACAACAAATAGAAAGTATTCAACATTTTCTGGCAGATTCCATGATCACTATTGTGATTGATTATGTATTGGCTCAGGGCCATATCCACTTGGCGTGGAGTCCGGTGCGATCCCTGACGCCCAGATGACAGCTTCCTCGGAGTACAACGGTGATCAAGGACCGAGGAGAGGCCGTCTGTACACCGTGGCGGATGGAGGAGGTATCGGCACATGGTGCGTGAAAACGAACGACGGTAACCAGTGGCTTCAGGTCAGGCATCCTTAACGTTATTTTTCCAGTACCGCCGCCTTGGTTTTAGACTGGATAACTCAGTGGCTTTACTACTTAGCCTTTAGGTGAGGAAAGCGTTTTTTCTGTGTTTTTTTTCTGGTTCAAGGAAAGAGTTTTTAAAGTTTTTTTTCTGGTGCCGTCGTTTCGGTTTTGGACAGGATAACTCGCAAAACCTTCAGACCAAGTGTATTCCCCGACTGACACACATATTTGGTATGTACATGTAGCAGCTAGATCTTTGACAGCCAAAGAAAGATTTTTAATTTGAGTCCCTCTACAGAGCTCCCATTGTGGATTTTACGTTGCGTGTGGGTAGGCCTTGGCCTAGAGTAGATATACGGAGTTGATTTAGCTTTAAGCAATTTTCTGTCTCAACCAGAGCCGTTTTTGTTTCAGTAAACGAGTTTTCTACTTTAATGTCAGCTTCAGTAAGAGGAGATTTATCAAATATACATGTACAGTGCATACATGTTCTTCCCAGGTTGACCTAGGAAAGCTGGCTGAGGTGTGGGGCGTGGTGACACAAGGCCGGTTCCGTGACTATAAACAGTGGGTGACAACTTACAAACTGAGCTTTAGCACAGACGGCAACACGTGGCGGCCTTACAGAGACAGCTCTGGGCGACAAAAGGTATTAGTATGGTATCTTCACAAAGCAATTGAGAGTTCAAACCTATAGAAGTATCTAAAGTTTTTGAGTGTATTGGCAGTTTGGCACAACCAAAGTGGCGGTTCTTACGTACTTTGAACGGCCCCAGTATAACTGAAACCTTATAAGCCCTGAGGGTACCGGGTAACATGCGTGGCTGAAGCCATGACATCCTTCCAACTTGATCTTATATTAACCACCTCTTCTCGACTCATGCTGCTTCCAAAAACCTACGAACACAAGCAAATACACCCCCAAATTCCATCGTACCCATAGGTAAATCTGCCAATTCTGGGAGGCTACGAAAATAAAAATATTATTCTTATTCCAATATATTATTCATCATCGTCGCCTCACTCTTCTGTAGAGATGAATCTCATAATTCCAATATAATGATCCAACATCGAATGTTGAATAATTCCTAACACTATTCTACTTAAGTTAAAGTATACTTCTAGTAAAAGTGCACAACTTTTCTATTAGTGTTAGGAAGACAACACATATGGACTTTTTATGGGACTCTGGATCCGCATTTCTTGTTGACATGTAGGTCCTGCAGGTAACAGCGACGGGGACACACCACTACGCCACCTACTGGCCGAGCCCGTCACTGCACGCTATGTCCGCTTCCTGGTCGTGACCTGGAACAACTACATTTGCATGCGTGTGGAAGTACTGGGCAGGTTTGTGTAAGGTAAGTACATGCTACTTAGTACTGACCCCAACAGCACGTCGTCAAAACGTACTGTGCGCCTGTGCGAAAGACGTAATGTGCGTGGAACGTCTCATTTAATGCAAATAACCACGGACACACAAGGAAACAAATAATCAGACTCACAAAAAGCGAATCCACCGTACACGAAGGTAATAAGAGATAACATAAGCAGAAATAGAGATTCTTCCCCATAAGAGATTTTTAAACACGCAGGGAAAAACCTGATTTACGGAACTGCGTACCTACGCTAGCGTACGAAAAGTGCGTTCGTCGAATTTTTCTGCTGACTGTGTCAGTAAATCGGTCTGGTTTGACGTACGTCAAGAACGTACGTTCAGACCGAAAACTTTTATTTGCTTTCGTAACACGTGTTTTGTTGACCTTTCTTTCGTGTACTTCCTTGATAGAGCCGCAACAAGAGGACCTGAAGTGAGGCTAGCACCAACTGGCACTGGCGGTCACCAGACACACAAAAATATCTAAATTGGCCATGGCCAAATAGCCCACATAATTGGTCTGAAGAGTAAGTCGACCTTCTTTGACAAGCTTACCCTTCTGCTCCTAGCAAATGTTTCACCTAATTTTCATCAATATGCAACAGAGGGGTTTGATGGAGAGTTATTAGTTAGGGAGAAGACGACTTCCAGTGTCTACAGTAAATTTCTTTTTACTTTAGTTTTATTTACTTTACTGTCTTAAATTTTGTTCTATTTAGTTAAAGGCACCCAAGCGATTTCAGCGCAGTAATATATATCATCGCTAACTGTGTCATCAGTGTGACTTTAGATCAGCGCCCGATTGTGCAGAGATTTGACATTTGATAGCATAAAGCTGGTACCGGTACGTAGGTACTTCAGCACTCATTAAAGTGTACCAAGGCCCGCGGCATGTTGGGATTCCACTAAGAAGGTTTCTGTACCCGTCGAGATAGGATTTTCATACTACACAAGATGAAAAGCAGGCGCAAATGGAATGTTTTTGTTTTCTGTGAGCTACATGTAGGCTTCGAAATATCGTTATAGCTATATCGTCTTACAGTTGAATAAAGTTGAAGTTCTCAAACTTACCCTGTGTCAGAATGTCTTCTACTGACACTGATGAACTTTCAAGCTAACATTTCTCGTTTCTTTAAATAGACAAGAAGAACGCACGTGTCACTAATAAATAATTATATGCTATTATCGATAATCGATGATACTATTAAGTCACACAATTTGAAAGACAATTGTTAATTTGTAACACAAAAGTTGTAAATGTAAAAGTTACAAAAGAAACACAACGATATTAGTGAAAACATATTCTTTCTAATGATATGTGAAATGGTAGGGTTGGATTGTTGGCATTTTGCGGCCTTTTCAACCCTCTCCAAATCCTCCCGCTATGAAAGACATACTAAATGCGCAGCTTCAAAAACACGGTACAACACCTTGAATCTGTTACCAGGTTATAACCAAGAAGGCACTTGCTCCACACAAGTACACGAGGCTAGAAGGGTGACAGAGGCGAGATGTGGTAGATATCAAGAAAATGTTGCTGCTTGGGTTAGGGGGCACATTCTTTGAAGGTTAAACAAATTTTGTGAAGTTCACAGAAAGAGAACTTCGAGCTTCGAGCTTCGAGCTTCGCTACGAGCATCGTTTCTCTGAAGTCAATCTTATGGATGACATTCTAAGGAGCGCATATGGATTCGAATTCGATACTCGGGCAAAAACCTGGTGTACGAAAGCTGCGTACGCACGCAAGCTTACGTAAACTTCGTACGTAGATTTTTCTTTCTGCGTGTAAATTGGCCTGCTTTGACGTCAGTATTGTACGTTACTCGGGGGCAGGCGTAAGCAGTTTTCGCACCGCACAGCAAATTGTAGGGTTTGTCAGTTCTGTCGTCAGGAAACCCCACGACAATACAAATCGCGCACGAGTGGATGTGACCGCGTCCTTTTTAAACATGCCAAATGTCAACAACCATGAATGATTGACAAGGCAAATGACAAACAAGCGGAAGGGTTACACTTTCTTGCCGCATGATGTTGGTACCTTAGAACTTGTGGAAGCTACCTCCCTGAAAAAGGAGAGGTTTTGCTGCGGTACCATAGAAAACCGCAAGGTGGCCCATATTAGAACTTTCCCTTCATCTCATCTACACCTACCTTCACGCAAAAGATCACCAAGATCTATTCACAACTTCTCGAGTTGTGCTGTCCACAAGCAAACCGACAAGCAAGTGAACCGGAAACATACGTACGTGAACCGAGTATGTGACTACAGCTAGCCCCGGCCCAGATGTGAACCGTACGGCAGAACAAACACACGGCTCCGTCCTCCGGGTCGGTCAGGATCTGCTTCGCGTTAATCTGATCAAACAAACATCGACTTTTCTGGTAAAAACAAACGATGACAAGGCTCAACAGACGTGTGGCGTTCCGTAGATGTGGTTGGACGCAATCAATTAAACTGTAAACGGCTCTCGTTCTAAAGTAGCTTATAGGAAGAGACCAGTAAGATACAGGGTTCAGGGGTTTAGTGAGTCACCCCTACCTACAGTAATGCGAGGAAATGGACTACATAATACATTATGTATGTAAATGACAGCCCGCATGGACTTAGCTGTTGAATAATGCGTGAATTTCTACTCCAAAGTTCATCGCTTTTTTTTCAGCTGTCGCATCAAGGAGACAAATCTGATATGAACTTATCATTTTGTGAAAGCATGGCAAATGCATTGCAAGTATTGTTGAGTATATTTATGTTTATGAAATAGTTTAAGTTTCGTCATGCCAAAAAACGGACAACACAGACTAGGAGGCTACTTTCCCACGACCTTGTCCTCTCCAAACCCTCCCTCCTCCCCACTGGCAAGGCCGCACAAACCTAGGAGGCCCCTAGTACTACTACTAGTACTAGCTCGGTCAGTCCAAGGGGTCAGTCCGTGCACTGCGTTGTGATGTCTTGCTATTTCTATTGGTGTTCCGATGGTAAGTGGTCTGGTTGCTCGTCTAGAAAGTCCGCAGCAATAAAACACAAAATAAGTTGGGTGAGCCTGCTAAGGGTGCTTGGACGACCATTCTCAGGCCTAGCCTCAACCAGGCTTCGGGAGGCGGCTGGAAAGAGTAGAAATTGGCCAAATAGAGAGGTGACATGCCAGAGGAGTTGGTCAGCTAGAGAGTACAGTTTGCCAAACTGTAAACAAACTGTGCAAAATGTACTCTTTGGCGAACCAACTCCCTCGACTTGTTATCTCTCAATTTGGCCAATTTCTAGCCTTCCAGTCGCCTCCCGAAGCCTGGTAGAGGCTAGATCAGACCGACCGACCCACACCTTGTCCTTATTTCTGCCTGTTCCTTCTTCCCACAGGCGTGTTTACAAGGGTCAGCAATTAAGGTGGACAGGGACCACCTCCAACTTCAATTTGCGACCTTACAAATATCCGGTCATTACGGTCAAGACCGGTTGTAAATGAAGGACCGATGTACATCATGCTAATCTAAGTCGGCCATCAGCCTTTCAGATCCAATTTTGATATTCGGACATGGTTTCCATATGCATGCATGCACAGGTCGGGAACAACTGACCCAGAGCCCTAGAAGAATGTAAAACATCCTAAAGATACGGAACTTTGAAATCTAAGATGTACTATTCGGAAAAAAAGTGTTCGTTCAATTGTACACGTCTATGCGCCGTCCTTTTCTATTCTCAGGGTACAACGGTCAAGATTCTCTTATATTGTAAACTAAGGGTTTTTTAAGATCTAGAGCTCTGAGCTCTTATAGGTTCCATTATAGATTATACCATGTAGATATACGGCCTGTTATTCTAGTGCTTCATGTGATGTTGTTCTGGCGTCTTCCTACCTTTACCTGTTCGTCTGGTCATCCGGGACAGAAGTGTGATCACGGGAGACAAAATAAACGGCGCGTAAAATTCAACAAAAAAACAACAGAGCCGGAACCATACATCTACTTGAAGAATACTAGATCCTTATGGGGGAAAATGAAGGGAAACCTTGACCCTGGCCGGTGTAGCGTGCCCCGGGAGGAATCGTAACTAATTTTCCCCGCCCCGTCTGGAAGATATACGCCCGGGGACAGTTTCGTCTGGAAGATCACACATGGAGCGCATCGTGCCGGCAAATTCCCAACGCGGAATTCACTCCTGATGTTGTACGAGTACTGACCAGGGGAGTAGTCCTTATTTTTTCATCACGTTGGCTTCATGTAAATAAATGTACTACGGTGGTGCAAGTCTTTTGTAGTAGGAAACAGTCTCTCAGACTCATGGGATTTGGCTACAGAGCTTTATCCACATCTGCAAGAATTTACGGGACCGATTGTGTACTACTGATAGTCACTGGCAGTAGTCCTTGTTGTTTGTTTCCTTACACAGGCTTCATGTAAATAAAATGTACTACGGAGATGCAAGTCGTTTGCCGGTTTGCCGTAGGAAACAGCCTCATGGGATCTCATGGGATTCGGCCACATCTGCAACAATTTACGAGACCGATTGTGTAATACTGATAGGTAATGTTTATGTTTTCTTCAGATAACCTTTAGCCCTCTAAGTTCCAGCGCTCATAACATACACACAACACATAATTAAACGCTACACAACTTGCAACATATCAGTACAAATGCTACAGAATATACAGTGACAGAAAACAAATAATTTGGTGCCCCTCCCGCAAGGAAAAGAATGATGTTTACATACCAGAGTTTGCAGCTAATACGCGCCTATTGGCACATAATTGTGCCCATTGCCCCAGAAGTCGAGACTACGCAGCTCCAGTATCATTCACAGCGCCGTTAGCCTTCAAGTTCACGTCCTCATCTTGGCCGTCTTCCAGCCTTCTACCTTTCAGCACGCACGTCCTCCGACGCGTCTGGTTGGGAGACTATCATCAGATCTTTCCCGTGACTTTGCCGGAAAATAATCTGTCAGAAATGAAGACCAGTCCCTCCAACGACGATTCATGAACGAAGAAAAACAACATCTGGTCCGAAATGTTCTCTACATAAACGGCGGAGTACAGGGGAGATCTGGATCTGCTTTCCATCAAAACACACACGTGCTGTGATACTTCCCCTGCCAGCGGACGGCCTCCCCGCGGCCCTTGATTAGAATCGCCGCGGTGGGGGAACTCGAGGCCCCCTGTGGACCCCATGGCTGCCCCTTGGGTGGAAGGAAAACACGGTGTATCGGACAGAACACACTCGCGACTAATCTCTTTCGAGTCACCGATGAAATCGCACACCTTCTACTCCGTTTGAAGAGATGGAAACAAAACACATCGTCACATTTTCATGATGATGAGATTGACCATCGAACCATCCCACCATACACAGTGGACTCCTTGCTGAGCGTAGCTTGGGAACGATTTTTAAAAACATTACCGTACCTATAGCTGATCTCAGCATGCAAAGCTGTCATCTTTCTCCAACAACGAAACACAAGTGATGTCTTGTTTGCTGTGTATATTGGGTTTCTTGCCATATATATTAAACTGAAGTATGAGTTGTAGGTCAGACATTTGAAAAACGCAGACGAAAGATAAGAAATAATATATCATGGAATACTAAGGAGGAAATACGTGAAAGCCTCAAAGAAAAACTTCAATCGATCACGATTACAAAACGCCTGTTGACAGCATGGCAAGACGCCAAACTCTCCCCCTTTATCACAAACAAAAGAGCTCCTGGGTTGCAGGGACCTTCTTCACCAAAGGGATGGAGGTCGGTCCAGCCAAGATTTACAAACCAGAACCGAGAAGACCCATGTTACGAACTTATCACATGCCCCACATGCCGATGCTGGCCAGGCCTCGTCTGACCTCGATGCCTGCCCCCAAACAAATGCACGTCGCCCCCTCCTCCCTCATAATGTTCGGCATTCGTGAGACAGTTACAAAACGTCTTGACTGACCTCAGCGAGTCTACGCCGTCTCCAAGGCGCCCACAGCCCGGCTCTGCTGCCAAGATGCCGTCCGCATGTTCCTCGAAGTCTGGCGTGTACGGTTTATCCTTGAGTTGAGAAGGTTGGAAGGAAGGGGTCTCTCATTTTTAAGCGTTCCTTGAACTAGCGGTTCTGTCCACCGGGATGGTACTAGGCTCTGAGCCAGGACTGAGTCCGTGGGCAGAAAGAAGTCAACTATGCGGTTACCGTCACTTTAATGACACATCATGTTTTTAGATTAAGTCAAAGAGGCTGTACAAAAAGGAAGAACGTGTTCAGACTGAAATGAGTTTCCCGTGTATTTGCACTGAATGCTGATTTCAAAGGACGGCAACACAGTCAGAAGTTGGGATGACTCCAAAATAGCAACAGAGTTGAAACATGTGGTAGCCCTGAACAAGGACGCTGGGAAACACAACACATATTCTGTCAGAAAAGCGCTAAAATGTCGTCAAACAGCGAAGCCAAACACTGGTTCCTCTATCAGCCAAGAGGCAGCAAACCTCGTTAAAGCGAAACTGTGTACATGATCCGAGCTCCCTTGCCGTGTCCCTGCTATAAAATAAAACAGCCATGTGTTGGTGACCGACCTGGATCGTTCTATCAAATCAGACGAGCCTGCCTTTCACTGTCTTTGATCTGTGGTTGTTCACATGTTTTATGATCATAGCTGACGGCCCTGTTACCTCTGGGTACGGTAATTTGGGTGTGTTTGTCTGTGTTTACTTGTAGAAGGCACATGGATTTGACTTGTAGAGTGGCAGGAGGGAGCGCGAGGGGGCGTGGTTACCGCAGATTGACCTTAAGGTCAAGTTGGCAGGCTGGGCAGAAGTGACTCCACCCACACAGTTACTGCGGATCAGAATTCGCACAAGTTTCCAGGAAGAAAGAAAGAAAAAAAGATAGAGAGAGATGGTAGGGGGCAGATGATATATAAATATTTCAAGCGTTGGTATGGTGCAGTATATAAATCACCAAGATATACTGTAGCCTTGTTTTCTGCTTCTTGAAGCAGAAAACCGCGCTCCGCCTGTCTTCCCTCCACAGCCTTGCTCACATCTACAGGATTCCAGGAATGTTGACCTTTACCCCTGTCCCGTCAACCCTCTCGTGTCGGGTCATTTCCAGCCAGATTAATGTATACTTACTACCGTGACTAATGTCCGAGCAGATGACAAACCCACAACTGACCTACAAGCGTTCCGGACGCCTTAGTAAACGTCGGAAACCCGAGCGTTTCCCCCAGTAAGGTCACACAAGGTCTCCAAGATGGTGTATTCATCCTTACTTTTTTAAAAGGCATCCAATGCGATATGTCAGGGCATCAGAATTGGAAATATTCTTAGTAAGGCAATCTTTCTGATATTGACACATACTGCTTTATTAGCACATTTGAGTCAGCCTTTCATACTTAGGGCATTTAAAACTGCAGAAACAAGCCCCAAGACGAGTCATTTATTTATGGGTTTTTATCAGCGGAATGGAACCTTTTGTCGGTGGCTATTAAAATAACGCGTAAAAACTCTTCAAAACGCTGTATCAAAATTCCCACCCGCCCCGGAGCCTGCACAGGAGGCTAGCCGGCCACTGTTATACAACCGTTGTCTGGAAATTATTTATGAAGCGTAATTCAGAGTAGAACGTTCTTGGTCATCACGAAATCATCGTTAAACTTATTGAAAAAATTATTCGAGCATCCAACTTCCATTGACAAGTTTTGCCAGAGTCACCTAATGGATACAAAAGAACGTAACATTCCAAAGACTTCCCTAAGACCCCATTGCACCTTCTACCATGTGTAAATTAATTAAAAAGAAAACCGTACCGCAAAACAAAATAGCAGCCGCACATTTTGTCGTTTTCGTGGAACACGTATGTACAATGCCCTTTGGCCTTCCGTTTGGAAAGACGGAAACCGGCACGTCTGGAAAGGTCAAGTTTCCGACGTTTGAGGCTTCCTTCCTGTCGGGAGAGGGAGGAAATATCTTTCGGGCGCAACGGACAGAAAACACTGGTAGCCTTTTTGCAATGATTCCCTGGGGGGGCGATACCCACCATTAAAGATTAAAACGTATTGGATTTTTCGATACAGGCTGTAATTTAATAAATAGAAAATTATCATAATTTATGTAATTTATTTAGAACTTGTACCGGAAATGTCCTCACTTTGTACTGATGAAAGCTAGTGGATACTAGCTGAAACGTCTACACATTAAAAATTCAATAATCCAGTGTGAAATGACTAAACAACTTCATCTATTTATTCATAATTTATGTGCTTACAACGTACGATCTCTGTGCGATTGCCACTTGTTGTGACCCTCGCTTTAGGGAGAATAATTTCCGGACGTTTCGAGTGATATCTACCACTCTTCTTCAGCGTCACTAGGGTGGTGGATGTCAGTAGTAGAGTTTGAATTTCCTATGAGTATTAAATACAGACGAAATTCACATAGACAAACCTATGTAGGATGTTGAATGCATCTTGTAATGGTACGAGCTTAATTTCAATATACTAGTATAGCTTTCCTCAATCATACTTTAACACACTCGGAAGGAAAAGAAACTACGAAAATACACATACGAACTTACCGGTACGTATTCATCTGTGACCGGCGGTATGTACAAATGTAACTGTGGATGACTTTTAGCTTCAGAGGAACTTTCAGGTGTCTAAGTCTCCACCAGAAGTGAGCAGCTACCATTAATATTGCCGATCGCGAGCAACATGATTATGGGCCTATTATTAGTAACATATTTTGATGTGAGGTGTTTATATTGGCGTGGATATTGAGTGTACAGATCCTGGTAGGGACATTTATATATATTTGGTGTCCATGTCGCATATTGATGCCGGCCTGACACTGCAAACGTCCTTGGGCTAGCTAAATTATTCTCCAAGCATATGTTGGCCAGACTTCGGTTTATTTGTGACGGCGTTTGGATCGGTTTTTTTTTCTGTACTGGTATCTCTTTTTTTTTTGCGCCGACCAACTGTGTTTCATATACTGTCCTGCCGGGCCAGTTGCCGGGCTATCTTGTAGCCACCAAAAAGAGCTTGGAGATTAGGCTAGTGCCGAATGTGATCGCTGGATGATCCTTTCTTTAATCACACCTTAAAGCACCCAGGTACAAACGAGTGAAGAAACGGAACCTTTACGCATATTTCAAGGTGTGCGTAAAAATGAGGTTTTGCGCAATAGAATATACTATATACTGATATGTGATAAGAGACCGTACACCAGTGTGAATCTATTTGCCTAATAGTGTCTCCCCTCTTTTTGAGACATACAGAGACACCGCATGTACACTTGCCTATTGTACATTGTATGCTCATCCGTGCATGACAGCAGGTATCTGATTGAATCCTATTTTTGACATTTTCAGTGTCCTTCAGTCTTCTACATAAATTCTATATTCAATGCTAATGGTGCTCATTTTTGTAAAAGGTACCCGTACAATATGGCATAAAATTGCATCTCGTATTAGATATGTAAGTACATGTAGTTGTCACAGAATTTGCATGTTCTACCTTTTAGAGGGGTACTTTGGCCTACGGCCATTTCCACGAAGAAATGGGAGAGTTAAAACCTACGCGGAGCATTTAGAGTTGTGGATTTTCTCACCAAGCCTGTCGATGATCAGTATCTGAATTTTCCCTAACACAGGCTTCAGTAAGGCAACAGACACGACTATAGCACGAAACTGAAGTATGAAAATGATCCTACCGATGACATTTTCCGTTCGACCTCCAAGTTGACCTTCCTGTGGTTACAAAATCTCCCCCTCCCTCACTGCCACACGACTGCATTCGGTCAAACCAAGGAGCTCCTTGGTCAAACACACACAGGGATAGCCCGAAAACAGTATCTCCCTACCCGGAGGTAATAAATTGCATGCAACAAGCCGGATCAAGACGTGTTTACAAAACACAAAACGCTTTGCTCATCATGGCTGATGTGAACATACGTGTACACAGTATATACAGTATTTTGGTGTAAGCTTGATACTACTCTAAAATGACATACTTAAGTACATATTGTTATGCTTAGGTTCACCTGGATCCTCTTTAAGTCGATACAAGATTTTCCCTTTGATGTACTTTCCACACTTTCAAAGCCCGTCACACATTCAGAACCTTCCTCCTTAAGTTCAGGGTCAGTCTGACCAAATTTAGAACATGCCTACTTTTCAATACGAGTCAAATTTGGGTTAAATTTGAGTCAAATTTCCCTGCTAACCACACTACGGCCACTGCTGACCTATCCCCAACACCAGCTGACCACCGGACTTAGCCAACCATGGTCGAACCTCTATCCTTCATCAGAGACTCAGAATGAGTCTTAAGTCTGAAGTATGTAACCTGAATATAATGTCTATAATAGTATCTGACATCACATACAAATTCAGATATATTCAGCTGGTGTGCTATATATACCAGATATACAGAGACTAATTCTCAGTAACTGATGAAAGATAGTGGATTTTGTATTTTGTATTTATACTGCTGTGCACTGGTGCAATGGCCAAGTGGGTAGAGTGCTCACCTTGTATTCGGTAGGTTGTGAGTTTGATCCCGGCCGAGTCATACCAAAGACTTTAAAAACAATTACATACTGCTTTCTCTGCATAGCACTTAGCATTTGAGAAAGAGTATGGGAGTTAAACACACACCACTACCAGAGGACTAGCCCCCTGCTGTAGTGACTGCACAATCATGTGGCCCAAGGGCTAAGAAACGGAGATGGGTGCCACCATGCTGATGCTTGCGGGAGGGTTTTAACTATCTTTGACTAACGTTCTACCAAGATCTTATCAAGGTTATACTAGAACATTTCACTCATGAGAACACAAACACTTTGCAAAAGGAAGCAGATTGTCTTTATATATATTCTCATAACATAAGCACAATTCACAGATAGATTGAAGTATTGTATCCACACACGTACATGTATGTGAATATTCATGTATGTATCATCTGAGTACGTTTGAAAACACAGTTTTCTTGTTTTCACAAAAGGCACATTTACTCCCGACAAGTTCTTATCTAATTGATATCAGATCTATTCGTACGAAGGACATGTCATTACAAACATTTTTTCACTCTACTCCTGCAAAAAGAAAAAAAAAAATTGTTCAAACGCTCTCTAGAGGTACCTGTTCTGAGCAGATATCATGATCAGATGGAATTACAAAGCAGATTACTGGAATGCAGGGGAAAGCATGATTTTTGGCGCAGCCTTTTACCCAAACACCTTTCTCTTTTCATGATGGAATATTTCTTAATAATTCAAACTATAGTGCAAACACAAACAAGCCTTCCTCATTCAACCCGTCCCTGGTTAGAATTATAATATTAATGTCCCTTTAAATCTCAAATAATTCTCTTGTATGGCTCCGGTGTTAGTTTTGGGTTGTACAATTAGAAAGGCAGGAGGTTCAGTAGTGTAGAGTTGAGTTCTGCATCATCTCAGGCATTCTTCTGTGGGATTTTGATGGTGACCTGGAGAAACACAGGAAACAAAGTCAAATTATTCCAACTTCATCACTACAGTTGATTGTTGACAGTTTGACTTCTATGCAATGTCGGGCATGTATATTTAGGATTTACATGTACAAGTACAATGCAGTTGACTTACAGTTTTGAGTTCTGTACAGGTACACAGTATTTGTACATGTACAGTGTTTACAGTTTTGACTTCTGTATGGGTATGTGAGATAAGTACTATGTACTATGTACAGGGTTGACATACAGTTTTAACTTCTGTACAGGTACATCATGTGTATAGTATTACGTATGTAGGATGAAAACATGTACAATGTTTAGGATTGACCCACAGTTTTAACTTCTGCACAGGTATGTGTAGGATGAAAACAATTGCACAATGTTTAGGGTTGAAATACAGTTTTAACTTCTGTACAGGTGTATGTATGCAGGATGAAAACATGTACAATGTTTAGGGTTGACTCACAGTTTTGACTTCGGTGTAGGCCTCCAGTCCATACTCTCCCAGCTCACGCCCAGAACCAGACTGCTTAAAACCCCCAAAGGGAGCCGCAGCATCAAACACATCATAGGTGTTCACCCTGAATGGAACAAGCAGATACAATCAATTTGCCAATCTATTAAGTGTACAAAATGGTGTTGTTCACTAGTGTTTTATCTAATGTTCAGTTACAGTTACAGGTACAGGTACACCAGTTCAGTTAGAGGTACAGGTTCTGTTCAGGCCTGTACCTAAATAATTTTACAAGTACAAGTATATGTACATGTATAGATACGCAGCCCTTGAAATAACTATCATATGTACAGAAGAAGAACTGGTAAACTGGTACAACTCCATAACGCATGGGCTAAACTGCAGTTGACTTACACCGTTACACGTATTGTAATAAAGACATATAAGAGCCAGTACACATACCAGATAGTTCCACCGCGGAGAGAGTTAGCCATGTAGAGGGCCTTGTCAATGTTGGAGGTGAACACACTGGCAGCCAGGCCGTAGGTGTTGGTGTTGGCACGCTCCACAACCTCCTCTATGTCCTTAAAGCGGGCAATCTGCTGCACAGGTCCAAAAATCTACAGCAACAAGAGATCTCATACCTCCATGAAATATTTAGAGCTCTTATAAATGTTTCTGTTTTATGTCTCTCAATTTCACTTTGTCTTTCTAAGACCTACCCACATATCAAATATCATTACAATCCATAAAAGCCTTCTTGAATTATGCACAATATGTGGAAACACAGACACATACAATGACACAGACTAGTCTTTTTTATATACCTGTCTTGAATACATATGAAGCCATGCTACAGTTATTCTTAAAATTTCAACTGTATTTACATTAGAAGACAATCAAACATACCGGGAAATAGTATACATTAGCCCTTAGATATAGTATAAAAGACCAGACTTACATCACAGTTGTACACTACATTGTACCTAGAACTAACTTTGTCACCAGTGTTTAGATTATAAGAGCATAAATGTGAAATTTAAGGTCTTTCATTGATTCATCCTGCAGTCCTCACCTCCTCGTTGTTGATCCTCATGCCGTCCTGTACGTCGGAGAAGACGGTGGGCTGGACGAAGAACCCCTTGTCTCCTGCCCTGTCCCCTCCACAGTTCAGCGTCGCACCTTCCTTCTTACCGCTCTCGATCAACTCCAGGATCTTGTTCATCTGCTCCTCATCAATCTGTCAAACAGTTATAAGTACACTTGTCATCCAGGGTTAAATCAATAAAATAGTGTTTCAAACTTTCCACTGGATTTGAAATTGATGGTCAGACGTTTCAAGCGTCATTCCGACACTCTTCATCAGTGAAATACAGTGAAACGCTTTCATCTATTTAGTTATAAGTACAGTTTTTGTTTCGATACGGAAAATGCACTCATTGAATTACATGTATTGTAACCTAATCCTTACCTAAAACTACTTGGATGAGAAGATGGAGGGAAATATGCTATATTTGCTCACAGATGTGGCCTTTCTGTATTAGTTTGCATCAGTATTCTAGCCAGCGTCCATCTTTTGGTCCACCAAAGCAAAGGGGCCAGTGCCCGAGGCCTACAGGGCACTCAGGTGATATCATACGATGTACAATGTATGTGACCAGGGCTTAAGTGTACAATGTATGTGACCAAGGCAGGTATGTTCCTGCTATTCATTGTCCACCTCCATGATGCAGTCTTACCTGCGGCCCTTGCTCATTCTTGGGGTCGAAGGGGTTCCCCACGGTCCTCCTCTTGGCCCTCTCCGTGCTCTTCCTGACAAACTCATCGTAGGCCTTGTCTTCCACGTAGATCCTGCTGCCTGCACAGCAGCACTGTCCCATGTTGAAGAACAGGGCAAAGTGAGACTTCTCCACTGCGTAGTCCACTGGGAGGAAAATGACAGTAAAATTAAAATTCAGACATTCTGCTGCATTGCTGAAGAAAGTCACTAGAGGGGGAAAAGCAACCACACTTTTGACACACATATAAACATTTATATCGGTATTTATTTATAGCTTGCAACATTTCCAAGGGTCCCAGCATATGTGGAACGAGTCATGTTACATTTAGTCAGATGGGCCACAGTTGAAAACAAATAAAAACCAATACATCAAAACAGAGTCATTATCCATTACCCACAGTCATAGCCATTCCATGGTCACACACAAAAGAGGTAAAAACTGGAGTGGAGCATACATGTAGCTGCATATATACTGGAAACTTACAGTCAGTGTCAGCAAACACCACATTTGGACTCTTTCCTCCCAGCTCCAGGGTCACCCTCTTCAGGTTAGAGGCAGCAGAGCGCTGGATGATCTTCCCAACCTGAAAGTAGATTGTAAGTTTCAACTTATCTTGTCCCCAAACTTCAATTATACACCATAAAATGTGTGTTTGTTTCATTTCAACTTTATCATCAGCACATGATACAAGAGTAATCAAATCTAACTTGCTCTTTTGACTCTACTTATTCAAATAACTACAAACACACAAACAAACAGACAAACCAAACACAAAACTTCTGTACACAAAGATAATAAAGTTGGGTGAAGTTTTGTACCTCAGTAGACCCTGTGAAGGCGACCTTTTCAATCTCCGGGTGTTCTGCGATGGCCGCCCCTGCCGTCGGACCGTACCCCGGGATCAGGTTGATCACTCCTGGGGGAAAGCCGGCCTGTACCATGGGACAAAAGAGTAACAGGAATCTTTTTTATAATGGGATCTTCTAGCTGTGATTTTCTGTATTACTGTACCTTATGTAAAATTCAAGTAGTAAAATCATTCTTTATTCGAAAATAAGAAAGTGAGATACATTGTAAGCCCAGGTCAATTGATTATAGCTGGCCGAACGTGCAGGGAAACAATCACAAACATATAAAATGGACATGATATATAATATGTAATGAACTTTGTAGTTTTGTATCCATATGTTTTAAAAAGAGAGATATTAGAAATACAGTCAGATACATGCACATGTAGGCGTCGCTGCTTTAGTATAAAGAATGTAGTCCCAAACGTAAGTTAATACACGTAGCGAGTTTCCGTACCTCCTTAGCGAGCTGTGCCACATACAGCGCTGTGAGCGGGGTCTGTTCTGCAGGTTTCATCACAACAACGTTACCCGTAGAGAGGGCGGGGCCCAGTTTCCATGCCTGCATCAGGAGGGGGAAGTTCCACTGTGGGAATAGGGAGGAAAAAACTGCTGTTAGTTTCAGGAGAGCTTGTGGGTTCACTCCCTGGGATTCCTGGCTAGACATTGTGTCCTTGAAAAAGGCACTTTGCACGACTTCCTTTACTCCACCAAGGTATAAAATGGGTACCTGACTTTGGTTGGCGAGCTAAGTAAAATTTGGTGGAGGGAGTGGGAATTGGGCTCCAGTCCACCTTCCAAATGAATATAGTTTCCTAGACACAGTGGATTAGAAACCGACTGCCCCTACTGTCTGAAAAAGGCTATGGGAGCACTCTTATGTTTTACTTTCAAAGCACCAGCACGACATGCTTATATAGAATGTTTCTTTCTGTGTCTGTTACATCAGAAGACAGAAGATATAATGCATGGGGAAAAGGATTGCTGTTTTTATTCAATGCCTTTCTAGTGTTTGAATACTGGTCATGAAATTAAATCTACCCCTTCACTGAAGGTGACATCTATAATCTTTAGAGTGCAGACATGCCATGCATTTTCTGTTCATACCATAATTTAACCTTGAATATAATCAAGGACATTATACACAGATGTGTATAATGTCCTTGATATAATGTAAAATTAATATAGTCTGATGCTGTATTTAGCAAAGGACACAGTAAGAGGATTATATTGGCATGAAAAACATTTTACAGGTTTCCTTTGGTCAAGCTTTACATGAAATATTCAGGGTAGTAGTCATACTTGTATATCAGAATGTAAATTGTCTCTGATACAGGGGAGTTACGAGAGTTGAGATTATAGAATCTCAATACTGGACGATCAGTTTATTGTGCTGCTGATCTTGTAATATGTATATTGTAGTGTAAGTTTGAATTTATAATATTCTTAAAGCTTTTAAATTGTAAGAAGTCGACAATTCAGCCTTTAGGCTGCCATTGACTTTTAACCTGTACATGTTTATGAGAATAAACCAGTCATCATCATCATTAAGTTTCCTTACAGGGATGATCTGTCCACAGACACCGACAGGCTCGTGGCGTGTGTAGCAGAAGAAGTCACCATCTGGAATGGAAACAAGAGGAAATCGTCAAAGATTTCAAACCTCTGTGAAGTATCTAGTGTTGTTATGAATTTCTTGTTTTCAATTTCTTTTATTTATTATTGTAAATTTCTCACTATGACACACAAACTAGAACTATACACAATGACCTTACCAATTGGTATGGTCTTGCCATGGTTCTTCCCTGCCCAGCCGGCATAGTACCTGTAACAGGGTACAGCAGACAGGACAGTTATCAATTTTTGAAGAGTTGAACAGTGAATATTTAGGTCAATGACAGCAGTGAATGAAATGTTGTTCTCTAAAAACAAGATATATACATGTAGTAATAACTACATGTAATATACTCTCTTGCACCTGTAGCACTTGATGCTGAGTTCCAAGTCTGTGGAAAAGGACACTGAGAAAGGCTTCCCATTGTCCAGGGTCTCCAGGTTCTGTTGGGAAAACAAACAAAGATTGATGCATTTTACATTTTTGTAAAAAAAAGAGCATACTGATGGGTTACATACATGTATGCCAAAAAGGAGTTACTCAAGCAACTGGATATGATTTTGGAAACGGTCAAACATTTCAGCTAGTATCCACTAGCTTTCGTCAGTGACTGAGAGGCCAGAGGAGAAAAGCAGGTTTCTCTGGTCTCTCAGTCACTGACGAAAGTCAGAATGATAATAATAATAAATAACATTATATGTTTTTACAGCCAGGTACTCCCTGTCCCGCTCCATGAGATCTGCCAGCCTGTTGAGCAGCACACCGCGGTAAGAACCATCCATGGTTCTCCAGGGGGAGCCCAGGCGAAACGCCTGTTTGGCAGCCTGCACGGCAATGTCCACATCAGCCTAGTGTCAAGATAAAGGACAAAATTAGCATTGTCGTCTTGGCATTGATGTTTAACTCTTAGAATCAAAGAGATGTATACCATAGCACAACTGAGAATTGCAATAGGATACATTTTATGTATTACCCCGTAAGTCATTGTTTTAACTGGTGGACAAAGCTACATGGCACTGCATACGCACGTAAGTATCTTTTTTCGTTGGGAGGTTAAAAGAAGGCTGCAACTGATTGTAAACATTGTCTTTCTACTACTACAAACAGTGTTTGTAATCTAGCAACTGTAAAACTGTTACAGAAACATTATGTATGCAACTTAAGACAAATATCTACAGGTGCAAAGTAAAAAATGGTACTGGTGCACAGCTCCAATTACGGCAATATGGGTGCAGAAAAGTGCATATTCACACACTACATATTTTGACCCCTGAACCATGTTGACAAAATTTACCTTGTCGCCCTCCGCCACCTCACAGATGACCTCACCAGTGGAGGGGTTCAGCGTTGGGAAGGTTTTCTTGCTCACAGAGTCAACCCACTCATTGTTGATGAAGAGCTGTGCTCATAGAAATGTAACAAAACAATCTATATATCTATCTATATATATATCTATATATCTATATATATATATCTATATATCTATATCTATATATATATCTATCTATATATATATATATATATATATATATATATATATATATATATATATATATGTAGTTAATCTGTGTGAATTAACATGCACACACACAGATGTGCACACCACACAAACACACACACACCATGAACATACTGATTTTTTTTGGTTTTCTTTTATTTACTCTAGTACATATATTTGAGAGCATTGGATAGAAAGCATGTAATGTGCTTATGAAACAATAAAAATCTAAACACACGTGAAAAGTTTCACTTATATTATTGTTATTTTATGAAGCTGACATTCTAGACAAGAACATTAAGACAAAGTCCAGTCCAGTCTACCTGAGCACAGCATGGGTAAATATTTGAATAACAGAGCTGAGCACTTGGAAACATGAATATCTAACACTAGAAATTACTTATTATAATACACACCAGCTGCTACACCCGTGTTTATCTTACTTAATATCAATAAAGTGGCAACCTGATGAATGGATATCACTACTTGACATTTCAGCTATCTGCTGTCATGTAACATGAATAATATTACAATAATGACAGAGAGGCATTGGATATCTGTAATAACATTTGAGCATTATTTTCTTCAGCTTGAATATTTGCATTACGTAATATTAGTGACTGTTGCTTTTAAGCCATATAAAACAGAAAGTGGTGACTTTATGAGTTACACGCAAGCAGACAGACAGTTCGTAGAAGTCACATGGAGTCAAGGACAACTGTATCAGATTCAGGTTATTTCAGGACAATCTTAGTAATTCCTGCCAGCTGCACCTAAACAATTTTTATCATGCAAGCATCTTGACTAAGTGAAAGATAATACATTAAAAAAAAACAGAAAAAGACTTTGTTATAACAGACTGATATTGATCAAATTTATCTCAGACTGAAGATTTATTCGTTGTTGCTTTAAATTAAAGCACAGACCCTTTATCAACAAGGTCACGAAAACAGACTGCAGGCAGAGCACATGACTGAGTAATTGCTATAATGATGCAAATCCGGAAGGATTCCTCCAGACAAAAGAGATAAAGAAGGCTTGAATGCACAAGCGCCTATTGAAGGTCAGAGAAGACGTCATTTCTATTTCTTCAAGTGAAATTATCAAAAAATGATGAGACCTTTGACAGATAATTATGTCAGAGAAAAAAAACATGTCATTTATGTTGCATTTCAAGTGAAATTATTCGAAAACAACCTTTGAATGGTGATAATGGCAACTGAATGCCATGAATGAGGACTAAAAATTACCTTGCCATTTTTTTGGCAAGGTCATCCTCATTCATGGTTCTAGTCACACAAAAGGTTAAGCAGAACAAAAGATCTCACAGTGATAGTGGAAAACATCTGCTGACAACACTGTGTCATCTCATGTCACCAAATCGTCAAGTTAGATTTGGCAAATCTTCCCTTTCTCAAGTTTATGATAGGTCTGGGGAGATTGGAGAGATTGAATTTAATAATATATATGTGATAAATCATTACTTTTCATCGTGGCGACACAAGTAGGAGGGGAAAGAAAGTTATATGTGGTGTTTTACATTAACATTGCTGGTTGAAGCAATTATGTATTAGTAATTTGTCAAAGATGAAAGATTGGGCAAAATTTGTGTGCGTCATGAGCTGAAAAATTCCTTCAAATGGTAGAAAGACGGACACTGGTGGCTAGAACGTGTACAACAAATGTTGACCTTTTGTTGCCTTTTCCCCAAAAGACAATTTTGCTTTGAGGCACATATGAGTCATCATCTGGTGCAGTGAGGTGAAACTTTAAAGTGGCACGACTAGTCTGATGAACAAAGGACTGAAGTCACGCCTTCCTCAACAAAATGTCATAATTCACACCACTTGTCAGCATCAGAATCCAAAACTGTTCAAAATCCTTCCATATGTCACAGAAACACTTGCTAATGCTGAGGTCACATTTCCAAACCGGGGCCCGGTTAAATTTATTATATCAATAATATACTCAAATATTTCCCATTATTAATTTATTCAACTTTTTTGTGCTTTGTTGTCTTTTATATCATACTTTTCGTTCCATATGACAACCTGGCCGAGCCACGGCTTGGAAATGTGACCTCAGCATGACCCCCCCAAAACGTGCGCAGGGTTGGTCCTGGCTTTTTTCAGCTCAACAGCTTTTGAACATCCTAAAATCCTTAGTCAGACATTCTTTGTAACTGTATGTACTAGTCATTATTCACAGATCACTGTAACTATCAGAAATGCATTTTGTATTTTCAACATCACAATTTAGGCTGGTTTAAAACAACCTGTGGTCAGTCCACTCCATGTAACTGTTGCTCTATTTTGCACATCAACATTCAGAGTAAACATATTCATATTATTCATTTGTAGTCAGGACTTATGCACGTACACTTATGTAACGTTACATGTACTGTTACCTGCAGTCAAAATGCACATATTACTAGTGTCTGGATATAATATATATTCCTTTGATTTAATGGCCACACTCCCTATTAAAGGCCCCAAAACGATCTGTCCTTTGATAATTCAGACTGTAGGTGCCATGGTGTCTGGAGTACTTAAAGTTTTGAAATAACCAAAATTGCAAACAAACCGAAATTTGAAAACATGTAACGTTAATGCTTAACAGAAATAATGAAACTACCAAATTACGATGGAAGGGACATCTTACATACGTAGTAGAGTCTAGTATAGTATAGTGTAGTGTCAGCTTGAGGTTTGCCATGACCTAATGACCTAAAAGACCTGCTTCCTTTGTGTACGTTGTTTACTTTCCTGGGTCGGACGTGGTGTTATGGCAAGTTCACCACGGCACCTCGAACTCTGAGTTTCAGAAACCGTGACCAGAAATTTTTACAACAAAGAAAAGCACGCTAAGAATTCAGCTGACTCTCACGGCAGGCTACCTACAGAGAATGAACCAAAACCTCCCATCACCTTTCAGTTTTCTATTTACACAAAGAAGATAGCACCCTAGGCCGTAGCCCTTTTACCTGGTTGCATCGTATGTCCGGAGAGGGGTTCGGCTTGGGCGCCGCTGCTGTGGAGTAAAGGGCTTGGGACAGCGCCCTGGTCGCACTGAAGCGGGTTAGGACCGTTCGCAGCATTGTTTGGCCAACAAATACGGACAGGTACAAGATTTACGGCGCGAATTTAAGCCTTGCCCGCAGCTATGACGACTGCTAAGTTCGCCCCGCTGAGTCCAGCTCGTCTGAACTTTCGCGATGCGACAGAGCGAGCCCTTTAGAACGCCAAGAAACGCTACTACGCTACTAACATTTCTGTCTATTATAGAGCACAGATATAGTAAATGGCCATATAAATAGTACATAAAAAATAATACAATACTTTATATATGGTAGAAGATATCAAATATCTTTAATTTTGTCTGTTCGGTGCATTTCTTTGGATGGAAAAATTGATTGCGTTTGGTTGCAGCTGTTGTTTTCGTGGGAAGGGGGCGTGGTCTGTTAGCCCAAACGGCGCCAACTCCAAATTAACTAATAATCATACAATATATTTCTCTCGTCAGCGAGTGATAGAAGAGAAATAAAATTGCAAACAAATATTCTACACGATCGAAGAGAGGGGAATTTTCTAACTTAGGTAGTTACTGGCGGTAAATGGGAGGTCGCCAGTGAGTCACTTCTTTCATTTTCAAGCAGATGTTGGTATAGGCTAAATTATTAATAGAAAGTGGGGAAACGTAATGTCTCCCAACATCTCCTTGAATATCACAACATTTTTTTTCGCAAAAACAAACAGTCAAATCAAGGACGTTGTCAGGCATTGTACTTCTTGGTCTCAACCCCCGGTCATAATGGAATATCCCAACTTCACGATCGAACCAATCAGATCCCACCACGACAAAAAAGAGACAACATGGCGCCAGGAAGAAGTTTTCGACTCCCTGTTTGGGAGATAATTTCCCGCTGTATGCTGTGCATGGCCGGTTTAGTTTTGTCTGGTTACGCTTTCTACGTGGAGACGTCGAAAGAAGCAGACCACTCGTACACGGCGATGTGTGACGTCAGCGAATCCGTCAGCTGTTCCAAAGTGTTCACGTCTCGGTGAGTGGGAGGGGGGCATATACTTTTTTTCTAGCATATGTGAAACTTTGAACCTGAACCTAAAGTCCTTTCGTACAACCAGCTGAAGTTTGTACATCCCTGTGCTTGTGATACCAGGGGTCGTGGGTTCGAATCCCAACTTATTTGCGTTGCAATGGCCCTGATTTGCATATATGTTATTATCACCATGATGAATGTCTATGTATACTTATGAGATCACCCCAATTCTATTACTTCTTTGTTCAGCTTGTATGTCTCTTGTCAGCTAATACAACACAAATCCCATTGTCGTAATAGATCTACATTTGTACTATAATATATATAACAAGCATATGAAAAGCATATGAACAAGGAAGACCAGACAGTTGTGATGATACTGTCTCTGTCCCTTTCCTTTCTGTGCAGGTTTGGACGTGGATTTGGACTGGTGGAGCTGATCCTGGGAGCAGACAGTCCTCTCAACCTGCCCAACAGCCTGTTTGGTCTGGCCTTCTACATCATGCAGCTTAGTCTGGGTGAGTCTAGGGCAACACAAGTGGTCCACGTTAAACCCTAAATATTGCGAAAAGATCTTGCGATTGTCACAACATATATATAGAACCTTATTTGACATGTAACAAAATTGCAGCGGCTTTCATAAGGTCTATAAGTAAACTTACAAGTTAAAAGTTGACTTACATAGAAGACTATGAATGAATCAACATACAGAATTTTGCAGCTCCTTTCGCATATAATATATTAAAGAAGGATAGTGCATTTTGTAAATTTTCTTCAATGATTCTATTCAATTCCTTTAGTCCTTCAGGCAATCTTATTGTTTCTCTAGTTTTTTTGATGTACCTTTCTAATACTAGTATGTACCAATAACACACACTGTGAAACATGATTTATTGATGTATTGAGCTTTGTGTATTTTTAACTTGTTTTTAGATAATATGGGTCTCTGTGCTTGATATACATGAATGAATAAACAAAACCTACCTTCTCGTCCCCATCAGGTGTTCTCCCAGGTATGTCTGTCTCCATCGTTCTCCTGGCCACGTCGGTCCTGTCGTGTCTCGGCTGTGTCTACCTGGCATACATCTTATACTTCATCTTACAGGACGCCTGTATCGTCTGCATCAGTACTTATGTCATCAACACCTTACTGCTTATCGTCAATATTAAAAGGCTATTGATACAGGGGACAGCAATATTGAAGAAAAGACAGTAATCTAGGAGTTGTATTGAATCAGTAATTGTACTAGAAATTCCTTATATACATGTATTAGTTTCTGATAGCCTGAGTCTGTTCCAATAGTGGTTGGTTCATAGTGACTACCAGAGTGGATGTAAACTAACTACGATCATGGTAACCAGGCTAATAATAGCTAGATTATAACAGGTGTCAATTTTCCACATTCAAGTTACAATACAAATAACTTTCCATCAAAGCTATGATTTTTTAATTTTTTTAAAAACTTTTAGAGCTATGTTATGCAGTTCAATGTCAGTATATTTAGCTGTAGAAAAAGGTAGTTAAAATTGCTCATTGAATCGTTCCATAGTTTGGGATGCTCCATTTGTGGAATTGTGTTCACAGATATTTAAACCACAGGCAGAACATTCTTTAAGCTGTACACTACTCCTAGATTGTTCAAAAAAGTGTGGTCTTCCATTTTGTAAAGGGCTCTTGCAAGCAATCAGGAAGGGTTTTATTTACCAATGGAATTAGATTTATAGATTAATCTATAGATGAGTAGTGTACTTTTCTGTGAGACAGAATTGACCAATTTGCAGTACAAGGAGCTACCCTGGCCTGAGCACATAGGCAGGCAGGATGTAGCACGGTGTACATGTAGTTGTATACCAGTAAGTGCTATAATTTGCGTATGCTGTGGATTGGTTATGATCAACTCACTCATCCTTTGCTGAAATTACTTTATGATATGATAAGTTACTGACAAACCTGCTCTCTTTTTGTATCAGATTCTTTTATTCTTCATGTTAAAACAAGAAAACAGCAAAGCCACAAACCAAACATCAAACAGCAACCAACAAAGAAAAAACTTAATTTTCTGCCGTGGGCAACACAACTAGCCTGAGTGCCATGTGTTTTGTAATGAGGCTCTGTGCAAGGGGCCTTGTTACAAAACGGATGGCATCCAGACTAGGCAACAACAGTACCAGTAATAACAATGAACTAAGAACTAATTTTCCCACCATTCCTCAACATCTAGAGTAGAAAATCCATGTACCCCTATATCAGATCTTGAATAAGGTCTGCCTTAATATCAAATAACTACTTGCAAATCAAAGATTAAACTACATTGCTATCTTCTGCACTCGTGAAGTGCACTTTTTTCATATGCCAATCATGCTGTACCATTGCCTTGGGTATAACGATAAGATAACACCATCATATCCAACAAAATCAGTTTCTACAGAGCTGTTTTACTTTCTGTAGCAACCACACTTATTATGTTTACAATAAAAAAACTAAACTCTCAAACTGAACTCCCCAACTGCTATGACAATATTTACAGCATGTATAACTGCAATGTCATTGGTCACAATCCGCAAGAGGTCCTCTCGCGGCCAACAGCCCCTGGCTGCAGTACTGGAAAAACACACGTCGCCGAAATGCCAAAACTTCGAATTCTCTGCCTTATGTTGTCAGTAATAAACAATTGCAAGTTTTCATCTCGAATTCTTTTTAGACGTGCTAAGTGCCTGACTTTTATGGACAAAGTCTTGTGTAGCACTTTGAAAGGCGAATCCGAGGAGTTGATTTTGAGAAGGTACATTTTGATGGATGCGCATAGGCATTGCTATTACTATTTCAGTGCTCTCGTTTCATATGAATTTTTCCATTTGGCAAATGATATGGAGACTTGTTGATTTTGTATTGCTGCACTTTGTGTGCTTGGTTCAATGCTAGTCTGTGTAACGAAAACTTTGCCGTCTGTGTCTTACTGGCCCCTCTCCGGGGGCGGCTGGCTGTATATAAAGCTAGTTCAGTGCCAATTGTTGCGGCCAAATATCGCGTTACATAGTCAAATGTTCTGTCTCGTATCCAGTTCACTTCATGAGAAGTTATGTCGTTTCTGGTGTCAATACTGCCGGAATCGACGAAAAGGAATTTAGTATCGACCTAATCTCAAACAGCTTTTGGGGCCCATTTTTAGAGACTACCTCGACTACTTGCAGAGCTTGATTATGGAAGTCCATCTTCCGGAGCTACCCTAGGCCCTTTGTGTCTGTCCAAATATTCTGTAAGTCTGGTTTTCTCGATAGAATCCGATCTATGAAGAAGTATGGCGATCTCAGCAGACCCTATGGACCCCACCAGTACACCCACAAGGGCCGGGATGTCGTACCAGTTCTGTCCCATCCTATGGGTGTACCACACCGTCACCATGGTGATGTTACCTAGCAACGTCACCACGGTGTTCACCCAAAACATGTAGTGGTGTTCGAAGGAAATCATCACAGTGAACGTTTCGACTGCTGTTCCTATACATGTTGCAAGTTTCTTACTGCGTCTATATTCTTTATTCAAACCCAAGTAGGCAATAGTCATTAGCAGCCAATTTCCTCCAAGGAGGAGCAAGATCCAGGCTTTGATGACAGTTGCGAGCAGCGCTATGGCAAGCACACGTGCACTGAGTTCCACCGATTTCCATGCTGTGAAAAAGAGACCAAAAAAGATTTTCATACGCAGTCCACTGTAGTTCTGTTCGTTGTACCACATCGTGACCACGGCATTGACGGCTGCCACTAGTGATGTAACAATGCCGATAATCTGCAGGACGCTGGACTGTCTACCAGTGGAGATGATTATATATAGCTGCAGACACAGTTGAGGGAGGCTCTCTAATATGACTTCATACATAGATGATATATCGATCAAAGGTTGTCCATTCCATTGCCCGTTTTTCAGTATGTCCCGGCAGGCGTAGCAATATATAGCGATCACACCCAACTGCAGTGCACATACTACAGTACCCACTTTGTCTACTGCACAGTGATTTGACTGAATAAATTGCCTCCAGAGCCTGTACCAGAATATCGCAAAATTTTCTACAATTGACGGGAGAATCACAAATACCAGCGTTAAAGCAAACCAGGTAATATCACCGCTCCTGAAGAACTCAACCGCAAGCCCCACGTCTGTGCCGATATCGGCAAAGTAGAAGCACAGCGGGATCACCCCAAGGCGTAGAAACTTCCCCACTTTAGAGTTCCAGGCTGACTTCAGGCAACCAAGTATCCTCCGGCCTACACTATTTGGGCGGGTAGACGATTCAGAATCCGAAGCGGAGGTGTCCGCCTGCTCAGGGGGCTGATTCGTTGTTTCTTCCATAGCAACTTGGCCTACACTTTGGATTCAGGATCCTAACAGACTGTCATGTCAGTTGACAAGGGTGTTGATCGACCGATTCCCCGTAGCTTAGGCAGGCAACCACAGAGCCGAGGAGGCTGTTTCTGTAAAATCTTGCTGAAAAGCTGGACGTGCGCACACGGGGACAGGGTCGGAGTGACCACAGCTAGTCAAGACGGCAACCTTGGAACAGAAGGTGAATATTTCGTTTTCAGATATTTAAACGTGGAGCAAAGCAATCTGATCTGCATTTTGTTCCACAGCGTAATGTCAATAATGTTGTGTTTTTTTTTACGTTGAGACTCTTATCGTGTTAAGGTCTCATACACACATACATGCATACGTTTACTTACACGGAGTCTTGAAATAAACATTCTAGAAACTTAACCAATTTTATCCCGTCGGGAAAAGAACAAACATGCGACAAACTACAGTACACAGCAATCAAGCTTTGTGCGCGTTTGCGGGAGACAGTCCCCTCTCCTACATTCATAATCATAAGCCTACTCTGAAAAATACAACAAAAAGTCGTTGCTTGGGATGATATCACAATATTTCAACATGCAGGCAGAAATCTTACTTACATTGACCTCCCAGTAGGAACCTTCGAGCAGATCTCACAGCCGGTAGGACCGAAGGAAGGCATGTTGTCCAAGTAGGGGTAGTATGGTGCAGAATGTCTGTTTTTCTTGCCGAAGTCTTTTGTAGTACTATGAAAGGCGGATCCGTAGACTTGGTTTTGAAAAGGTACGTTCTATAGGTATTGATATCACTTTATTTTTGTGATCTATTTTCCGTAGCAAACGGTGCGCAGACTCGCTGGAATTTACGTGGGTGGTTCAATGCCAATTGTCGGGTCAAACTACAGTATTGCGTTACAGTATTGCATTTTGCCTGGTATCCAGTTCGATTCTATACCGCCCTCTCATCAGACGACGGCATTGTTATAAATTGTGAACACAGGGTGTCGCTTCTAGTTCTACCCTTTTGTTTCTATTAGCTTTGACGACGACAGTGGCAATTAAAAATGTTAAAGTCTAGATCTGCGACCATTTCCAATAGTGTCTTGGTCCAGTGGCAGCGTCGCAAACCACTGGACTACGCACTCTTGTCAAGTTACGGTGTCACGTTACGGTTACCTTTAGTTCAACGTTAACGGCGTGCTGGAAGAGTCCGCTGTTCTCCCAGCAAGTCAGGCCTTAGAGACCGACTTTAAGCAATGCAAGCCATAAGCAACAGTGCAAACTCTTCACCCTTTCTATCAGATGGTAAGCATCAATACTACGAGAGACCTAATGTACAGTGTTCTTGCAAATAACTAACATAATAATATAAGCTGCGATGGACGCAAATAAATATATTTATTCCATCTTTACAGACATTTAGCGGTGCAGTTATTTACACAATACCCATCACAACATTTGGGAGTCGACCTGATTTGATCAGTCAACTCTTACTACGGTGACCAACAAATGTGTTTAGTTCGTGGTCAGTTAAAATCATGCCTACAGGCCATTCTTATAGTGAATTTTGGGTACGATACTGGGCATGTGGTCTACCCATTCAAATTATGCATGTGCAAAAAAAAATATATATGTGTGGATCACAACTTGATAAGAAATGAAAATTATCTGCATTTCCAAACAGATCAAATCACATAGAGGGCATGTAAGCATCTTGAGGTAGCAGGAAATCTAGGTTTTTAACAACAGTTTTCATAGTATACTATTAAAAGTTGTCTGAATGCTGAGTTCACTCTCTTTGTACTGTAGAAACAATTGAACTGTTTCGAAATGATATACACCAACACAGACGAACTTTCTTGCACAAAGGCTGACTTGGTGGACGGTAAGGTGCATCATAAATATGTGACCATAATAACCCAATCGCAACAAAGGCACTAGCGATATCACACTTTAGATGTGTTAGATGCCCGCGTCTTTGCTGAGTTTCTAGACATGTTTCCCGTATGGACTTTTGCTGAGGGTGTTCTGGTACGAGCTGAGTTTGGATGTACTAAAGTGTTGACCTTTATGGGTGTGTTTTGGTTTGTTGGAGTTATGGGTTGGGAGGGTGGAGGGGACGCACTTTCCAGTCTCAGAGCTGTCTTATCCCCTTTGGGTGCCTCTTTTAGCTGCTCCTGTAAAGGTAGATCAAAGGCAAAAGAACTTAATCATCAACAAAAGTATTCACGACAGAGGACGCCTTTTTTCTACTTTATTTTTCCAACTTAGCATTCACCTTTGGTTCACAACTAGCGTACATAGTTGCTATTCTTCCTCAGATCGTACAATTTTGAGCATCCTTTTCATTCAATAATGTTCACCTAACAGCCCATATTTATCTATCCATTTATCTATTAATGTATTCAAATAAAGCATGAACATAGAAAGACATTCCGTTTAATATCTGGACCAATTAACACAACTACGCCCATTTTGAGACAACTTTAAGTGGTACGTCCATTGAAAAGTTGTATTCAGCACCAAGGACAGGTCCACAGACACAACTTTTCCGTGGAATGTTATTACGTAATAGAATATCCAGTGACTTTTTTTGTACCGTGAGTCCTCGTATTCTCTCCTCTAGTCTGGCGATTTCTACATCCTGTTGATTTTTCGCTTCTTTAAGTTGTTCGATTGTTCTCGTCTTGTCCGTCGTTTCGTCCTTCAGTTCTGAGACTCTTTGCTTCCAATCTGCAATGGTCTCTTCCTGCAGCAATAGGACAGCGTCTTATTTCAATGTACTTTTGTTCAACGCACAACGATTTCTATACATACAGGGAGGATTTTACATGTACCCATCGCAAGTAGGGGAGGCTTATATATACGTCTTCGTCTGTTTACAGTAATGATTGGGACATAAAGTTGAAATGGATTTAAACCGCGCATACTCACCGTCATCTGTTGGAAGTATTTGTCAACTGACGACATTACATTTGCCCACTGGTCTCCACCTCCGATAGAAGATTTTCTGCATCAAAAAGAGAAAAATAACGGTTTCCCACAATTTTCCCTGCTACTATATTGCTATTCCTTCCATTCTTTAAACCACATACATAACACAGCACTTTGAAACTTCATGCGCAAACGTTTTATTTCCATCAAAAGATTTAAAACCTGGTGACTTCACTTCAGAACGCCCTTTTAACTCTTACCTGCTCATTAAGTCTTCGGAGGGTTCTCTCAATGTAAGGCTCGGCGTGGTCCTAGAAAAAGAAGGTCTCTTCTGCAGAGTCGCCCTGTGTTTTTGCAGTGACGCATCCGAGGGACGAGAGGGGCCCATCCTACTCCTTACCAACCCTCCGTTACGCAACATGTCATCCCGTAGCGTTTTCAACATCCGGTCGTCCACGACCTCGCCCAAATCTTGTGACTTCGTGCTGCCCTTCCTGGGATAGTCGGTAGGCGGCGTTAGCGGCACGGGGGAGCCAGTTCTTGCCTCCGGTTGGCGCTGCAGCTGATGGTTGTGGGCGCTGGACGGGCGCCGGGCCCGGGACCAGGGTATGTGTCTCGGGGTGTCTGTAGTCGCGCCACTGACTTCGCTCCTGAGATCCTGCGAAGACTTTGCCTTGCAACTTTAAGGAAAAAGTAACACTTTGCAGTCACTTTGGGAATCGACGCTGTTAACAATATTGACAGGAGACTTATTTTGATTTTGAATCAATCAAGAAAATTGAATAAACCGTTTATTAGACAAGTGGAACATATGCGCAGTTTTATATCCAAAGACATAGAATTCACTCTAACATTGCATTAATCTACGCCACACTGCAGTAAGCGACTTTCCTCGCCGTCACTTGCAGTGTCTTATCAATCCGCAAGATGGCATTGTTGCACGACAGGCCACACGCCTTACCTTGACATGAGTGATTCCTTCCTACTCGCCACCTTTTTCACCAGTTCGTCGTCCTCACGCTTCTCCCGGTCCGCCACGGCCACCCTGAGTCGCCTCCGTCCGTACTCTGTAAGGATGCGCTACGGAAAGGGAAAAGACAGAAGCCGTTTCGTTTAATGACATGACAGTAGCGTCAAGACGTAGATTGAAAATGTAATGCAGTAAATCCACAGGTCACGTCATTTTCTGCCAGGTGTTTTGCAGATTAAATTGATAAGATTAAGACAAACTAGAAAGGCCAATATTTGCTTTGGAGCAAATACAGCGATGGGTTCACCACATTTTACGACATGGCAGGGAAAGAATGAGAAACACAAGGGAAAACAATGATTTACATTGATATAACTATAATATGAAGTAACATACAACTAAAACAACAGTTGGATAGCTATTCCCTACTTTATTGGTTAGGATTTTTAATTGCATAATGCAAACTGTTGATTTTCAAAATAAAAAAAAACGTTCATGCCCCGCATTCCAATGCTGGAGCAGAAAAGCTTGAAATACCTACCAAAACACTTGAATAAAGACATACTGTCAGTATGGAAATGCTCTGTGCAGGTGTTAATCAAGTTAAATCCCAACAGCCAATCAGCAAGAAATGCTCTGTGCAGGTGGAAATGCTCTGTGCAGGTGTTAATCAAGTTAAATCCCAACAGCCAATCAGCAAGAAGTATAGAGGAAAGCTGCATGCCTATTGGTTGATGCCCTGCATTCCATTGTGATGACTCATGCCCAGACGTGGTAAACACGGCACACTAACACAGTAATACATTTGCTATAACACAGCCAAAAAACTCAAATAAAACCATTCTAAAAGCCTGTATCACAAAAATTTAAAAAACGCCTAGGGGTATTTGCCCACTGTACCTCCATACCAAATTTCAGGACCTTAGGCACTAAAATGAAGAAGCTGAATCCATTTAAAAAATGGCAGGAGAAGAAGGAGAAACATCAGAAAAAGCAATATGGGTTCACCACCACTTCGTGGTGTGGTGAACCCATAAATATTTCAAATTCAAAGAAGCCGTATCTGTGACAATCACTAACTCTAAACGTTAACGTGGCTGGTATCAGTGTACCCCATTCTTATCAATTGGTATCGTAGCTTTGCCTCTAACTACCATGGCTATTGGGAAAACTGGCACCGAATGTGTTCAGCACCAAGGACAGGCCTGTTTACCCCATGCCACAGCTATGGAGATTGGAGAGGATAATTTACCAGGGGAGTTTGCATTCGCCCCCGGCCAATTATCGACCCTTTTTTGCCAAATTATACTATCCACAACCCTTTGGCCTTGGAAATGTCTGGTCGGGAGGCTAACTGTAGAGGGTTGTCCGACGCGCTGCATGCAGTGTGTGTGTATGTGTGTGTGTGTGTGTGTGTACCTTAGCCTCGGGAAAGTCCTCCATGGCGGCCAGGACGTCTTCTTTGTATAACGCGAACAGCTCAGAGTAACCCACAGACCGGACGTCTGCCGTGCGCCTGTAACAGAGAAACCTCGTGGTTGACCCGCTCTTCAGGAAGCACAGATGCAGTTCCTACATCACACACCTTTCAGACATATTTCTTTTCTCTTAAACAATTAATGAAACATCTGAAATTAAGGGAAGTATTGATAATATGTTATATTATATGTACAAGATCTAGAAACTCTGTTGCGTACGGGCGTTTATTTCGAGGAAACTGGCGCCGTATGTGTATAACATGGTGCTATGTTGGTGTTCAGCACCAAGGACAGGCCCGTTTACCTGACTGACCAATGTTAATAATTTAACTTCAAACGATAGGAGAAAGATATATAGCCTGAAAGTGACATACTTGTTGACGCCCCCGTCTAAGTTGAGGATGCCGATTTCTCCAAAGAAATCCCCGGCCTTCAGTTGGGTGATGACCCGCCCTGTTTCACTAAAGGGAAGAGAGGGGTTAAACGGTTATTAGTTAGCGAAGTGCCAGCATAGGTAGACATACGAACTTATTTATTCATTTCATTGTATTAAAATTGAAACAATCAATACACAGGTCACTCAGGTAGCGTTACTGATGTCGGGTGCCGTCTAACGTACAGTTGAACATGTCTACGTAGATGTCCCGGTGTCAAGCCAGACATACATGATCCTGCCAAATACATGACTCTGACACTACTTGGGGGGTTTCCAATATACCTGAGACATGTACAAGGGGTGGGAGGGGTTAAGTCGTGATGTGGGGGACCAAACCTAACCTAACCCTAATCGTAAGTCTAACCCTAGCGCTGAACAATGATCCCAACTCTAACCCTAACACTAACTCTAAAACACCAGACCTCTCACGTATGTGGCAGCTCAAGGATTTGGCTCAACACCGGGTGACTGACCTGATGATGTCCAGGATACCGTGGTTGATGATGAACATCTCCCTGGCCACCTCTCCCCGCCGGCAGATCAGGTCACCAGGTGTGAAGATGAAGGCTTTCATCTTAAGGACTAGGTCGTACAGGAACTCCGGCTGCACCTGCTGGAATATTGTCACCTGCGGGACAGGTGGGATACAGGGAAGACACAAGATTACGTCTCGCGATGGCAGCTCTGCCATGGTCCAAATTGATCACGATAGTAACACCTTTATGTGTGTGTGTTTGTGTTTATGTATGTTTGTGCGTGTGTGTGTGTGTGTGTGTGTGTACGTACGGTGTGTGTGTGTGTGTGTGTGTGTGTGTGTGTGTGTGTGTGGTGTGTGCGCGCGCGCGCGTGTGTGTGTGTGTGTGTTTGATCTACGTAAAAGGAATAAAGAATGCTACATCTGATATTGCTTTCAAATTGGTCTTAACTGTTAAGACATGAACATGATATCGGTGCACTGCCATGTAGTATACCAATTGGCAAGAGTAACGCTTTTGAAGACATTACAGAAAGTCTAACCTCACCTTCTTGAGTGTCTGTAGGTTGACCTGCAGAGCCAGTTCGATCTTGATCCTGTCCGGCAGCAGCCCGAGGGAGTTGATGTCTCCACCTCCCCGCATTAAACCTCTGGAACAACAAAATCCCATATGAACAAACAGAGCTTCTACAAATGTACCACCACAAAATGTGATGATACCATTACCAAGGGACCCAATCGTGACATTTTCTTATTTGTTATTGCTTTTAAAAAAATGATACATAACGCAAACAGAAAAAAGGAAACAGTTCAAGAACTAATAAAGACAAAAGCCATGGATCCATCAATAGAACATAAAGGCAAAGGTTACCCAATCGTGACCTTGGCAATGACGACCCTTACCTGCTCCAGGAGTAGCCGTACCACCGCTGAACCCGCCTCTGCATCTCTTCCGGAATGTTGTTACTCTTCATGTAGGTTTTCGCGCTGTCCTGGGAGGGAAATAACAGAGAAGATCTATGCCCCGAAACAGCAACAAAAACAAAACATACAAAACGTACCAAAAGACTGACAGACGTTTTTCCCAGCGTACTTACCAACATCCTCTCGAACTGTAGTCTGTCTGCGTTTCTGTTGGCAATGACGTTGCCCACCTGACCTGTGGAAGAAAAAGGTCAACTAAAATTAGTCAGTCGACTTGGCCAAAGTTTCCAGCAGTCTGGAGTCTGGTAGAGACTACAGATGTAGGCCAGCTGATCGTTGTCGGTGATGACAGACCTTCCGCGGCGTCGAAAAGACTTCTTCTCTCTGAATTGGGGCATACAGAATCAACCCCGACTGTTTAAACTAAGGATCAGGTCTGTATGTATAGTGAGAGAGACGCTGTAAAACGCATACCGTCAATAACAGGTGTCCGAGAATACACTGCCTCGCCAAAAACATCATTGTTTTTATAAATATGTCCAGGGCTTTGTTGTCTATCTTAAAAGTTTGCCTCCACAGTCTTTTCTAAATACACAAAATCCGGCCGAAATTTGGAAGACAGTGTACGTGGAAGCAGAAAAGAATAATCGAAATTTTCTAGACTTGGGGATGTGTACAGTGCAGCTGGGTGTTTGTATCGAATCTATCCCAAGCAAGTCCTTTAGTAGATGATCGTATAACGAATGTAACCGGGCCTTCATGGATGAAAATGTGCCCCGTCACTCCCCTTTCCCTTAAAGCTCTCCCCTCTACCTCACACAGAGAGCCCCCACCGACAGGAAAACAGTCCCCGCAAGGCTCTTGAACTCGTGTGAAGTGTTGTTCAAGGTCCTGGAGTGCACGTAGCCAGGTCTGACATATTGTTCCCTCGAGTGTTTCTCCATCCTTTGGCTTAACTTCCACGTAACTCATGCAACTTGACTTTTACATTTAAGCCGTAGAAAGCAAAGGCAGAGGATGTAAACCTGAGTACAGAAACCAATTTGCACCAATAGTCTACTAACAGAACTGCAGAAAAACACAGCAGTGAAAGTAACTGCAATCATAATCAGTGACACATTACTGTTTGAAGGAGTGATACTATGTGTCAGATACCTACCACGAGTGGTTTTATTCAAACCAACTTGTATATTCATTTCTAATCAAAATTATATATTAATTTCAGCGAATATTCAAAGAATCTGATCCGCTTTACTGTTAGTGGTTGTCTTTAGAGAAATTAGACACTTTTACTTACCGACGACGATGGCGAACACGAAGATTCCCATCAGGTATCCTAGCAACGTGAACAGGAACCTGATTGGAGGAGAGCATGATCAGAAATATCGTCTGCGGAAATGTCAATCAAAACAAACTGTTCGTATTCTATAGCACTGTATTTCATGCAAGCTGGGTTCACACTCGGAGCAAATGGTTTTTTGTTGTTTTTGTTAGGAAGTTTGTGAGCTATGTTGACACAGCAGAGGCGAGATTGATGCAGCTGAATGAACTGTTGTTACAAACGTGAAACAATTTGAACAACATTCCGTCAGAATTGACCAATCTAATCAAAGCAGAACAACTTATAACAGGCCCGAATTCGCATAGGCGACGATGGGTCAAAATTATATTTATCATGACCCAAAGCATCAGAAAGATTTGCTTCATAGATCACAATGATAGATTTAATGAATAGGTACTTAAAAACAGGGTAAAGACATTGAAATGATAACGCTACAGCAGTTTTTCTTTTGTCTTAGACCTAAAATAATTTTCACGAGCACTGCTACGTATACGTAGATATAGTGTTTAGTAATATCATACGTAGAGGGCGTATTTTCTGCAGACTTTTCTTAAGTCTAATCATTTTGCTGGGCCCAATGGAAGCGCCATAACTGTTACAGTCAAAAGGATGCCCGTATTCACTTGAAAGTTGACTCAAAATAAAGTTATTCTCTCCTCACTACCATTGACCCCATTTCGCGTTCTTTTTTTTAGTTCAGTCACTTTCACTGTTATATCCATGAGTCCAACCGAAACAAAAGAAATAGTGACTCTTTGGAGTTTTTTAAAAAGAATGTTCCAGGTAAACACAACAATATACACGACCGTATCTATCAATATTGGATTGTGCCGTCAAAAAGGAGAACGGGCTAAATGTGCCCAATGAATTAGTCTGTTTCCCAAGGAATTAAAATTGATTTTCTTTTATGTACATTTTTGTACCAGTATGTTGAAATGATCATTGTAAGCAGATATCTATCGGTAAAAAAGTTGTTTTCTTTCTTCACAAATCAGCAAGCAAGCATTGCTGCAAGCAAGTCGAAACAATGCAAACTCTCTATTGAAAGCCATGAATAGAATAGACTCTTTTCTCGAGACACTTTTTATACAACCAGAAATTTTATTCTGTTAAGATTTTTTTTCTGTTAGATCACGTCTACTACGGTTTGAAGTATTAAAGGAAAGTTTCGTGTCTTTCTGTGTCAGATCCCTCAAGACAACGTTTTAGAATTCTTACTCAGTGAACACAGTCTCTGTGGTAACCCGTATGGGTCAACTAGGATTTTTTTGCCCCCCTCCCCTCCCCTGGACAAAACTATTTGGAGTGGCCCTCAGTCCGTCCTTCTGACACTGATGAATGAGTGGAGGCTACTAGAGAGTGACAACAAACACGGACAGAAACACGGGGAAGGAAACAAAAACATCTGATCAATCAGGCTGACCCCATTCCTGGGGGGACGCGGAAACACAGCAAACAGGTGTTGTCAAATACACTAAATTGTTGCGTTCGAGACATAATGCAATAGTCTCCAAGCAAAAAGTATTGTAAAGCATCTGACTCAGTTCGACCATATACGGGGTGGGGGGACATGTATGATAGTCACCTAAGCTAGCGCCATCCCCATTATTTTAGGCTCGCTCGACATATAGCAGGCTTTTTTACGACTCGGGCTTTTTTGCATGTGCTTTTATAATGCGCCTTTTACTTACATAGCATTCTAACAAGAACCAGAGCCAACAGAAGAGATACGCCTTAAAAATCATAAGCTTAAGAAGATTAGATGGTTGGCAACCAGCTGTCTCCAAAGACAATGATACTGCGCCATGGTTCTGTCTGTATCCGTGTTGGTAAAGAAGATAGTACCCAGGCTAATAGTATAAAAGTGATCAACTGCCCAAAACAAAAGAGTGTAGAGAGACCATGACTTACTCGTAGTTGGTGACGGGAGTGGGTAGATCCCCGATGGTGGTGAGAGTGAGGCAGGACCAGTACAGGGACCACAGGTACTTAGTGCTTAACGACGCGTACTGTCCGGTCGGTGAGGGGTAGACCCACGTGTTCGACCCAAAACCCTCCGCCTTGGAGATGAGGAAATAAAAACCCGCGAACCAGTGGATCAGGAGGAACAGGACGTGGACGAGGTTGAACACGCGCCACAGGGTCGGGTGGTGCGTTCTGGACTCCACCGTGAAGTAGAACTCGAACACTCTGTGTGTCTTCAAGAAACGCGTGGACCTTAAGAGAGGGTGCACGCCTACAGCGAAGTACAAGAAATCCAGCGGCAACAAACAGAGGACGTCTAAGACGAATTTCTTGGAAAAGACGTAGTTTCGCGCCAACTTCTTAGGACTGTAGACCAGGAGACCCTGTTCAAGGTAGCTAGTCCGAAAGTGGACCACGATGTCCAGCAGTAACAAGAGGTCGAAGACGTAGTCTAACGCGTAGAACACGGCGGCGTACTCGGTCTGCAGCTCGACCCAAGCCGTCCGAGCGATGATGAGCCACATGTTGTACACGACTCCGCACGTCACCAGCCCGATCCACCACATGTGGACGTCCCCGTCGGGGTCTAAGACGAAGTCCTCCTTGGTCCAGGGCTTCTTCTCGCCGCCGTGGTGGTCTCCGCCCTCCCCGCTGCTCGTCTCGTGCTCCTCCTGTCTGTACCTGTTGTACAGTTCTAGGAACGTGTCCTGTCTCGGCGCGTTTTTCCTCAAGTCCGGGTCCACACTGTTGGACATCCGCACGGCGGATTTCACCCGGTTCCACCACGGCGAGCTCCGGCGGCGATGGTGGTGGCGGTGCGCAAAGCCCTCGGCTCCCAAGGAGTCCGAGCTCTTGGTCGGTGAAGCCGTTAAGCTGGAGTTGCCGAGCTCTGCGTCTACTCCTCCGGACGTCCTGCCGTTCGGCACCGAAACGCCGCTCGCTTCCTCCCCTTGCTGCATGTCAGATTAGATGAGTTACGATTAGTCAAGAAACGTTTAACGGAGATGTCGACGCTAGGCACCTCTCCCGGGGTGCACGGACGGATCCAAGAAGGTCTTCAATTAGTGATCGCGTTAAAAACCCAACACAGAAACGCCACAAGTTGTCCCGCTACTCAAGAGAGCCGCATAAAGGCACGGTTAAGTCGGATTTGTAGCTCAGGCGTGCGGTGTCCCCGCTGAAATGGCCGCGCTCGCACTAAGCCTCCCGTTCAACCCCGCTGGTCGTCGCGCGGATTTCGCCAGGATTATGAGCACTATGTACACTGCCACCGGATCCCGTCCACTCGCCTGTGAGAGCAGCGATCGGGTATCGACCAGGCATAGCTGCCAGCAATTGTCGGTAATCGAGCCGCCGGGGAAACCGGAGCCAAAACGTCCGTTTTTATTTGTCTCGCCAGAAACTTGTCCAAGTTCGTGGGAAAGTCGCGGAGAGATGTTCTTCGGGCCCTCAGGCGACGATTGTCCCCGAAAACAGATGTCGTCACCGTGGCCCCCATTGACCCCTACGTTGCCATGGCGACCCGCTGACCCATGACTATCCATTGACGATCTCAAAAACGGGATTTTGTTCTCACAACAAAAAACCGTGCCAGAAGTTTGCCTTGAGTGGTTCCTCGTTGGGTAGCGACGTGGTGATGTTATTTTTGCCCTCTTGTCTTGTTTCATGCTTTGCGCCGAGACTTCAAAGCTTTTTTCTGAGCAGCGCGTTTTCATTTTTCCACCGTTGTTAACAGTCAGGAATTGCAGCTATTGTCGTCCCACAAGAATGACAATGACAATTGATACGAACAGTGTCTGGTTCTCATGATTTGACAGCTGTTTATTACAGGTAAAAATGTTGTAATCGACTAGTTTTTCTCCTTCAAATGACAAATTATATAGCAACCTTCACTATTGACATAAACACCAACCATTTTTCCAATGTCGCATCTGTTTTTTTAAAGCTTGAAAAGTTAAACATTTTGTTTGGGCGACTAGCTACGTGTAGCATGAAGGGGGTACTAGAAGCACAGAGTACTGTCGTATCAAGAACCATGCTTTACCCAGAATCATGCTCAGGCACAGTTCTGGATAGTCTATGCGTATCTAGAACCGTGCCCTGGCAAATCTACGTGGAGACTATCGAGAACTATGCCCCAGACTAACCCATTCAGGCACAGAGGTATAGATACATTGTAGGCACTGTTCTGGATACGATACTAGTTCTCTTGTGCTCTGATGCAGTAAATCAACTATGGACTGACACGTATTGGGATCAACGTTACAACATATAGGCTTTCAATGCATCATATGGTGCACGATACACATGTACAGTTGTGTATATGTAAAAATCAGCAGTGTTTACGTGGGTATATATTGGCCGTAAAAACGACATTTATGATTACGACACAAATATTAGTATTGATAGCAATATCCTAAAGCCATTAATAAAGATTGCAGAAATAAAGGGATAGTTTTATGGCCTTTGACTGTTTACGTCCGTTCTACGCTAACGTAAGAGGTGTTGGTTATGTTTACTTCTCAACCACTTGTTGATTTATGACTTCCCAAATCGTTCATTTACGTTGTAAATCCGTACAACACAAACAAAAGACATCAATTAAACACAAAGTATTAATAATTTAATATTAATGTTGATATGGGATATTTTAGGAAGGTGAAGGTAAATTTTATTATTTTAATGTAATTTATATTCCCATGTCCCTGTATGTAGTTGCCTTGTAACGCTCACTTTATTGAAAAGGTACCAGAGTTCTATGCTGTGGCGCTATTACATTTGTACTTCAAATGCACTTACCACAAAATCATTTCATTGTATACACGGCAGCGGATTAATAGTATGAGAGAATCAAACTTCGGATTGACTTCAAATTGATCTTTCAGTTTGGCAGGCTGAAAAATTTTCAGGATATCAGTAGCTTAGGAACGTCCTCCTCTTGATTGAACTGCAGTTCGCTTTGATGCCTTTTTAGTTCTCAGCAGCCACTTAGACTGATTACAAAAGGTTTGCACAATCTGAAAGCGTCCGTCATTTTCGTCAGTCAACAGACGTGGCAATGAAAGGACATGGCATTAACTCAGCTCAATAGAAATTGTCCTTCCACGAAGACGGTTCCGGCTTTTTAAGGAAAGTGTTGAAAACCCTTCTGTCAGTTACGTCATTAGTCCTAGCCGTGATAGCATGTTGTCCAGTCTTGTTTGGCCTCCAACGATCGCCGCTCCCCCCCAACAAGACTGGACTCAGGGCTGGACAGCAGGGACCATTGGAAGCGGGCGTAAAGTTACTAGCCTGTATCTACAAACAGATCTTTTGGTGGCTACAAGACAGCATCCAATACGCCACCTAGTTTGGCTTGGCGACACCGGTGAAAAAAAAAAGAAAGCCTGATAAATCGCTCAAAAATATGTCTAAGCCAAAGCCTCTGCTTGCAGAGTAAGACGCCTGGCCTCTAGGCTAGATCCGCGGTGCGGTGCCCTCTCAGCCAGCCCCCCTGCCGAGACTCTTCAAGTTGAAGACTGCGGCAGGAGAGGCGGGGAGAGTGGCACTCAGCGCGGTAAGAGGAGCGCCAATTAGGGAACGTGCCAAGTCACTCGGGAACGATCCAAACCTGCTCAGGACAAGTTTCCCGTAGTGCTACTACTCAGATCCCTTTTCCCACTACACGGCGATCGCTCAGCGACCAAAACTCTGCGACCCTTGATCGCTTTGATTTTATAATTGGAATAAATATTGCGACAAGTGATACAAAATGTAAAACAATATTCGGTCGTTCTATGAAATTCTTTGACTGCCCTGTTAAGTCGCAACTCTCAATAGGCTAAATTTCAGTACTTTACATATGTACGCTCTAAGCAGAAATTTAGGCTCTTATTTTTGACGTGTTCAAGTTTATGCGTTTTCATTGAGATTTCTATTTTGTGCTGTTACATGTTTTTTTCGGGTGGCAAATGGATGCTGCCTTGCGTATTTGACACTGTCTCGTCAATTCAATACGTATGTACTGTCTTGCAATCACCAAAACGATTTGTTTTGGGATGACAGTAGTACTGTACACTCTAAGGCAAACGTTAACCGACATAACCAGCACACCAACTATGTATACAACTCTCGACTTCCACAATCGATGGCTGTTTTCACTCGGGTTGACGCGGAGTGGGTCTTCACGCACCATTTCGTGTCCTGAGCGGTGTTCGGCAGCCTTTTGTGCGCCGCTAGCAGCGAAACACGCTCTTAACTTACACAGCCAAGTTTAGCAGCGGCGGTTGCGGTTCGTTGTGCTTCTTGAGTGTACAGAAATTCACCTGTCACACGTGTAGACGCAAAGTCACAGTCAGTCTTGTAAGATAATCGTAGTTTGATACAAAGACCACGTAAAAACTGAATCCTAAACTGATTCTTCATTATTCTTCCCGTTTTTCTACGAATCCTACGTATATTCACTAGCATAGCATGTCTTTGTGGCGAACGGGCTAGCTTAAATATACCTTCATGATTCTTCTCTTTTTTTACGAAGTCTACGTCCATTCACTGGCATGGCATGTCTTTGTGACGAACAGGTAAGCTCAAATATACCTTCATGGTTCTTCGATTTTTTTTTTACAAAGTCTATGTCCATTTACATGTCTTAAGCTTTGTGGCGTAACTAAAAGCCAGTCGGCACGCATACACGCACATATTCACACAACCATAGACACTACAAATGTATTTGTTTGGAACGGGATATGACGGAAGTAATACCACAATACTCAGGGGAAACAATTTCTATGAAAAGACATTTCAGACGCGTATATATGCATTCTCTGTAGATTACAGTTTTATTATGACTCTTCTCTTTCTCAGAAAGGCGGATGTTAATTCCCAACGCGACTTGGTTGGGCAAGACTAGCTGCCAAATCTCAACTTGAGGATTTTCATGTCAATTTCTTAGAAATCCCTGTTCTTATGACATATGAAATACTGAGATAATGTTTTGGAGTAAATTTGCATCACTAAAAAGACAAAGCGGACTCTTTCGTGTTTTAGAGCGATCCAGGGAAGAGATGTTGGGAAAAAAAGAGTGACCAGGGGAACTCTGTCAACCAGTATTGTGTTTTCTATAAAAGCATTTTACAAAAATGTAACTACTGTAGTCACATGGAAACTGTTGATACTGCATCTAATATTCCAGAGATTACTACATGGAAATATAACACAAACCCCAAAAGCGTTGATTGTATTCAATAGCAGTTCTTAGAACAGTCACTTGTTCTACTTGTCCCCATAACTTGCAGTCTTTTTACTCTATTCTATACAATGTTTCATGTTGCAATTAGCCCTTGGGCATGAACTTGCAAATAAAACTACTATCATTAAAACTTTCATAAGGTTAGGGTATCGTGTCGTCCAATATCATAACAGTAAACAAAGGTCCCGCCAATTGACAAGGTTTACCCAAAACATGTTGTCTCCTGTATCAGGACCAGGATGCCATCTCTCAATGCTACAGTGGCAGTTACAGAGCAGATAATGATAACTTGGGCAAATGTTGACAAAACAAGTGAAAGCACAGAGAGGGGATATCAGGAGAAGCAGATGTTCCATTGTTCTGGTGTATTCATAGGTCAGACACCTTGTGGCATGGTATTATCATACTGTACTGAAGCAATCAACCAATTGTGTAATGTAGAAAGTAGGTATCAAATTTTATGCAAGTGTTAATATCGAGAGCTAGTGGAAGTAAGGTGGGTTTCACTTCAATGATCACAATTGATTTCAATCTACACTCACTCAACAAAGAAAGGATTTTGTGGTGGTAACATATTGATTTTAGTGTCTGTCAGACTGTTTTGTAGGCTGAGAAAATGGCAGAAATCTGCCAAATTCAGAGTCATCTGTTTGGGAGTTTTACTGTAGCTGGCTGATGGAGTTTGCACTTCAACCCACACACAGTCCTTGGAGAATTGGGCAGTTCTCTGATGTCAGTGTGGGTGCACCCACGTTAGTAAGTATCAATGGCAGGTTAAACACCCTGGAAAATCACTAACACTTCCTCTGTCCTAGAGTTTACTAGTGTATAACAAAGACGATGCTTACAATCAATGACTTTGTTTCCGTTTTTAATTCTCAAAACTCCTACTTACAGGTTCTAATGTTACATGTAACTACGTGATCACTTTTTACCACAAGGTTTACAACTTTACAGCACTTTGACAGTCATTAGAGTTATTATAGTGTATATTAACAGTAACAACTGTTCCATGATTGATACATGGTACAAGTATGTACTTCAAAGTGGTCCCTCAGAGTAGCTCCAAATATGCTGTCTTCTCTTCTTTTTCCCTCCCACCCTACCAGCTCAGTTGTGTCCCTACCAGGATGGTGCTGTATTAGCAAGTCTTCTCATTCTCCTGAAATGCAAAACAAACATGTTGTCACGATTCATCAAATCAAACTGTTAGTTATGACTGGTAAGTAACCAAACTGAGCTACATTGTACAGGTGGTAGTGTGCATAGTCCAGTGGTTAGCAACCCTGCCTCTGAACTAAGAGGTTGGCAGCTTGAATTCTGGCTGTTGTTGCTCACCCAACATGCACACTTTGCAGTCCTTAGGACGGGAATTCTAAGCCATGGTCTACTGTGCAATGTGCTTGCTGAAAAGAGCTAGGGGAATTTCCCTGGCACAATAAACCTGTATATACTGTACAAAGCTTCTGACTTTTGTCATGACCAGTGGAAGAATAGCTCTTCGGTAGCTACATGTAAACTGGACCAAAAGCACTTTCACAAACACTTTTCCATGTGTCTAAAGAGATGACCCACCTCGTGTTTCTGTCTTGGTCACGTATCTTCTTCTCCATCTCTGCGTCTGTCAGAGTCTCAAGGAACGGGCACCACTGGTCTGCTTCTCCCTGGTTCCGCACAGCAATTTCTACTGTCGGCAGCGGCGCCTCACTGTAAGACACATAGGCAACAGGGGGAGAAAAACAAGATGTTTAAACGTTGTACAACAGACACCTGCTTTTTGCATGAATGATTTGTCACTAAATTTTACTTGAAACCTTACAGCTGTTACAGCTAAAACATGTTAGAGAGATTTAAAATGTTATGTACACAATTTAAAATGTTATGTACACAAAAGTCTTGTGTTGAACAAAAAGTTTTTGAAATGTCCTCTGACACTTTGACACTACAACACAAGGCAGAACAGAATGATACTAATAATGTATAAATAGAAGTAGTAGATGTCATTAGTCATTACAGGGTGATGTTTGGGCTGCCAACATTTGAAGGGGACAACACATGTTTCTTTGTATCTCTTCCTCATAAGATCTTAGAAGTTACACTTACAGGAATCATTATCAGTATGACAGTATCACTTCCGAAGTTCAGCATTTTAAAGGCATCCAATGCAATTTTAATTCTGGATGAGGAAATCTGTTTGATATTGACATTTACTGCCATTTCTTAGCACATTTTCAAAGCCATTTCCTACTTGAAGCATTTGAAACAACCCAAAAAAGTTATGTGGGGAGTCCCTTTGTTTTTTGCTACCGTCAATAGCACTAGCCTATGATACGAAACTTTCCTTCAGCAACATCAAATCTTTAACATACGGACTAAAGAATGACTAGAAAATTGACTTTGAAAATCTTGTTTTGCTGCCCTGAAATTGCATTGGATGCCTTTAAAGGTCCTGCAGAACTGGAGCAGGAAGAAGATGTATACAAGGAACACCATAGTCACCTTTGCCCCCTCCATGGAGATTTGAGCAAAAAGAAGAGTAAGCGTGCAAAGAAAAAAAGAAAGAAAGGATGTCCAAAAAGCGACAAGAAAAAATCGCACAGCCACAAGATGAGCCCACACAAGCAGATGCTAATTTAATTACAAACTGCAAAGTAAAATTCACCCAGCAGTTGCAGTAAAATGTGCCTGTATGTTTGTGTGGGACACCTGTTTTTTTGTGTAAGAATGCCTCTGTACTTGGGTGTGAGAGTGCTTCTGTGTGTGAGTGTATGTGTGTATGCATGAGTGTCTGTATGTGCGTGTATGTGTATCTGCCTAAGTATGTGTATGTGTGAATATATCTTTGTATGTATGGATGAGTGTCTGTGTGTCTGTATGGATGAGTGTCTGTATGTTAGTGTTTATGTGTACTATGTGTAGTGCCTTTGTGTACTATATATGCATGTGTGTGTGCACGTGTGTATATATATATGTGTGTGCACATGAGGACTACAGTATACGTAGGTATTGTTGTAATGTAAATCAAATGTCCCCACTTTCAAAACATTCAAAACACAGCAACAAATCTTAACCTCTATCAACTGCTGCTGAAAAGGACATTGGAAACTCTACTGGAAAGGAAAACACCACAGCTACTAGTACTACAGTCAAACATGCCAAGGGGTCGATATGTGCAGTGGTTAGGATGTTAGTGTTAAGTGCATGAATACCTTACATTTAAACCTCCACCAAGACAGCAGTATTTTTCTCTCATACAAGTCCAGAAGTGCCCTCTACCAGATAATTGCTAAACTACAGTTTGCATAAGTACAAAGACAGCAAGTTCCATAAACAAAGGGCAATGTTGCTAGTAGAAAAAACTACCCTCTCTGCAAAAAAAATAAAAATCCCTTTGTGTTTCTTTAATGCCACGCCAACATATTTTTTTGGTTGTTGGACATTTCAATGTAAGAATCAAGGAAGATAAAATAAAACAGGACTGGGAGGAAAGATTGAATCAGAATATATTCAATCCTCAAAACTGTGTGTGTCAACTATCCCCTCAGACATGTTTCATAATCATATTGATATTCTGCTTCAGAATTATTTCTTTACACAATCCAATGACCAAAAAATCACATTGGTGAGGCTCTGCACACAAAACTATGACTTTGAAAATTAAATTGCCCTTGCTGGATGATTCTGCTGACAGGTACCTGAAAGCGTATGTTCTCTGGTGCCAGCTGAGCTGTCCTCGGATGCTGTACGCAATGGCCGTGACAAACTCCCCGCCAAGACCCAGCTCCGTGCAGAGCTTCAGCGCGAAGGTTTCCGGACTGTTGTCCTTCTCTGACATGTCCCACTCAAACTGGTCCACTAGAGAGATGTTCCCAACATGGATGTTCAACTATGGAGGCAATGTAAAGAGAGATCAGTCACGGAAAATATCTGAGGTACTGGCCTAGATACCAGTACCCCCTCATATGTTTCCAACATGGATGTTCAACAACAAGAAGTAGATAGAGATTAGGCAAAGGATAACATAAGATATGTAAGTAAGTGATGTAAAAAAAGAAAGCACAAGGAAACAAAGCCTACACCTAAGACTTGTAGGAAATGTAAAGATTCTTAGCCCAGACCTTCAGAATGACTCTTTGGTCCATCTGTTCCTCCAGGATGTTATCTGTAGGGTAAGCTTCTATCTGAGTCTTGATGGCCTGAGCTATGGCAGGGACAAAGGACAGAGACGGCAGCTCCAAGTCATCACACAGGATCTCTGCAAACTGCTCTGGGGTGATGATTTGTTCTGTGGAAGGGAAACCTGTGACATGTGATGTTGCCAAACAACTACATGTAAACCTGCTTCCTATCACTAAAATATTCCTTTAAGTTTAATTTCAAGCCCCTTGTCATCAACACATGGTTGAAAATTAAAGATGCCACAGTAAAAACAGAAGCTTGTTCTTTTAATTGGCATTTTAAGACACTAGTTATGCAACAAGAGATGATACTGAAAACTTATTCACACTTCCAGTTTCAGTCTGCTGTTTTTTTTAAAGTGACCAGAATGCACAAGTTTAAGGCAAATCATTTATGTTGAATGTGTCTCTAACATGCACAGAATGTAGATAGCTATACGCCCCTATGAGCCTGCATGTGCTCCATATATAATAGAGTTGCTGCTCTTGTAAGACGAACCGTTCTTGTTCCATGTGAAGGTGTCCCTGAGTTTGTGCCCGTCTATCTCCATGTCCAGTCTGATGGGGATCAGCACCTCAGGCTGGGCCGCGTTCTCATGGATGATCGACGGATCATGGTCATCAAACCTGGACAGATTGGGATCCAGATATGTTTCAAACTTTAAGATAACTGTGAGACTACGTTTGTAGGGTGCACTTTACAAATATTGAAAACAAGAATGTTTGAGTTACAAACTGCTAAATATTTAAAAACAAAAATTTTGTATGCATTTTGGCTTGTGAAATCGCACTTTGCAGAGGCCAACAGTACTGAACTGTAGCCGACTCCTACCAAAAGCCAATTGCATAATTTGGTGCATTTATACACAAACTGGAAAAACTTCATGATCCAAATCATACAGTCTGAAAGTTGACATGTTTCTATACTGCCCGGCACAGTTTACACCTGGCACATTGTAAGGGTTAGACCTGAATGTACAGCTGACTTCAGGTCTGTCAGTCATCGTTTCAGCCCACTCTTGGCCTAATGTACTTACACCAGAGGGAAGGTTCGTATCTTCTTGGTGGCGATCCTGTGTCTGTTGACTGGAGTTGAGCAGGGCACAGCGTCCAGGTGGTGAGAACTGTTGGGCAGGGCCGGCACCCAGTTACTCCGCTTCGGCTTGGAATCTCTGAAGGGGAAAACACAGCAGTAACTTTAGATGTCGTTGTTCCAATCATCTCTCACTTCCTCTTGAGAGCTTTGCAGCATACTACTAGGCTCTTTTCTAGCCCCAATCATTACAATGGCAAAATACCACTCTCCCTCTACAGCAACATCAATATACATGACTTGTACGTTGTTCTGTGCCAAAAACTGATCTGTAAAAAAACTTTTTGAAGAACCAGTGAACCAATTTAAAGATTCGGAAACTTTTGGAGATTTTGGAAAATCTGGCCTGCTAAGGCAATACTTCAGTTACATTTTACGGACAATAATTGGCATATAAAGATATGGAAAGATATAGAAAGCAGGAGACTGACTTGATCTGTATGGGCTCAGTGTTGAGTGACACGGCCTTGTACTTCTCATCGTTCCCCTCCAGGATGTCCTCAACCTCCAGAGCTCTCAGTAGGGTGATGTTCGTCGCCAGGCTGGTGTGACCAGAGTCACCTGGAACAGAGAACTCATCGGTTACAGCATCTCTGGCCCAGGGCAGTCTGCACGCTAGCCCCTCAATCATGATGTCATCATCTCATCTGTTCCTGAGTCTAATTGTTTGACCGTTGGAGCACCACAGATTTGATTCTGCTTTCTCCATCCCTCTTGGTATTCTGTTCCTCTTAACATTTCTCTTAGCGTCATACTGGTCCATTCTCTGAGTCTGATATTATCCTCCTATCTTTTCCCTTTAAGTTTTCATCAGGCAGCCACAATGTCTTGTCATATGAGTAATTTTTTTCTCAATGAAATACAATTACAATCATATACTTACCAGGTGTCTCATTTCTCATACTTTTAATAAGATTGTTTCTTTTAAGTATGGAAATAAAAATGGATGACATGTTAGGGAACTTAAGTTAAAACATACATCTCTTGTACTTCTTTTGCAAAGCAAGGTAAAAACATAGTTACTAGTTTTTTATATGTGCAACTTCAAAAGGCAGAACACCACTGTAGGTGTAAAATGTCCCAAGGTGCATCAGTTGACTTATCTGTGCTGTAGCTAGTCTGTGAGTGAGTGTAGCTAGTCTAATATAGCATTGAGCATCTACACATTTGAAAAAGCTTTATTAATAGCAAAGACAAAAAATTGGTTAAACGTCTCGCTCTCGGATAGCATAACCAGGATGATAATAACGAGTACACGTATGTGACAACAGATTGACACAGATACAAATGAGTGTGTTCTAACGCAATTGTTTGAAATCACCAAATGTAAAGAACAAACATGACTAAAACACAAAACACAGTAACACACAGTGACAGACACACCTACTGTAGAGACTTAATTTTCTAAAATGTTTTAGCGGGATGTTATGGGATTGAAGTTTCCAATTGCTTCCAAGTAAGCAATCTACTACATTTGTGAGGGTACACTAAAACGCAAGCAGTCAACACAGTGTTAACATCAGCCTTTTGTAATTAGCAAAATTATTGAATTTTGAAAAGTCAAAACTCTTGTTAATTGCAAAACACAAACAATACTAGACCTCACAGTGGAATTAAGGTTAAAACCAAAGAAAACAGGAGTTCTTATGAGTTCAAACCCAAACGGAAAAAACTCCTAAATATTTAGAAAAAAATGGAAGAAAATGGAGGATTAAAAGTCAAATCAAAGTAGGATTATTAAAAATCCAATTGAGCCACGCTAGGTGCTAATTTGGAGGGATTGCATCTGATTGGAGGAACAGCAGGAGAGACCACAAGAAATTCCATACACACCTACGCCTACTTTGGCTCCCTGTTCAAGTTGGGCTTGGGCTGTATTCAACAAGGACAATTAGACACAATGATGATGAACAGTGTACACATGCATGGGAATGTGGGGACACAGCCAGGGATGCTCTGTCCTGAGCAAGTGTGGTTCAATCTCACACCACACATTTCTATGTCGTCAAAAATATCAAACTGGACAGGGAAAATGTAACTTTTGAAGAACCAGTGAACCAAGAAAAAAATTTGGACTACTTTTGGAGATCTATCTTCCTATGATTAAGGGCTGTGAACGTATAAAAAGACTGTACAAGATTGTGGATTGGTTTAGATTGTTTTGGCAAAAAACAACCTTTTGGATTTGGAAGGAATAAAATCTTCTTTTAAGTTTAAGCAAACACTTGAAAATCTTTTACATGAAAATGACATGTGACAAAAAAAATTAAGGGACAATCTTGACTTGACAAAAAAATGAAACATGTAGACTTATGATATGCATAGTAGTAAGTGAGACCAATGATACAGGAACATACATGTTTTTTTTCTGAACTTACTGAGAACTTCTGCGATTCTTTTTCTCTCATCAATGGTGGCCAGTCGTCTCCATAGCGATGGATACTTCTTGTAGAGCGATCCCCGGAACATCCGCAGGTAGTTACCAACCTGGACAGCAACAGGGCAGAATTTACATGTAATACTCCAGGCTACATCAACTTTAACTTTTAGTTTAAGATCCAAATGGGCTCGCTAAAAGGAAATTTCTCACCAGTATAAGTATAAACAGTATAAACTGGCTGCAAGCAATTACAGACGTTTAAGTTAAATGTTTGTAAAAGTTGCCAGCCAAATTTGGAGTGCTGGGGTCTTAGACTGGCAGCGTGAAAGTGCCTCTTGTGGCCTGCCACTTACGACAGTGTGTAAAAAATAATTTGCCATAAAATGGTGAGTCTAGAGCTAGAGGTTGTGGCCTTACTTGTTGGCAATTTCTTTAGTATGCTGTAGTGTGGCGTAGATCTAAATGTGCTCACATAGAATTCGTGTAGGTTGGTTTACTAGGATGGCAGTCATGTTTAGACAAGCATAATTTATACATAAGCCATAAATTACAAAATATGGGTGATTCTTTTTAAGGTGGGTATCCTCACCAATAAAAATGTGAAATACATGTACTAGTATTCCAAGAGTTTTGACATTTGAAAACCTCAAAATGTGCCCTTCACTGAAATATGAAAATTGCCTCCGATTTTGAGTCTTTTACAAGCGGAATGGAAGCTGAAACTAAAACGTGATCTGAAAGCAAAAACATTCGCCCCCCTCCCCCTTCAGAACAAAGGCTTTTCTGGCACTACAGCTCGCGTGCCAAAACAACAAAAGATCGCTCCTTTTCGCCGAGTTAATACTTATTCTATAACAGTAGCTTACCTCCGAGCCTATCATGTACTTCTCCCCGCCATCCTCCAACGCGAATGAAGCCGGTTTTTGTCCAAACGTTCGGGACGCCATTTTTCACGCTTTCCTGGTGGTCTTCTTTTTCGCACAGCCTAGTGGGAAAATATAATCAGCGCACTACACTTTACTTGGGGAGGGGGGCAGTAAAAGCTAGAAATATAATACGTTCAATCGAAACACAGATACCATAAACTATACTTTAAAACACTATATAAGTACTTGGAATAAGATTATTACTTGTCAAAGTATCAGATATGTTATCATAGTCAAGATCATGAAGATAAAATTTTTCTCCCCTGCATTTAGTGTATTCTTTCACATCAACATGGCGGAAAACGCAGACTTTTCAAAACTGGATTCGATAGCAAGTCGGAAAAGTGGAGGGGAAAATCTTTATCTCAGGTTCTACCAAGCCAAAATGGCACAGAATCCCAGCGCACACAGATTTTCGGACCCTAGCTTGGATGAGAAGGAGAGGGAAGCCCTAACAAGATGGAACCGAGACCGCGACGATCGCACTTCGCCGCTCAACTTGCAACTCCTGTTCGCGTTCTCGGTTCCGAGTCGACAGGCTTTAGATCTCATCGTTGGGTTGAAGCGTCCGCTTGTATCTGTTGGAGCGGTAACGTGATTTGTAACACACGAGCAATTGTTAGGCTTCCGCTGGTTTTTTTTTTTCTACGTTTTTTTTTGGCGACGCCTCTGGGGGAGCCTAATAGTACAGTGTGCAGTTTGAAAGAATTCTAGGTACAGGAAGTTTGTCCACAGGCATGGAATGTCCATAGGAATGTCTCACAGCCCTGGAATTTTTCTGACACACATCTGTGCCCACAGTCCTACTTAGTGAAGTTCCTGGAAACCCTTGGAAAACCCTTTTGCAGGGATGCCCTACTTTCCAGTGACTCAATCACTACAGTATAAGTTACACTCAGGGGAGGGTAGGAGTGATCTACTGAACTGCACTGTATCTGTCTGCGCCAATGACGATTTGGTGAATGGATGAGCGGCCTCAACTGGAAGGGTTTCTTCCTACCTGACTGAAGTGATCTTAGACTACTATATCTACAGTAAAGTGCTGATATAATAGAAATTTACTTTGTTTAATCCTCTTGTAGGGTGTGGGCTACTGGGAATTTCTCCTCCAACAGACAGGGTGTGACGTCCTAGCATTCGATTCTAATGAACTGTATCCAGAGGGTCTGCGTTATATCGATGTTAAAGTAAGAAACTTGAAATCCTTTTCTATACACACAGGTATATTTGAACCTAGTACAGTACAACAAACATTTATTAGCTCTACATGGCATATCGTGCAGCAAACGAGAACCATACTTAAGTTGAGAGAATAGAAAAAAATTTACATGGATTTTTAGAAGTCCTCCAATTAATTTAAAGACCTCATAGTTGTTAGTGCACTTCTTTGCAAACCTTCATATGCTTTTTAAAAAAAAAAACTTTTTCCATTACTTGATTTAAGAAAGGAGGACCAGAAGTCTTAGTGTCACATGGCGAACGAGTGCTGTTTTTGGCATGGCCAGATGCAGATGGTGAGTCTATGTGAGTCATTATTGACTGATAACTGCACAAACATTTGTTATACATGTATTGCTTAGACGCATGTACAAAATGTATTACATGAGTTCTTTTATGTTGACTATCACAACACAAAGCTACAAATCTTTTTCATGTAAATTTCCTTCTGATGTTCATACAAATGTACATGTACTACTAGTTTAATACCAGCAATGTTCTTTTACAGCCTCTTAATCTGCTATCCAGTTGCTCGAACCTGATTTGCCGTTAGTTTTCATTTCAATGTTTTACACACTTTTTTTTACAGAGTCCTCCACATTGTCTACCGACTGTCTGAACCATTACAAAGGAGACGCCATCATCCATGTGGGAGAACTGTTCGGAGAGACTCTGTCGTCCAATCCCTGGGGACAGTCCACGTCCAGAGAGTTTCAGCTCAATCTGGGTGAACACTTCCGCTGTGTGACCAGGATGCAGCTGCCTAACTGGCCGGGGCACATGGACACACTCACCTTGTGGAGAAGACTCCCAGCAGCTGTTGATTGTGATGGAGCGATGTTTCATTATGTCCACCCTCCACAGAAAAGATATTGGCCAGAGTGTTCTGCCTAGTTCTCTTGCAAGGCCACACTGATTTAATTTTATGGATGACATCTGCAGGCGCATTGATTGACTAAGGCGAAACAGACATTGAGAGTGATTAAACGTAATCTGTGAGCATGTCCAACTTGAGTGAAATCACTTGCATACACGTCACTTGTAAGACCGAACCTAGAATATGCTGCGACAGTATGGGATCCATATACAAAGAAAGACAAAGACAAACTGGAAAGGGTACAGAATCAAGCTGCAAGATTCTTTATGAACAACTATGTAGGAGGTGGTAGTGTCACGGAAATGAAAAGAAACCTACAGTGGACCTCACTGGAAGACAGAAGAAAGATGTCCAGACTATGCATGATGTACAAAATGACTAATAAACTGGTGGATGTCCCAACTACTAAGTACCTAATACCAGCCCAGAAGAGAACAAGAAATAGCCATGCATTCAAGTACCAGAGTTATCAACCAAGGATTGAGGTGTTCAAGAATTCATTCTTTCCTAGAACTATTGCAGAGTGGAACTCACTGTCACCAAGTACAGTAGGGGCATTGTCAAT